CATTATATTTCCTTTTGTGCGATACGACAGGCCATCGAGTATAGAAAAATAGCAGCAATAAAAAATGCCAAAAAAAAAATATATAAAAAAAAGAAAGATCGTTGAGAGACGTATCATTTCTTAATGCGGAAATATTGAGGAAGAATTCTTGTTGCTTTCTTTTTTTTTTATATTGGCTGATATTGTGTGAGAGTGTGTGTGTGCATTTATATTAAATGCACAAGCTGAAATTTACGGCATGAGGCAGCTTTAGTAAACATACAGACGAAATACAGTTCATACGACAATGAGAAATTGCTTACTAAGTATGTATGTGTGTGTGTGTGTGTGTAAACAATGGTAATCGCGCCTGTGTGCTGCTGCCCCTTTTGGTGGTATGCGTTATCCGCGAGACCTTGAACTTGAGACTGAATTTCCAAAAAGCGTACAAGCACACAGATACACACACACACACACCGAGCCAAAAAGCGCCCAAGCAACGACACAAAAAAGTGAGCAACACACAACCACAGAGGCAGGAAAGAACCACAACAGCAAGTCGCTGTTATTCTTTCTTATACTCACCCAGGCAGCGACGCCAACTGAGGGTGAGGCAGTGGCAGTGGCAGAGGCAGAGGCATGAAAGCCAAAATAAGTCAGGAATTCAGGAGAGAGCCAGAGCGGGAGTCCGGGAGAACGAGCGAGATGGCGAACGGGAATGGGGATCGTGCAAAAAAGAAACAGAAACACAAGGGAACAACAACAAAATTGGGGAAGAAGAGACATTCACACCAACAACAAATACTAAAATTGCCAAACAAACACATAAATTATAATATTTAAATATAGAACTTTTGCGTTGTTGTCGCCGCCCGTTCCTGTTGATTTTGTTGTTCTTCTTCTTTGTGCATTTTATGTACTTTCCTCTCCCGCTCCCCCCTATCTCCCTGCGCTGCAGCGGCTATCAACTTGAATATATTTTACTTTCTTCTTCCACCCCCACCACACCCATAGCACTTTTTGGCAGTGCAATAAATTGTATTATTATGATTATTAGTAATAAATAAATAAATGTGTACCCCATACCGGGCGCATTTTGATTCCGGTTTGTCGCAATATTGCGCACAAGTGAAATTATCGATACAAAGCAATTTCTAGTCATTATTGTTTTTGTTATTCGGGGAATTCGCTTGGCATCCACCAGATATAGATACAAATTCATCTACATATCTGTGTATCTGTAATAGTTTTTTGATGAATAGAATTTGTATATGTTTTTTATTATTTTATGGTTTTTTTTTATGACTAACATTTAGGGCAAGGATGTATCGTGTTTATATGATGGATCATTTACAAGAAAGAGGCTGACTTAAAATATTAAAAAAAATATATTAAATAAATGTAAGGCTTCAAATCTCTGCCTTGTAACTTAATCTGCCAATCCATAATTTTATTTGACTACTTTCAACCGATTAATGTCAGTTAAAAATACCAATTTTTTTTTTCTGAGAAAAAAACCTAAATCCCCCCCACGCTTGGAAAAAAAACTCACTTTCCGTTTCTTACCAAACCGCCCACGAGCCGCATAGAGTTTTTTTTTTTATTTTTGGACACATCAAAAATAGGCCAATAACCAAAATGCCATAAAAAAATTACAAATCTTGTTGTTGTTGTTGTTGGTGTGCAATTGCGGTGTCGGCGAGCAGCTTCTACGGCTTTCGGAAATGCTTCGAAAATTGTAAACAAAATTCAAGCACCTCCGATGACGCCTTATCCCCACCACCATTACCACTAACAACAACAATAAAACCTTTGCAGGCGGTACTCGCATATCGGCTTTATAAGGCAAACTAATCATGAAAATAACAAGCAACAACGTACCTACATTGACCTACTATTGCTGCCGCAAATGCTGCGCTATCCGTCCGTACGATGGAGTTGTGTGATGTAACTGTCCCAAAATGCCGCGCACATATCAACGAGCCAGTTCAAGTCCAAATTTTGTGCAACTCCCCCTTCTCTCTCTCTCTCTCTACCTCTCTATCTCTCTCTCTTCCTCTTAACCCTGTAAGTGATTTGAATTCAACAAAAGAAATAAAGAAATAGCAAAAAAAAAATAACACACTAGTAGTAGACCAAGCTCACATGCACATGACTTTACCGTTAATTTCTTTGACATATGTTTGTCTGTGTTTGTGTGTGCGTGGTTGTTGTTTTTGGTATATTTTGTTGTTTGCCAATTTCGCTTTGTTTTCTCGTAATATATTTAATTTTTTTTTTTTGTTTATTTCTGTTTTTATTATTATTTTTTTTTCTGTCGGTTGTTTAGTTTTTGTTGGTATTGCTGTTGCTGGTTTTATTAGACCGCATTTTTAGAGGTCAGCGCACATTTGGCGCAGCATTGCAATGTTGTGTAGACGTTGCTTGTTTGTCTTTCTTTCGCTGTGCCGTGCCGTGTATTTGTTTATGCACCATTAAAGCTGAACCTCCGGCGGACTGATTGTTGGTTTCTGTTGCTCTGTTGGTCTGTGGGGGCGCCAATGGGCAAGTACAGTGAAAGCTCCCCAAGGCAGACACAGAAGTAGGCGGGAAAAAAAAGAGAATAAGAAAGGTATTTGTTCACCACGGCGTATACGCAATATTAAGCATACGCCCTGTAGGACCATATACTAAGTAAGGGTTGCGGTTTTTTTTCTTTATTGAAGTTTAAAATCTAAAATTTTTAACATTAAAAGAACTTTTGTTGTTTATCACTTCGTATACGTAATGTGATGTGTAATATTACTCATACGCCTTGTTGGAGTATATAACAAGTTCCATTAAAAACTTGTAATCTTTGATTTTTCTTATCTAAAAATTACAAATAAATGGGAAAAAAGTAAAAAAAATCATTCTCGTTGTTCACCTCTGCGTATACGTAATGTAATGGGTAATATTACTCATACGCATAGTAGGACAATGAACTAGAAGGGGTTTAAATTTGCGGATCTGTTTCTTTTATAAATTAATTTTTAAGTTTAGATTCAAAATGTAAATATTATCAGCCCTTCATAGCCAAACCATTTAATTCCTTCCCGCAAACCAAAATACTGGAAAAGTGCGTCCCACGCTCAAAAAATTTTTAAACATTAAGTGCTTAGATTTTTCTCTAGATTCCTCAGGAAGTATATTCCTCTTCATTCCTAGATATATTTCCTCGCCTTCCGTATTCTGCAGCCTACACTTTCATTAATATTACTCATACGCCTAGTATACCAACAGGAAGTAATAGAACATGATTTTGCAAACTATTTCAGTAGAAATAGAGCAGAAATAAATAGTTTTTGAAATATTTGAAATGCTCTATTTACAAAATATTTGAAAGCTTGTATTTTTATCGTTTAGTTTAGTCATTTGCATTTCAACAATTTATCACTAAGAACTTCGATCTTATCCATTCTTTGACACCTGCCTTAAATTACGTATACGCCGGGTATGACGACCACCGTAAACAACAACACGTGAGCACTTACCCATGGCTAACGAAAAGAAAAAAAAAACTATAAGAAAATCACAAACAAACACTACTACTTGAAAATCGGAAAAATATATCGAACAAGTGACAGGCATTTCCGACAATCGCTTTTCGGCTTCGACAACGGCGATTAAAGCCCAAGCAAATAGAGAGCTGAAAAGCGAGGGAAAAAAAATAATTGAAAAGGAAATTCTCGAAACAAAACTTGGCGAAAATTATATTTATAATTTCCGTTAAAAAGCTACAGGCTAATTGCGGTGAGGAGTGAGGTGAGGGATGAGGTGTGGTGGTGGAATACTGCAGGCTGCACAGCTGTTTGGTTGCCGCGCGATTTCCGTCACGACTTTGGTTGCTTTTTTCTCTTATTTCTCGGTTTTATTTTATTTTTTTTTGCTTTTGTGGGTAAATACGCTTTTGTGCCATATTTTTCTGTGGCTTTTGAATTTTTTTTTACATATAAAAATATATGTAAGGTATACCGTAGATATATTTACATGCTTCTCATTCACCCACAACGAATGAACGAAATAAGCGAAGCGGGCGGGCGGGCGGCAATCAAAACGAGACGAAGTCCGTCGTCGTCTGTGTATTTAAAATGCTGTAAAAAGCACTCACACACACTCACTCATACACATACACACTCATGCCAGAGTGTACAACATGCAATAATGCAGCCAGCAAAGCATAAATTGTAAACTCGTCGCAAAAGCAAAAGCAACAACAGCGCCGACAAGCCTTGACCTGATTTCTCTTCCTCTCTTGCTGCCAATTGTGTATGTCTCTGTGTGTGTGAGTGTGCCTGCAAGCTTCATTGCACTGACAGAGCGAGATGGCACGACCGCCGCTTGACATTCAATGCAATTTTGCTGCCTTTTTTTTTCACTCTCCACTCTCCGCTTATTTTCATGCCGTTTCTGCGGCTGCTGGTGAGGCTGTCGCTGCCGCTGCCGCTGCATGAAATAAGTGAAAATGCACTTTTACTTTTTATCAGCAAAGCAAAAACAACGCCGGCCACTTGCAATTGCAAAGGAAAGTGAGAAGTCCATTTTGTATGTATGTACGTTTGTATGTGTGTAGTTTTTTTCCGTTGTTTTTCCTTTGACGTTTTTGTTTTTAACGGTTGTTGCTTTGGCGAGTTCACGGCTCACCAAATTGGGGCATTTCAATTGTTTCGTTTTGTTTTATTTCGCATTTCGCATTCCGTTTTCCTTTCTGCATACTTCTCTTGACATGACATTTCTATGAAATTATGATGCGAATTTTTGTCGGTATTATTAGCCCGATGGATAGGCATTTTGACAGCTGTGAAGAGGACAGGGGCGTACCTGTCAAAAATTGTGAGATCTAGCGGAGAAGGGAAGGGTGTACTTAAAATATTTCATGATGAGGTTAAGTGTACGTTAAATTGGAATAATAGATGTAGAGGGCTATTTAAACATTATAATTTAAGTTGATTTATTTTAAAAAAATACTAATAAAATATAATGTTTATTTTTCCATTTTTTAGACACTGAAATTCCTATTGTCAAACAATCGACAAGTCCAGCACCCCAGCAGCAACACCAGCAGACACACCTGCAACAACACCAGCAACAGCAGTCCCACAATGCAACATCCTTCGCCGGAGCCACCACTCTGCTCCACATCAAGACGGAACAGAATGCGCTGCTAACGCCGCTGCAGCAACAGCAACAGCAGCAGCACAGTCTCCATGGTGCAAACGGCAGTAATAGTGGCAGCAATGGCAGTGGCAGCAACAGCAACGGTCACCAGCAGCAGCAACAGCCGCTGGCCATTCCGCACCGGCCGCTGCTGCACAATCTGCTTAGCGGTGGCTCCATCCACAATCCGCACCACAGAAACTACACGACGGCCACAACAGGTGAGTACACTGAGATAAATTCTTAAAGGCAATCGATACTTGCTAAATATTATCGAATGTCTTTAAGTCTCATATTTTTGCTGAGTGTATGAGCTCGAGAGGCAAGCGTGTCCAGCCGCAAGGTGAACCACTGCAACACTGAGCCACTGCACACGCCCTCGACTCGATTCGAACCACTTCGATTGCTAATTGCCCCGTTTCGTCCTCGGTTGCCCTTCGCAATCTCGATCCCGTTTGCAGGTTCATTTCCGCCCAGTCCCGCAGACAGTGGCGTCTCCGATGTGGATAGCTCCAGTTCCGGCGGCCAGCCCTGCGCCGATGAGCTAAAGGCGCGACTTGGGGGCATGCCCTCGGCCGCAGCCGCAGCAGCAGCAACATCAGCATCGGCAGCGGCCGCAGCAGCAGCGGCGGCAGCGGCAGCAGCACACCTGCATACGGGCACCTTTCTGCATCCGAATTTATACCAGAACCAGGCGGCGAATTCGCTGCGGAACATATGGAATCGCAGTGTTGGGGGTGAGTAATGAGAAAGTGTCAAAATAAAAGCTAAGATAAGATAACAAAATAATCTGTAAATTGTTTGGAAGAACAACATTTAAAGTTTTATGTTAAATATTTGCATTTTTGGGGATAATCTGTTGCATACATAATTCACTCTTCTAATCCGAGCTTGCAGCTCTTTGGGATGAAAAAATGTCACCCATACACAGACACACACACACACACACGCAGTAGAATCAATTGCAGTGAGACTGTGTGTTGCACTCGCTGCTTTTATGCTCTCGGCTCGTGTGCTTTATATATGTATGGGTTTGGTGCGGTGTGCGTGCAAGTCGCTGTATAAAAATCTGTGGTCATCGACACATTGCCTTTGCGCAAATTGTGAAGGTCACAACGACAACGAAAGCAGCAACAGCACCAGCAACACCAACAACAGCCAACAACTGCAACAACAACACCAGCAACAGCAGTGTGTGGCAATAATGGCTCTCCCAAGCTCCTCTCTTTTTTTTGGGGCTTTATGCTCTTCCTCTTTTGTTGGGAGCCCTCTCAGAGAAACACCAACGCAACTGCAACGACTTCTCAGGCACGAACGAACAAAACCCGAATGTTCGAGAGTACGTTGCTCTCTCACCGGAGATTACCTGCGTGTGTTGGTGAGAAATTGCCGCCGCCGCTCAGTGCGACTCACTTTTGTTTTTATTCAGTCTCCACCGACTGGTCACCACCCCCCCACACTCCACCCCCCCTTCTCGGCCCACTGGGGGTCTGTGAAATTGGGCAACGGCAACGCCGGATGTAAAAAAAAATTCAACTTACTAAATAGCATACAAAATTATACCTGTGCCGACTCAGACTCAGACACGGTGTGAAATAGTCGTGAGCGGCCAACGAAGTACCATGGGATAGGTAGGGGTTTGTCAGGATAAATTCAAAGAAGCAGGAAATTGGATGGGGTTACCATAGAAATCCTAGAAATATAACAATAAACTAATCTATAATGTCTGTTTTTAATTTTAGTGCCTGATAACTATTACGGCAGCAGTGGCGCCGGCAGTGGGGGCGGCCAGCCAGGAACGCCCGGCACCGCCCAGACGCCCGGCTATCTGACAACGTCCTACTTCAACGCACCGGCGGCAGCAGCGGCGGCGGCAACGCAGCGCGGCTCCAGCCTCAACGGCTATCATTCCCTGCACCAGCAGCAGCAGCAGCAACAGTCGCAACAGCAGTCGCAGCAGCAGCAGCAGCTCAACCACCAGCAGCTAACGCACCAGCAGCAACAGGCGCTGCACCAGCAACTGTCGCACCAGCAGCAACAGCAGCAGCAGCAACAACACCCGCACTCGCAGCTCAATGGTCCGCCCTCGCATCCGCATTCGCATCCACACCAGCATCCGCACTCCCATTCGCACCAGCATCCGCATCCGCACTCGCATTCGCATTCCACGATCGCCAACGCAGCGGCGGCGGCGGCAGCAGCGGCAGTGGTCAGCAGCAGCAGCAGCGCCGTTGCAGCGGCGGCGATGCTGAGCGCCAGTGCAGCAGCGGCGGCCTCTGCATCGCAGTCGGCATCGGCGTCGCAGTCGCAGAGCGTAATCCAACCGGCGACGTCCAGCGTCAGCTACGATCTCTCCTACATGCTGGAGCTGGGCGGCTTCCAGCAGCGCAAGGCCAAGAAGCCGCGAAAGCCCAAGCTGGAGATGGGAGTGAAGCGGCGGAGCCGGGAGGGATCCACCACCTACCTGTGGGAGTTCCTGCTGAAACTGCTGCAGGATAGGGAGTACTGTCCGCGTTTCATCAAGTGGACGAACCGGGAGAAGGGCGTCTTCAAGCTGGTCGACTCCAAGGCGGTATCCCGACTGTGGGGCATGCACAAGAACAAGCCGGACATGAACTACGAGACGATGGGCCGGGCCCTGAGGTACTACTACCAGCGCGGCATCCTGGCCAAGGTGGATGGGCAGCGGCTGGTCTACCAGTTTGTGGATGTGCCCAAGGACATAGTCGAGATCGACTGTAATGGGGTGTAAATAGAACAAAGGTTCTACCATAGATGGGATTAAATATTAAAAAAAAAAAAAAAGATTAAGAAAAAAAAAATAAGAAAAAATACAACCGGCTAACGGCTAGCGGCAATAGTGGCTGAAAGCCACGCAAGGAATCCCTTTGTACATGTGTTGAGTTTCTTAAAAGCGTAAATTATATAGCTGATAGTCCCGATGCGAGTACACACATACTTACATACATATACATATATTCACACCCTGTGTCCTGTGCGGTCAAGTAATGGATCTATTTCATTGGCGTTAGTGTTGTACTTGTAACTGTAACTTGTAATTTTAATTGTAATTTTTAAATGTATCGGTACGATTAATTATTGAATATTGTTATTATTGGTTATATATTGCTATTGCGGAAGGACGAAGGACGACCGAATTGATTCTTATTGATATTCGATATTCGATAAATGTGTGTAATATGTAAATGAGGACAAATTCTCTATCTCTATTAATCTAAATGTATATGAGTATGTACTATATGCCTAGCCTAATATCTTTTCAACTGCCCCGACCCCCCAGCCCCGCGGCCCAAGTCTAGATATATATCTTCGATCCCACTGGTCGCTGATTGCTACTCTTGGGCGAATTGTTTTTGTTGCTTATTTTATAGAGAAGAGAGATGGAAATTTTTTAATTTCATAGATTTTAGATATTTGTATAATTACGATTAGGTTATTTATTTAAGTGTTTCTCCAGCTATATCCCTTAACTTTCCTCGGAAATGAGAAAAAAAAACACAAAAACACACTTCCTAACTGGAGCTACTGGTGGTCTAAACTTTCTTGTAATTATTATTTCATAAGTTTTGTATATTTTACAATATTCAACGGAAGAAAACTCACAGGTTAAAAAAACAACAAAAAATAATTAAAAATTATGAAACACTCCTTGAGCAATCGTTTAAGCAGTCCTAGAACACCAAACTCTATCTCGATCTGAAACTTATGTTTAAACTTTAAACCTTAAACCGTAAAGATAATTTAACTTGTATTCTTGTTAACGATACACTGCCACAAACCATAACAAACCTACAAACCAGAAAATAGAACAGACCCCAAACAGAATCGAGATCCTCAATGCAATATACTATATATCTATATATAGATACAACTACCGACAAGATACTTCTACAGCTTCTACAACAATTTCCAAACACTGCCCAAACGTGCAATCTCTTGAAAGGAACCTTGAATAGGATTATTCGGACAGAGAATAAAAACCAACTCCTAGTTCTTTAATCTAATTCTTTAATAGTTGCGTTCTCTAAGTACCTTTATCTATTCTTAATATTATTATTTTTATGTGTACGTAAATGATGATGAAATCTACAATATATCATTTTGTTTATGATGATTGCTTGATTGATTGATTGATAATGCAAATAAACAAAGTGAGTCTTGAGTTCAACTCTGTTCATTGTAAACAATTTTTTATGATTATTTTTTATTTTTTAAATAAAATTATTATTTCAATTTGAGCATGCGTTTTATTTATATATTAAAATTTAAACTCGAAAAAACCCAAAAAATGGTAACAAAGAAATAATTAGTTTTTAAGCAAAAAGATATGATACAAATATATGGAACCCGCTACAAATTTGGAATCTAGATATACCTCCCAAGAAAAGTACATAAAGTTGCATAAGTTAAAGTATATTCAAAGTCTATATAGGATAATACCGATATTTATAATCGAGTCTATTGAGCAGATGTCATATTTTAGATAAATCGGATTGGTGTATTTTGTAGTTCTAAGCCACACACACACTCTTAACACAACACAGTACTATATTTATGGCATAAAACACCACTTACAGAGGTCTCAGTTTATGAGGTTTCCCCACAGATCATGGATTTATATATATGTCTATCTATTAATTAGCATAAATCAGTTATTAGCAACTAGTGGATGCATATTCCAAGGTTATAAGGAGGATAGAGTTTAAGGGAACCCGAAAGCAAAACAGCCGCAGAATCGAACCATATAGACAAGACTCGAGTACAACGAAATCGGTCAATATGAATCTGATCCAGACCCCGAATAATACAGCTTTAAATCAAGACAGTACTTCCACTTATAATTTCCAACAATTTTCTGAAATAGTATCTAAACTTTAGATTCTAAAGCCACCAATCCAAAAAATAAAAGAATTCTTCAAAGCACGACAATTGTAAATAAACAACTTCTGGACCTCATGTTTCCCTTTGGCTATAATCTTAGATATAGGCTATATATACATATACCCCAATTAATTTGGATAACCCCAAAATGCTGGATAAGACCAACTAAATTAAAGATGAACGAATGCCGAAGGGCAGGATTTCTTTATTAAGTTAAGAAAACACTCAATTGGTAACCACAAAAAACAAAAAACGAAACTATATAGCTTTTAAAAAGATCGTGGATAAAAATTTGACTTATATTGGAAAGATACGGATTGGAATGATCGGGTTTAGAAGAATCTGTTGAACGGCTTAACATTAGTTACACTTAGTTTATGAATAACTAACCCTAATTTAAGAGTTTTGCCGTTAAGTTGTGTTTTGTTTCGATATTTGTACATTTAACCAGACACTTTTTGAAATGTCTGCGATGGAAATCAGCTAAAGCCAGCCACAATATATATATGATATATACACATACTTTAAATGCATACGTAGTAAGATATTGAACGTTGGATTGAAGAAATGGTGTGTAGGTGAATTTTATGGTTAGAGAGAAAGCAAGTGAAAGGTTTAGATTAATTTTTATAAGAATGCATTAAGTGCTAATGTCGCAAGCTAGCATAATTATTTACTGTTATGAAAACATAAGAGTTTTAAGATTTTTAGCTAAATTTTGTATATTTTAATCTACAAACTATAAAATATATATATTATCTGTTTTATAAATAACAATATTTCAAAGTGTTTTTATAGTTTAACTAACTGAGGCTTTCTGTCAATCTTTGGGGATGTGTAATGATTCAATTGATGCTAAGATTCGGTTGCAATTAAGATATACCTTTTTATTCCCAATAATTTCAAATATAATTCTAGTGTTGAAAATGGTTGATGTTTTAGTGTTGAAAAGTAGCACTTTTATACCTTTTGTGGAATACGTATGGCAACCTCTGAAAACTGGTATTAAGTGGCAACTCTGGCTCAACTAAAGCCAACTGGCAACTCTATATCGATATATCGTAATATCGATAGTTTGATATATTATCAACAACCCTACTGAATACATTTTTTTTCCGCAAAGTTTGTCATTGTCCAGGTAGTCCAGGTAATGCTTTGTCGAAAAAATAACGAGCAGTAAAGAACCGCCGTGGTTCCAGTGCCTAACGCGACGCCGAATGCTGCAGGAATTGCTACGAATTAAGGCGAAAGTTGCATAACACGTCGCCTGGTGTCGCGGTCGCAATTTCCAGAAAACCACGCACGCACACAAACACACGCGCACGCGAGCGGATAGTGAAGTGTGAAAAGCGTGGATACTCGCAACAACCATCAAAATAGAAGCCCTGCAGCCCAGCATTTAGCTACAGGACAACGAATGTGCATTCCGTGTGCGGCGTAGCCAATGTGCTGTGATCCCCCTGAATCCCGTCCGCACCCCGCATCCAAATCCGCATCCCACACGCACATAAACACACACACACACACACAGTTTCAACAAATACAAACACACCGCCGTCGCCGTCGCTGTCGCCGCTCACCAATACAACCATACAACAGCACGGCCCACAAAGAGCTCTCCGCTCCGTACGCTTCCTCTTTGTACAGTTCCTACGCCGAGCAGTGAAGCAGCTGAATCAGCAGCCATCCGCGGATTTTGAGGCGCAGTAAACAAGAGGCTTGCATGTGAACCGAAAATCAGGAAAACATAACCACCCACAACCACCCAGCAGCCCGGAGAGCATCACGAGAGCGTCATGGCCACGCCAATGTCCGTAGCCTCGGCTTCCGGGATGGGGGCGGGCGGCAGTGGCAGCAGCAGCTCCTCGGGTGCGGGCACATCGTCTGGTGGTGCCGCCGCCTCGTCTGGTAGCAGCAGCAGCAACAACAACCTGCCGTTCGAAAAGGATAAGATCTGGTACTTCAGCAACGATCAGTTGGCCAACTCGCCGAGCCGAAGATGCGGAATCAAGAGCGACGATGAGCTGCAATACCGCCAGATGACCGCCTACCTAATCCAGGAGATGGGACAACGCCTGCAAGTGTCACAGCTGTGCATCAACACGGCGATCGTGTATATGCACCGGTTCTACGCATTTCATTCGTTCACCCAATTCCATCGGAACTCAATGGCGTCCGCCAGCCTGTTTCTGGCCGCCAAGGTGGAGGAGCAACCCAGGAAGCTGGAGCACGTGATTCGGGCCGCCAACAAGTGCCTGCCGCCGTCAACCGAACAGAACTATGCCGATCTCGCCCAGGAGCTGGTGTTCAATGAGAATGTACTGCTGCAGACGCTCGGGTTTGATGTGGCCATCGACCATCCGCACACGCATGTGGTGCGCACCTGCCAGCTGGTCAAAGGTAGGCACCAATCCGCTCTAGCGCTATATATCAGACGGTGGTCCAGTAGAGCGATTGTGTACTGATTACTATGGTATATATTTTAGCATGCAAGGATCTGGCGCAGACCTCGTACTTCTTGGCCTCGAACAGGTATGGTTAGCGATACGCTGCTCCCCTGGTATTTGTATCTAGACATTCCTACAACCCCCCACAGATAAGGGTGACCCCCGTAATTGGGCCGGTGTGTGTGTGCGGGTGCGGGTGTGGGTGTGGGTAACCAGCCAAGATGCAGCATCAAAAACTGCAATCAGGTTTTTGGGATATTATATTTGGTATCCTTAGAGTCCGTCTACCTGCGTGTAGTTGCTCGCCTAATAGACCCAAAACTACCTTCCGCGTAACAAAGAAAACAAAATGAAGGACCAAAGTCAGATACTGAAACAAGGACGCGAGGTCCCTAATCTCGGCAGGCCTAATCTCAACAAAAGGGATATCTCTCACATTGTAATTTGCGCTGGAAAATCCGCCAAATGTCAAGGAATATTCGGTAATTCTTGGAAAACATAATGTCCCTTTTTTCGCGAAAATTGTAAATCCCATCGTCTACCTACTGTTGAGGTCCTTAAAAGTTGAGGTCCTTGGTACCACATGGTTAGATAAAGGTCCCCTTAATACTTTGTAATGGATATCTTTGTATTGGAAGTGTTTTTCTTAAAAAAAAAAAAATAAAATAAAAAATGATAAAAAAAAAGAATAATTTTCATAAAAAAAATCCTTAATTTTTGTTAAATTTAAATCTTTTGTGGGGTTGGCTAGCGATTAGGATTGATATATTGAGGACTAGTCGATCCCCCTGCACACACTTATCCAAAAATCATAAACGTAAGCCTTTTAATTGAACGAACGAAACATTAATCATGTTAACCACCTGGCACAGCCTGCATCTGACCTCGATGTGCCTCCAGTACCGACCCACGGTGGTGGCCTGCTTTTGCATTTACTTGGCCTGCAAGTGGTCCCGGTGGGAGATACCGCAATCGACCGAGGGCAAGCACTGGTTCTACTATGTGGACAAGAGCGTGTCCCTGGATCTGCTCAAGCAGCTGACGGACGAGTTTATTGCCATCTACGAGAAGAGTCCCGCCCGCCTCAAGTCCAAACTGAACTCCATCAAGGCGATCGCCCAGGGTGCCAGCAATCGGACTGCCGCCAACAAGGACAACAAGCCCAAGGAGGACTGGAAGATGAGCGAGATGATCAAGGGATACCACTCGAACATCACCCCACCGCCAGAGCTACTGAATGGCAACGATAGCCGGGAGAGGGAGCGGGATCGTGATCGGGACAGGGAGCGGGAACGAGCGGATCCTTCGCTTCTGCCGCCGCCATCGATGGTGCCGCAGCAAAGGCGACCGGATGGCAGTCATCAGCGTTCGTCCGGGGTGGGCGGAGTGCCGGGTAGCGGCTCTTCCTCGTCATCCTCCTCGTCGTCCTCCAATCACAAGTTGCCAAACTATCCGGGCGGCATGCCGTCCGAGGCGCATCCAGGTGAGATTACCAGCTCCAGCTTAGGAAGAATCCTTTTCATTAACTTTTCACTTCTATTTCAGATTACAAGTCCAAGCAGCCGGGCTACAGCAATCGCATGCCCTCCGGCCACCAGCGGAGCAGTAGCAGTAGTATGGGCTCGTCGGGAAGCAGTGGGAGTGGCCAGCGTAGCAGTTCATCCTCGTCGTCGAGCAGTCAGCCAGGACGGCCGTCGATGCCTGTGGACTACCACAAGCCATCGCGTGGCATGCCGCCCGTGGGCGTGGGTATTCCTCCACCCCATGGCAGTCATAAAATGCCGCCGGGCTCCAAGCCCCCGCTACCGTCGCACCAACAGCAGCCACCGCCTACACATCCTTCCGCCTCGAGCTCGTCAGTGTCCTCCAAGGACAAGTCGCAGAGCAGTAAGATGTACCCCAATGCTCCGCCGCCTTACAGCAGTAGTGCTCCCCCCAATCCGTCGATGTCGCGCGGTGGCTATCCGGGCTCCAGCAACGGATCCCAGCCAGCACCGCCTGCCGGCTATGGCGGGCACCGCAGCAAATCCGGCTCCACCGTCCACGGCATGCCGCCCTTTGAGCAGCAGATGCCCTATTCCCAGAGCCAAAGCTACGGCCACATGCAGCCACAGCAGGCACAGCAGTCTCAGCTTCCGACGCTTGACGCGCCACCGTCACAGGCGCAGGCACAGTCGCAGTCTAAGATGTCACTGTTTAGTCCCGAGTGGTCGGACATCAAGAAGGAGCCGCTGGCTCAGCCGCCGCCCTTCAACGGACTGCTGCCGCCGCCGGTGCCGCAGGGCCACGACTACAAGCTGAACAATCACCCCCGCGATAAGGAGAGCCCCAAGAAGGAGCGTCTCACGCCCACCAAGAAGGAGAAGCACCGTCCGACTGGCATGCCCATGGGCAGCAGCAGTAGCAGCACCAGCAGCAGTAGTGGTATCGGTAGCAGTAGTTCCTCCGCCTCAGGCTCGGCCAAGCCAATGATGCCGCCCCACAAGAAGCCCCTGCCACATGGCGGCGATCTGCTGGCCAACACCGGTGAGGGTGGCAGCTTGAAGCGAGCCAACGACATCTCCGGTAGCCAGTATGGTCTGAACAAGCTGGATGACATGGATGGCAGCTTGCCGCGCGAGAAGCTACGCAAGCTGGACAACAGCACTGGCCTGCCCACATACCCAAGCTACGAGGAGAAACACCCGCCTTTGAACATGTCCAACGGGATCGAGACCACTCCGGATCTGGTGCGCAGCCTGCTAAAGGAAAGCCTCTGTCCGTCGAATGCCTCGCTCCTGAAACCAGACCCCCTGACCATGCCGGGTCTGAAGCCGCCGGCAGAGCTGCTGGAACCCATGCCCATGGCAACGGTGAAAAAGGAACCGGGCCTGATCACTCCTCTGAGCAATACCGTGCCCATGGAACTGGAGATAGGTGCCACGAAGTTGGCCAGCGACATGAAGGACGAGACTGGCAGCACCAAGTCCGAGAAGAAGAAGAAGAAGGACAAGCACAAGCACAAGGAGAAGGATAAGTCCAAGGACAAGACCGAGAAGGAGGAGCGCAAGAAGCACAAGAAGGATAAGCAGAAGGACCGAAGCAGCAGCGCTGGCAGCAGTGGACCCCCCAAGGAAGGTTCCCTCGCCAACGAACCCCTGAAGCTCACCATCAAAAATCCTAATCCCAACCCCAACGGCGGCCTGAAACTGAAGATCAAGGTGGAGTCCAGTAACTATTCGACGGCGACAGGTATGCCGGGTGCTGCTGGCTTCGGAGCGCCCTCAGCTACGGCCACTACCGCGTCGTCAGCAGCCGGGGGAGTCCCTCCTCCGCAGGGCATGGTTCCGGGCTACAATGCCGGCGGTGGAGCTGGCGCTGGCGGCTATAGCTCGTCCGGTGGCAGCAGTTCCGGCGGCAGTAGCAAGAAGAAGCACAGCGATCGGGACCGCAGCGACAAGGAGAGCAAAAAGAGCAAATCCCAGAGTCAGGGACAGGATTACGCGAAATACAACGGAGTTGGTGGAGGAGGATTTGCTCCACTGGGCGGTGCAGGCGCCGCAGTCAGCATGGGTGCTCCCCTGGTCACCGCAGCCCCACCGGCTCTGCTGATGGCGCCAGCCAGCACTGCTGCGCCGACCGGGGGCCTGGCACCGCCACCGTTGCCCGTCTACAGCAAGAAGTAATGGAAACGGTTGGACTTTTTTATATGATTTGTGTATAGAAAATAGATAACTAGAAGCTCTGTAAGTCGCCGGCAGGCGTTAGTTGTTAGAATTGTTGGGGAGATACATTAGTCAGCTAAGTTATTGATTCATTTTAGTTAAGCGCAAAGCTACATTTATAAGATAAACCGAGAGAGGGCAGAAATTGTGAATGATAATCGCCGATGTAAACGCAAAACTCAAAAAGCGAAACAATTTGTACAGCATTAATTAATTTATAATTAAAAAGAAAAACACCTAACATTTAACATACATAACGAGCATAAATACGTACATAACAAGCATACATCAATACGAAATATTTGGCAAACAGAATCAGAGATCCTGGGAAGAAACCAGATACCAGATACCATATACCATATAGCAGAATAGCAGCTATGGCCGTGTAGCATTTAAGTTAGCAAATCAACTACCCATATACACTACACCTACACACCAACAGAGCTGTATATATATACACGAAACCCACATTCACACACAATGAGATATATGCATATATATAGAGAACCGACTTCCGCTTAGCAAATCCACTATGAAACGGCCCCCAACTATGAAAGCCAGTCAAGCAGCCGAAGGACTCGGGATAATCCACAGACTAAGCTGAAGAAGAGAACAAAAATAATGAAGAAGGATATATAGAAGAGAAGAAAGGATAATTACAGAAGTGCAAGAAGAGAAAAGCCAGCGCTTTGATTCTAAATTAAAGACGCCAAACTAAATAATAAATTATTTAAATTAAATCATAGTTGCTAAAGCGAAAGTAAATGAAGAAGAAGTTTATTTTTAGTTAGCAAAGTTTTCTTTCCTCTTTCTTTTAAATGTTTGCCCCTCCCCGTTTACAGACATCGACACGCCACCAATTTTCCAATTTTTTCAAATTTAGACCGATATACACATATATATAAATATATATAAATTATATACAGTAATGTATTTTTTTCGCTTATGATAATCTTACGGATCTAATTGTTTCAGCGGAGGATATTATGTTTAAAGTTCGCCTGGAACGTTGACGTAGCTTTCATTTGTTTTTAATTTATTTTTAAAATAGAATTACGATACAATTTACCACAAAACCAATACAAAAACAAAAAAATCAAACAAAAATTCCCCACAAAACAAAAACCAAACAAAAAAAAAATAAATTTTGAATAAAACAAAAAAAATTGTTGTGCAAGAAAACCGAAAATAAAAAAACGTTTAAAAATTATATTAAAAAAAATGCAAGCGAAAACGTTGCAAGCAAACTAAGCTAATCGAACGAAAATAAAAAACACAAAAAACTAACACAAGCTAGAAGAAAAATAAATGTTAGGCATATACAAAAGAAAAAATAAAAACACAAAATCGAGATCATTACACGATCGATATGGAACTTTATGTAATTTTCGATTAAGGCAAAGGTTAAGCGAACGTTGCGCGTTTTTCAAAAACTATTCGTATTCGTATTCGATTTCTCTAATAAGCTGCATTAAGCTGCAATCATACTATATAGCTCTAAACTATATAACTTACATCCCATACACACACACGCATTACACTCACACCCCACATACTATACATAGAAGAAGCAACAAAACATTTAATTTAAGTTGAGAACACAAGAAAACCCGTTTTTCCAAACGATCGACTCCCACACTGCTCCCATCGATCGACCAGAAACAAATGCGTAAGTTGCATCTAAGGTTTAGATTTTCCTTTTTTTACATACATACTTATTCTTGGCCACGCCCACATTACATACCTTACCTCTCCCTCCACCCTCCCACAAGTCTAAATTAAGTTTTTGTACATATATATATGGAAAGCATATGGAAAATCCGCCACTCGGACGGCGGTCAAGTGTCGGGTTCCACTGGGATTATATGGTTGTGAGTTCGAAAGTGGACGCACTCGACACTTGCACGTCGGCCACGAAGGCTTGAATAAAAATTTTCAAAACCAGACAAAAATCCAAAACAAAAAATCAATAAAAATGACAAAAAATAAACAACAAAAAAACTGGAAAAATTAAATAATGTGTGTTTTTATTAAAAGAGTGGGGGGTATGTGTACATGTGGGGTATACCCAGGTAACCAGCGAACCCAGGAGCGACTTTCCTCATATAAAACATTCCCTAAATATCATAAAATTGTACCATCATAAAATTGTGTGTTTTCCCGATTTCCCCACTTTTGCTCCTTCCGATGGCCATAGCTCTGCCGAATTGTATCCGATCAGGAAATAAAGTACCATTCAGTAATCAGCGAACCCAGGAGCGACTTTCCTCATATAAAACATTCCCTAAATATGGTTTTGAAATTTTTCGAATTTTTTCCTAGGGGTACCATCATAAAATTGTGTGTTTTCCCGATTTCCCCACTTTTGCTCCTTCCGATGGCCATAGCTCTGCCGAATTGTATCCGATCAGGAAATAAAGTACCATTCAGTAATCAGCGAACCCAGGAGCGACTTTCCTCATATAAAACATTCCCTAAATATGGTTTTGAAATTTTTCGAATTTTTTCCTAGGGGTACCATCATAAAATTGTGTGTTTTCCCGATTTCCCCACTTTTGCTCCTTCCGATGGCCATAGCTCTGCCAAATTGTATCCGATCAGGAAATAAAGTACCATTCAGTAATCAGCGAACCCAGGAGCGACTTTCCTCATATAAAACATTCCCTAAATATGGTTTTGAAATTTTTCGAATTTTTTCCTAGGGGTACCATCATAAAATTGTGTGTTTTCCCGATTTCCCCATTTATGCTCTTTCCGATGGCCATAGCTCTGCCAAATTGTATCCGATCAGGAAATAAAGTACAATTCAGTAATCAGCGAACCCAGGAGCGACTTTCCTTATTCAAAACATTTCCTAAATATGGTTTTGAAATTTTTCGAAAATTTTCCTAGGGGTACCCCTGTAAAATTGTGTGTTTTCCCGATTTCCCCACTTTTGCTCCTTCCGATGGCCATAGCTCTGCCAAATTGTATCCGATCAGGAAATAAAGTACCATTCAGTAATCAGCGAACCCAGGAGCAACTTTCCTCATTCAAAACATTTCCTAAATATGGTTTTGAAATTTTTCGAAAATTTTCCTAGGGGTACCCCTGCAAAATTGTATGTTTTCCCGATTTCCCCATTTATGCTCTTTCCGATGGCCATAGCTCTGCCAAATTGCATCCGATCAGAAAATAAAGTACCATTCAGTAATCAGCGAACCCAGGAGCAACTTTCCTCATTCAAAACATTTCCTAAATATGGTTTTGAAATTTTTCGAAAATTTTCCTAGGGGTACCCCTGTAAAATTGTGTGTTTTCCCGATTTCCCCACTTTTGCTCCTTCCGATGGCCATAGCTCTGCCAAATTGTATCCGATCAGGAAATAAAGTACCATTCAGTAATCAGCGAACCCAGGAGCGACTTTCCTCATTCAAAACATTTCCTAAATATGGTTTTGAAATTTTTCGAATTTTTTCCTAGGGGTACCCCTGTAAAATTGTATGTTTTCCCGATTTCCCCACTTTTGCTCCTTCCGATGGCCATAGCTCTGCCAAATTGTATCCGATCAGGAAATAAAGTACCATTCAGTAATCAGCGAACCCAGGAGCGACTTTCCTCATTCAAAACATTTCCTAAATATGGTTTTGAAATTTTTCGAATTTTTTCCTAGGGGTACCCCTGTAAAATTGTATGTTTTCCCGATTTCCCCACTTTTGCTCCTTCCGATGGCCATAGCTCTGCCAAATTGTATCCGATCAGGAAATAAAGTACCATTCAGTAATGAGCGAACCCAGGAGCGAATTTCCTCATTCAAAACATTGCTTAAATATGGTTTTGAAATTTTTCGAATCTTTTCCTAGGGGTACCCCTGTAAAATTGTATGTTTTCCCGATTTCCCCACTTTTGCTCCTTCCGATGGCCATAGCTCTGCCAAATTGTATCCGATCAGGAAATAAAGTACCATTCAGTAATGAGCGAACCCAGGAGCGACTTTCCTCATTCAAAACATTGCTTAAATATGGTTTTGAAATTTTTCGAATCTTTTCCTAGGGGTACCCCTATAAAATTGTATGTTTTCCCGATTTCCCCACTTTTGCTCCTTCCGATGGCCATAGCTCTGCCAAATTGTATCCGATCAGGAAATAAAGTACCATTCAGTAATCAGCGAACCCAGGAGCAACTTTCCTCATTCAAAACATTTCCTAAATATGGTTTTGAAATTTTTCGAAAATTTTCCTAGGGGTACCCCTGCAAAATTGTATGTTTTCCCGATTTCCCCATTTATGCTCTTTCCGATGGCCATAGCTCTGCCAAATTGCATCCGATCAGAAAATAAAGTACCATTCAGTAATCAGCGAACCCAGGAGCGACTTTCCTCATTCAAAACATTTCCTAAATATGGTTTTGAAATTTTTCGAATTTTTCCTAGGGGTACCCCTGTAAAATTGTATGTTTTCCCGATTTCCCCACTTTTGCTCCTTCCGATGGCCATAGCTCTGCCAAATTGTATCCGATCAGGAAATAAAGTACCATTCAGTAATGAGCGAACCCAGGAGCGACTTTCCTCATTCAAAACATTGCTTAAATATGGTTTTGAAATTTTTCGAATCTTTTCCTAGGGGTACCCCTATAAAATTGTATGTTTTCCCGATTTCCCCACTTTTGCTCCTTCCGATGGCCATAGCTCTGCCAAATTGTATCCGATCAGGAAATAAAGTACCATTCAGTAATCAGCGAACCCAGGAGCAACTTTCCTCATTCAAAACATTTCCTAAATATGGTTTTGAAATTTTTCGAAAATTTTCCTAGGGGTACCCCTGTAAAATTGTATGTTTTCCCGATTTCCCCACTTTTGCTCCTTCCGATGGCCATAGCTCTGCCAAATTGTATCCGATCAGGAAATAAAGTACCATTCAGTAATCAGCGAACCCAGGAGCGACTTTCCTTATTCAAAACATTTCCTAAATATGGTTTTGAAATTTTTCGAAGTTTTTCCTAGGGGTACCCCTGTAAAATTGTGTGTTTTCCCGATTTCCCCACTTTTGCTCCTTCCGATGGCCATAGCTCTGCCAAATTGTATCCGATCAGGAAATAAAGTACAATTCAGTAATCAGCGAACCCAGGAGCGACTTTCCTTATTCAAAACATTTCCTAAATATGGTTTTGAAATTTTTCGAAAATTTTCCTAGGGGTACCCCTGTAAAATTGTGTGTTTTCCCGATTTCCCCACTTTTGCTCCTTCCGATGGCCATAGCTCTGCCAAATTGTATCCGATCAGGAAATAAAGTACCATTCAGTAATCAGCGAACCCAGGAGCAACTTTCCTCATTCAAAACATTTCCTAAATATGGTTTTGAAATTTTTCGAAAATTTTCCTAGGGGTACCCCTGCAAAATTGTATGTTTTCCCGATTTCCCCACTTTTGCTCCTTCCGATGGCCATAGCTCTGCCAAATTGTATCCGATCAGGAAATAAAGTACAATTCAGTAATCAGCGAACCCAGGAGCGACTTTCCTTATTCAAAACATTTCCTAAATATGGTTTTGAAATTTTTCGAAGTTTTTCCTAGGGGTACCCCTGTAAAATTGTGTGTTTTCCCGATTTCCCCACTTTTGCTCCTTCCGATGGCCATAGCTCTGCCAAATTGTATCCGATCAGGAAATAAAGTACCATTCAGTAATGAGCGAACCCAGGAGCAACTTTCCTCATTCAAAACATTTCCTAAATATGGTTTTGAAATTTTTCGAAAATTTTCCTAGGGGTACCCCTGTAAAATTGTATGTTTTCCCGATTTCCCCACTTTTGCTCCTTCCGATGGCCATAGCTCTGCCAAATTGTATCCGATCAGGAAATAAAGTACCATTCAGTAATCAGCGAACCCAGGAGCGACTTTCCTTATTCAAAACATTTCCTAAATATGGTTTTGAAATTTTTCGAAGTTTTTCCTAGGGGTACCCCTGTAAAATTGTGTGTTTTCCCGATTTCCCCACTTTTGCTCCTTCCGATGGCCATAGCTCTGCCAAATTGTATCCGATCAGGAAATAAAGTACCATTCAGTAATGAGCGAACCCAGGAGCGAATTTCCTCATTCAAAACATTGCTTAAATATGGTTTTGAAATTTTTCGAATTTTTTCCTAGTGGTACCCCTGTAAAATTGTATGTTTTCCCGATTTCCCCACTTTTGCTCCTTCCGATGGCCATAGCTCTGCCAAATTGTATCCGATCAGGAAATAAAGTACCATTCAGTAATCAGCGAACCCAGGAGCGACTTTCCTCATTCAAAACATTTCCTAAATATGGTTTTGAAATTTTTCGAATTTTTTCCTAGGGGTACCCCTGTAAAATTGTATGTTTTCCCGATTTCCCCACTTTTGCTCCTTCCGATGGCCATAGCTCTGCCAAATTGTATCCGATCAGGAAATAAAGTACCATTCAGTAATGAGCGAACCCAGGAGCGACTTTCCTCATTCAAAACATTGCTTAAATATGGTTTTGAAATTTTTCGAATATTTTCCTTTTCTTTTTTCCTTTTTTCCTAATTATAATCTAATTATAGAAAACTTATGGTGTTTGATGAGACAATAACGTGGTCCAATATCCACTCCAAATAGCTACTAATGCGGGTAAAGACTGCCGGAAAACCCACTTGACAGCCCATGCTGCTGCCAAAGGAAGTGGCTCCTATCAAGTAGGTGGAGTTTCCGTTCTTGTAGACCAGCGGACCGCCGGAGTCGCCATGGCAGGTGGACTTGCCGCTGGTAGTGCTCATGCAGATCATCTTCTCGGAGACCGCGCCACTCCAGTACATCCGGCACAGGCCCTGTGGCATGATGGGCATCTCTACGTACTTCAAGACTGGAGACACCGTTTCCGAGGCATCACTGTCCCGTCCCCAGCCGGATGCAATGGCCTTGAGAGACTCATATGTGGGAAAGGATCCGTTGACGCGACGTGGCAGACTGGCGGGCCGAATGCGATCCGTAAAGCTTACAAATCTGGGCAGACGGATGAGGGAGATGTCGTTGGCAGTTGTGCTGGCCAAGTAGCTGGAGTGGACAATTATCCTTGACTTATCCACCACGAAGCGCTTTTGTCCAGACTCTTCTTCATCCTGGATGTTGGTGGCGCCCAAATAAACGGTCGCCGATTCCGCTCCGTCCATGCAATGAGCAGCCGTGATTACCCAGTAGTGAGAAATCAAGGTCCCACCGCACCAGTTCCAGCCCAGGTCACCGTAGGACACGTTTATGCCGGCCTGGTAGGGAAACTGTCCCACCCCGGCCAGTTCTCCGTTTGTGATAAAAGGTTCCACTTCCGAGCTGTTCGAGAAAGGAACTGCCGAGCAGGAGGCAATCCAAAGGATAACATACAGCAACTTCATCTTACAATTTTTTTTTAAATGGTTTGAAATGGAAGTTTGTGGATTGCTTTTATAGGTAAGGCTTGCAGTCCAAATGGGTGTTCTTGAAGATAATGAAAATAATACCCTTCAAGTTGGAGAGGCCCCAGATAGTTTAATAGAGGGATTAGTTTGTAAAACACAGCCAAAAACACTCGATTTGGTATGAATCATTCGGACTGACAACTGGGGATACCAAAAAAATATATTATAGATGATTATTCAATATAAAACAAATATTATTCATAGAAAATAGAGCCTCAAGAATTAAGACAATTAATTGAAATTTAAACAAATTGTGTGGGTGTTCTGATAAGAAATACCTACATATATTGATAGATACATATAAGAATTTAACACTAGGTGGTATTTTCTCTGCAATCATTATTGTGCTAATACTTCAAAGAATATCTTATCAAAAAAAAACCGCACTTTGAACAGATTTTGATAGACAATACTATCAATCAATTAAGATATTGTAGTTTTAAAATCAAATTAGTGTACTAACTAGTTAAATATACTTAAAAATAATAAAGGTTTCATAAAGTTTTTGGAGTTTACCCAACTCGGAATACTCCCAATTCACAGAAGTGACTTCTTATCAAAGTCCCGTGAAAAAAATTAAAGCAAAACACATGTATTCTGAATTATTTCGGTAATCAAATGGCGTTCAGATGAGCCTCGATTGATAAATCGTAATCGAGTGTTCGTACGACTGCAATGGAAGATAATCCATTGAGTGGACGGCCCATAAACCCCACATTCAGGTGCGTGGAATACGTCAGTAGCTAAGTAGGTGGACTTGGAAGACCATGCAAATCATTTCGGTTTTGGTTGTGGTGCTATTGGTTCTCCAGGGAAGGTGTCTCCATTCCCTGGACTTGAGTCATGGCCGGATTTCAGGCGGGGATCTAGCTGCTGCGAATCAGTTTCCCTATCAAGTGGGTCTGAGCATTGAGGAGCCAAACGAAATGTTTTGTTGGTGTGGTGGAAGTTTGATCTCCGAATGGTATCTCCTCACGGCAGCACATTGTGTGGAAAAGTAACTATCAATGATTATCTTATTAATTTATTAAATTAATATATTTAAAAATTATTTAAATAGTGCTGTGTCCATCACATTCTACTTGGGAGGAGTACAACGTCTGTCGCCTCGCCAGCTAATTCGATCCACTTCTCCGAAAGTTTACCTCCACACCGATTGGAACACTAAGACCTATGAGAACGATATCGCCCTGATCCGTCTTCCAGAGGTTGCGATATTCAGTAGCTTCATAACTCCCATAAGGTTGCCGGGACTAGCTTTAAGGAAATCCAGCTACGACTATATTCTGGCTACAACATCCGGTTGGGGTCGCACAAATGATGGTGAGGAAGCAAATCTTTAGACAAGTTTCACCCCAAATGGCTACAATATAGTGTACAATATAGGGTTTTTATATTGCCAAGAAACCTTGACACACATATGAATATTGTAATGTTAAAAGGTTAAAAGATCCTTCTTCTTAGGTCTGAAATTAGTGTTTATTTTATTCGTACGTAAATTTTTATAGTAGTTTTTCAACAATAAGACGTTTAGGTACTCACGGAAATATTAATCGGATTTATACAGAATTTAGTATTTTTTTCTAATAGCTACAGTCATCATACAGACTCTATATTTCCGTACACTATATTTCATATACCTCATGATCTATGCAATATTTACAGTATTGAATACCACGGAAGGTATTCTTGAAATGGAAAGTATGTATTTTAAGGTAGCGTTTCTCCCTAAAATCGTTTTCTCAACTTTAAAATTTGTATCCACCAAAAAGATTATAAAGTTTAGTTTAAAATTGGGACTTCAATTAGAAAAATATACTTTCTTTTAAATTATAAAATATAAAACATGCAAGTCCTTGACCTAACCAGTTGAAAATAACTTTGAAGACAGTAAATAACCTATTACCCTTATTTTTACAGATTCCACTGCCATATCCGACAACCTACGCTATGTTATTAGCTACGTAGAGTCCAATGAGGACTGCCAGTATTCCTACTCGAACATAAAATCCACCAATATCTGCATGGACACCACTGGAGGACGATCCACTTGTACAGGCGACTCTGGAGGTCCTTTGGTTTATCGTGATCCGGCCCAGAATACTGATATACTCATCGGTGTCACTTCCTACGGCAAGAAGACGGGATGTACTAAGGGCTATCCGGCTGTTTTCACACGTGTTACCTCCTATTTGGATTGGATCCAGGAAGTGAGCGGAATCGTCTACCCGTAGAGTGGTCCTCGAGGGCTAAACAATCAGTGCTGGGCACTGTAAACACAATTAAATTAAATGTTGAGCATTTCAAATATATATTTTGTATTTATTAATTGGAGGGCGTGAAGTAGTGGAAGCGATACTTAAAAAACGACGCAATTTCTAAAGAGATAACACTACCAGCTTTCTTTGATAAAGCTATTGAAGATTCGCTGGAGATGTTGGTTCTTTAACAAACCGTAGCATACTTTTCAGTGCTGAAATTATTATATTTCATACAAAAATATTTATTTCATTTTTGTTCGTAATATTATAAGGTTTATATTATTAGATTTTAGTAAGTATTATTTGTATTAAATTATTAATAATAAAAATGTGGATATTTAAAAGTTAAAGGCGTTTGTAATTTTTCTGAGGGAATCTACATAAAATTATTGAAAAGAAACTAAATAAATTATTTAATAAAGATTTGATATTTAGATTCTACATTTTACCTATAACTTTTGAATAAAATTAAATAAACAATAAGCTATATATTTTATAGTAAATTATATCACCTAATTTCATAACAATTACACTAATGGAATAATTCCATTTGAGGGTAATTTCAAAACCCTAAACTTTGGAGTCCAAACTTATCAGAAGTCTCTAAACAATTTAATATATTTCTTGTCTAAAACCGATTAATTTTGAAAGCCTCTAGTTTTTTTTTGCGTTTCATGATTAAAACAATTACGTGAATAGATTATACAAGCCCGGAGGAAAAAAGTCCCCATAATTGTTATTGATTTCCAGTTAGACTATCTTTTGGGCAAGTTAATATTTGCCGAATCACAGGCCGTATCTTAACAACTTCAACAAGTCTGAATGAACGGCCGAGATCAACATCCATATCTCCCCAGCGGCCCGTGCCGATAGCCAAACATTACAGAAGGAGGCGATGGTAGAGACGCACAGCTGACCACTTGAACCTGACGGTGCCTGAAGATCACAGATAGCGATTGGAACGTCAATCGTGTGTAGGGGCCTGACTTGATTATAAAAGCAGAGGGATGACCAGGAGATGGACATACTTTTCGCAAGTAGCCCCAACATGAAGGTACTCATTGTCTTTGCCTTGGCTCTGGCCTACGCCTCTGGATCGGCCCTGCGCTCCGGACTTGATGGTCGCATCACCCGCGGCGAGGATGCCCGCGAGGATCAGTTCCCCTACCAGGTGGGACTATCCCTGAAGATCGGCTCCTCCTCGGCCTGGTGCGGAGGTTCTCTGATCGGACACGAGTGGGTTCTGACCGCCGCTCACTGCACTGATGGGTAAGTGACTTCTAGAGCTTGGAAACCGGATCCCTTTCTGACAATTCCACTCCCACGCTGTAGTGTTGACTCCGTCGAGGTTTACCTGGGCAGCACTGTCCGCGACAGCCCTAAGGTTAAGCACCACGTTGCCAAGAAGGACATCATCATCCACGCCGACTGGAACAGCCGCACTCTGCGCAACGACATCTCCCTGATCCGCATCCCGCACGTCGACTACAGCGCCGCCATCCACAACGTGGAGCTGTCCCGTAGCGATGCCTCCTATGACGGTGATGAGGTGATCGCCTCCGGCTGGGGCCGCACCTCAGACTCTGCTTCCGGCGTTGCTGCCCGCCTCCAGTACGCCCACATGAAGGTCATCTCCAACTCCCAGTGCAAGAGGACCTACTCCTCCACCATCCGTGACTCGAACATCTGTGTCTCCACCCCTGCTGGTGTCTCCACCTGCAACGGCGACTCTGGTGGCCCATTGGTTCTGGCCTCCGACAAGGTCCAGGTTGGTCTGACCTCTTTCGGATCCTCTGCTGGTTGCGAGAAGGAGTACCCCGCTGTGTTCACCCGTGTGTCCAGCTACCGCGACTGGATCAAGGATCACACTGGCATCTAAGTCAATCTGAATAAAAAATTGATAGTTCCGCAAAATAAAAAATGTCTTTGAAATTATAGAAAATATTACCGATCCCTAGCCATATAAGAGAATAACTAGCCATGGTTTAAATCTCTTAAAATGTAACCTTCTTTATTGGTAATCATTACTCTTCCAGTCGCTCTCTGACTTCGAAACAGACGTTCCACTCCTCGCCATTTGACTTTAAAATTTAATTTCGATAGACTTCCTACAGATCAATAATCATATTATCATTTAGGCCTCCATTTTGCAGAGTTACTCTTTCGCCATAAACATTTGGAATGTGTGTGGGTGGTGTATATATAATTAACATTTATACAATATACATTGATTTGAATCATATTTTTTTTTTAGATTTAGTTTCGTTTTGATTTCATTCCATTTCATTTTTTCATATTTATATTAATTTAATTGTTTGTCTTTTTATTAAATAGTAAAGAGCGACTTTTACGGACTAACATTATCATTATTTTGAATACACATACAATTACACAGAATAAAAAATTTAATTTTCGTTTAAAAATATCCATTTATCAGATTACAAATATTAACTTGCATTTACTTTATAGATATACATTTTTTATCCCGCCATTCTTAGGTATTTGTGGCGGGGCACGTTTAGAGGAATAGCGCATAAAAATAACAATTATAAAAAGGTTCTCTGCATATAGGTAAAAGATATATATATATATTTTTGTTTCTTTGTTTGTTTGTTTGACTCTATATAGATTTAATAGTTAGTTAGGGTTTCTCACTTAGTTTGTAAAACGTTTTCAACTTTTTACAATTGTCGGCAATGTAGTAATAAATATATTTATATATAATTTGGACTCTTTGTTAGGTTCTTGTGGTTCACCATGCGCAGCATTACATATTTGGATTATATCTCGTTTTAGTTTAATTGGTGTATATGTTGTGTGTGTAGTATGTGTTGAGTTTTGTTTGGCGCCTAGTTAAAATACATACGAAATAACACTAAACTAGCAAAAATGATTATAATACAAAAGCAAACGAACAAATAAGTACACGATTGGCTGGCGGTGCTGTTCCAAGTGGTTGAAATGATTCGGCGGTTCATCCGATGATTTTCTGGCTGCTGCTGTAATTGTCGTTGTTGTGATGTTTGGAGTCGTTGTTGTTGTTGCTGTTGTTGTTGCTGCTGCTCCTCCTCTTGCTGGTGCTGCAGAAATTGCTGCTGCACCACGAGCCAAAGCCATTCATTGTCGCCCGTGCTGTCGCTCCCGTTGCCGGTGTTATTAATCAACACCAGCAAATCCTTGGCTGCCCTCAATGGCCTTGATGAGCTTGTCCTTCAGCTGCAGGTAGCCCTCGTAGGGTGGCAAGTCCAGGCGATTAAAGCTGCAAAAAAAAATGATGGTCCTATTAGGATACACTCTAGTAACTCCAAAGAACTAATCCCATACCAGGTATGCGCCCTTGGATAGTTGTTGGGTGTGCCCCACTTTTCGATAGTGAACATTTGGGGACCATTGGAGCCGTACAGCTCCTTGAAACCATTCATGGGCACACGCGATGTACCAGTGACGAACTGCAGCAGTCTCGAACGCATCTCGTTCGAAAAGGAGAGCACTGCTCGCCAGAACCACTGGATTATGATGTGGTTCATGTGGTAATCGCCCTTGTAGAGCGTATTCTCGCGCCAGTCCCGCACATCGATGTTCTGAATGCCGCACATCAGCAGCTCCAGCTCGTGCTCGTCAAAGATCTTGATCAGATTCAGGGGGATGATCGAGCCAAAGCCGTCCAGGAACACGGACATCTGCTCCTTGACGCGCGCCACGAAACGCCATTCAATAACGAGTCTGAATGGAATGAATGGATAGTCAGTGTCATGAAAGTATTTAAAATTATTCTATAAACCCACTTGATGTATTCGTCCTTGTTTTCGTTGGTTACATCGATGTTGGCACCACCTGGCTTCAGTTCATGCTGACTCTTCTGGCCAAATACGTCCTCGTCCAGACAGAAGGTTAGCTCCAGTATCCGGGGATCGTTCTCCTTGATCCACATCAGTGAGTTGTAGTACTCGGTGTCCACAGACTCCATGTCCTTCAGGTCAATGGGCTTCTGCAGCATCATCTTGTAGAATGGACGAATGAAAAAGGCATCCAGCAGCTTGCCATGGTACACAGCCATACCAGCAATACGGCCAATGAATCTAGAGTTTTTTCAAAATATATTTTAATAAATCTATATAATTATTAATATTTAGGATCCCTTACTTGAAGTAACTTAAATGCTCTTCGTTGCACAAACCACTGCCATTGTTGATCTGCAGCGTGTAGTTATCCATGGCCGAATACTCAAAGAGACCGTAGTAGGGATTGAACATTTCCTTCGAAAGCAAGTAGAACCACTCCCTGGCAAGGCCACCATAATCTAAAAAAAAAACATTATAACATTAAAATGATTAATCGTTTTATATTTTAGAAGTGCCACTTACCTAAACCAGTCTCTCCCTCAAACTCTACCCATAATTTAGTCTTTAGTAAATCGGTCTTCGTCACCGAGCTAATGATTCGGTAAGAATCCTCCAGGATTGATGTACGGCGGATACGGATTTCAAATTTATTTGGTACGTTGGTCTAAAGATTAAACGATAATTTTAATTTAAGTTTTAAATATTTAATTACATTACTTACAGGCTTTCTAATATGACTCTTGAAATACTCGTACTTCTGCTTGTAGTCTCTGGAATAGGGCACCGCCTGACCAGCAATATTTGGATTGGAGAGGCGTGGGTCCTCCCACTGAGTGGTACGTGTGTCTAAAAAATTAAATAATTAAATTAGAAACTATTATTAATATTATTTAAATAGCACTTACTATGATCTATGTAGAATACACGTCCATCGGTGTGCACCCGCTCCTCCCAGCCCTCGGGCAAAGGTCCCAGATCATCCTCCACGCGTCGTGTCTGATTTGGCATGGGACTGGCGCGTCCATTGCGGGGATCTATCCAGGTGGTGCGACGAGCCGCATGATCAATGAAGAAGGTCCGGCCGTTGGGGGCCACCTGCATGGACCAGCGGGGCGGCAGTGCCTCCTCCTCGCCGGCAGCGTTCTGAAAGACAAGGATTAAGAGGAATCATTAACCAACCATTAATAGTAAAGTATTATCGATATATTTAAGATATTTTCTTGTGCATTCATAGGATGAAAGATAAAAGATAACATTACTTGATCCATGGGAGGCACAGCCGCGTTGTCTTCCTCGGAATTGCGTCGGGTGGACGGAGCTGAGATCTCGGAGGGATTGTGGCTGTCTGTGTGATCGGTGTCTTCATTCTAGGCATTGGTTGATGGATTATTTGATTCGTAAATGTATAGATATGCGGATGCATTGCATTGCGTGTAAATATTTGTTCGTTTTGGAAGAAACAGAAAAGAGTGTTGAAATTAAAAATAATATTTCAATTTATTTCACAAAACAAGCCACATGCAGGTACGATAAAAAAAGCACAAAATATTAGAGAATATTAGCCAGCAAACTAAAGTACACAAGAAGCTGCAACAAACAAGCATTCGAGGGCGACTCAGTCGACATGCAACATGGAGACACGGTGTGGATGCAGAGGATCTGTCGGCGGTATGGTGGTTCGCTTACCCGTGGCACTAGCTACTTCAACCCATGCCCCAACCCCATACATTGTGTGGATAAACGAAAGTGTGAGATTTTCCAAGACTGACAGATAACTCTTACGAATCTTACTTTGAAACACTGGGAGGAATGAAATCACTGGGAGGGGTAGTTGGTAGTTTAATGTTTATGGTTCTTGGGGGTTAACCGGATTAACAACTCAAACAACAAGGACAGTCAGTGGGTTAAGCTACAAGATGATGAACACGTGCTGACCAATTGTTGATGTTGGACTTGCAACTGCACCTGCAGCTGCTGGTGTCTCCGCAGTGGTTGCTGCATCTCCTGCTGCTGGCGATGATCAACATCGAGCTACAAGTGAAATGAATAGTGATTGTGGTGATCTGTATGTGTGTTTTTGTGGTGTTTGGATTTGGATGCGGATGAGTGTGTTCTAGAGGGATAGCTAACCAATATTCTAGTCTGCTGCTGCTGCTGCTGTCGCTGCTGATGCTGCTGGATGTGCTGGTGCATCTGCTGTCGCCGTCGCTGCTGCTGTCGTCCGGTCATGTTGCCCGCCGCTCGCCGCATCAGCACGTTGGTCAGGGCTATGTCTGGAACACCGGGCGCCAGGCGCACCGGCCGGAGATCGTTCTGCAGGCTGGTCGCTGAGATTTCGGGCTGCCTAACGGCGACAGGATGTCGCAGGGAATTGTAAACAAAACTGAGTGGTCAGAAGAGACAGAGGATTAGAAGCTGTTTGGAGGGAAGAATGCCCCGCTGAGAAATACAGCCGATTGGTGGAAGGACTTGATTTGGAATCGGGGCACAGACGACAACACACAGACAGAAGGGCAGGAGGTCAGGAGCTGGGGAGCTACTAAACACTGGACCACTAAACAAATATTAACCTGGCATTGTCCACAGCTGGATCGGGTTCTGGTTCTGGTTGTGGACCATTGGAATTGATGAGGTCGACGGGGATTCCATGGAAGTCGGCCGTTGCCGGTGTCGGTGTCAGGGGTTCTGAGATTGGATTGTCTGTGGGTGTGGTTGAGGCGGCTGTCGGTGTTGTTGGTGTTGTGGCATTGTTATTGTCCTCTAGACTAATGATGTCCTATATACACATGGGTGAGGGTTTATTAATAAATGGAGCTGGCTAATGGAAGGGAGTGAAGCCTACATGATTCTCCATAAAAATAAAAAATAAAAAATGAAAAAGATTCCCTAAAAACTAGCAATACTCTTAAAAGTAATTCGAGATATGATTTCTTTACAAATATGCGGTTCAGGTACAAGTTCCTATCGAGAATATCACAAGTTTGCGCGGTTTGTTCGCCATCCGGATGCGGTGGCTGGAGCTCCACATTGTCCACCTCCACCACATCCTCCTCCTCATCATCTGGCTCTCCCTCCTCCTCCTCCTCCTCGTCATCATCCCTTTCATGCACCTCGCCACAGTGCAGGCAATTGGCCTGATTCCCATCCGCATCCTCGTTGCTGGTCTCGTCGTCGTCGTCGCTGGCCAATGCCTCCATTTGGGCAGCATTCCTCGACCTCTAAGCTTGGTTCAGTGTACAGTTTTGGTTATTGGGTTAGTCGGTGCAGAGTGTGTGTGTGTGTGCGTTGTGTAATGATGTGTGTATTGAGAGTGTGTGAAGTGTGTCGATGGAGGAAAATTAAGAGATATCATGCACGAAAATCAAGTCACTTGCTCATCACACATGCATTAAAGTTCTAACTCTAAATAGATACGGATATAGTTTACCCTTCTTCAACGGATCAAGGCCAAAACTGTTGCAATATAAGCGATTGAGGGATTAGGGAGGCTCCTTGACTTACCGCCGATCGTCCCGACTCCGTTTCATCCACGCTGATGTGAAAGCGTCTCTGGAAGTCCGAGCCCAGTTGGTCTGACGCCTGGTTGAGGTTGGTGTTTAAGCTGGAAGAGGGTATAACATCATCCCCTATGTCTGAGGAAGGAATTCAAATACTTACACAGTTGGTCGCTCCCACTGCGTTGTCCTGGCCGTGTGATTCACATAATAAGTCCGTCCATTGGCATCCTGTCGCTCCTCCCAGCCAGCCGGCAACGAATCGTGACCGCCACTGGCAAACGGATGCTATGGAATTGCATTTATTTTTATATTTTTTATTAAAAAATAATTTACGGAAACTCACTGGCTGGGCGTTGGTCTCGCCCGCCGAGTCGGCCTCCACACGCTCCCACTCGCCATCGCTGTTGCCGCTGGAGGGTTCGCTTTGTTCCCGGGTCTCCCGGATGAAGGCATGATAGATCCGCAGGGTGCCCTTGATGCGGGATTTGGCGCTGTGTTTTTTTGGGGAAGAGGAGCAGAGAACGGTTAGAAAGGGGCGGTAATAGAGGGGCAGTTACAGGTAGACCGCCACACAACAAACGCACAGGGTTTAAAAACAATAAGTATTAGACTAAAGCGTTAACTAAAAATAGACACAACCCAAAAGCAAATACACAAAGGCAGATACTACACTAGTGGGGGGTTACAGTGCGTTTCAAGGCACTTAAAACAGCTTTAAAACAGGTACTGTGTAGAGCAACATACATAAAAATAATAAAAACAAAGAAGCCACTAAAACTCTAAGATACTAGATAGTCTTGAGGAGCCTTCACCAATCTATCTATCAGATTTGGATAATCATTTTTGTTTTTTTTTGGTTCATAATTAGATTTATGTCTATTATGGTTGTTGTGTGTTGTTGTAAATCAACTGAAATAAAAGGAACAAAATCAAACTGCAAATGATATAAACCTACCCTACTGACCTGCGCGGGCGCAGAGTGTAGCTTTGTTCGCCGATGGTGCGACCCTCCTGCTCGGTGGGCAGATTCACCAGGGTCAGCTCGACCATGCCCAGGAAGTCGTCGCGTGTCAGACGATTCTCGTCAAATACTTGAAAGACGAGCTTATGCTCAGAGGGTTTAACCTGTTAAGTGAAGGGATAGTCAGTTTTCTCTAAAAGTTATGAGGTTAAAGGTTAAAACTTACTCTGAATATGAACTCTTCATTCCAAATGGGGTTTAAAGTCTGTGGGAGGAAGTAGAATGATTAGTTTTTCTTTATCTTAAGAGGGTTTCTAACAGAAGATATCTATGAATTAGTCATAAAGTAACTTTTGTAGATATAGTCTGTGGTTTACTTTTCTAATCAAGGCTAGTACTACATAGTTATAGATTAAAGTTCATGCTAAGCTCACCTTCTTTTTGGTTTTCGTCAACACAGAGTCAATATTAATATCACCGTTGATTGTGTTCAAATCGATTCTGACATACGGATCGCTATGAAATAATAAGAGATGTTAGCCAAGATCTACTTACAATTGGTCTAATTAGTCTAATTCACTTACCTGGCACCGAAAATGTCCTTCTTGGCCAGCGACTGCCCACTGAGGACAACGATTCGCAGGTGACACGAGTCGCCAGAGTCGTTCTGTAAAGAAAAAAAATGGGAAAAATTAGCAAAGTACTTGTCATACTTGTCGAGTGGACACTCTTGGGCACGCATCGTTGGATGAAAACAGTAGGCCTGGCTGGCTGGGTGGGCTTGTATTGAAAGTAAATAAGCCTCCTCGTAGTGGCACGACTGCAGCCCATGCGGCGTATACTTAATGTCCGTGATTACGCATACGCCGCATATGCCACGCCGCGAGTCGAGTTCTGCAAACACTCTACCTCTCATTATGAATGCTCTCTGAAGGATCTCTGGTATTATACAGTTGCGTGCATAATTGTTTTTCCGTTCGCGGCTAGATAATTTCCAGGACCTTGACACAAGGACCTCTCCTGGCCTCCACAACGGAAGTTCAAGAGAGTCATCACAGTGCACCGAATGTGGCCCGAAAACTTGAACTGAATTGTGATTCATTTTGTGGGCCTTGGGCTCTCGTTTCACAGAAATGTGGTTTGTTTCATGTTGCGGCCGGGCTTGCAGTTGGCATTTCGGGGCTGCAAAATACAATTTGGGGCGAATCTCCTTTGATGCCATCTCTCTGTGGAGTCGGATTTTTGGCTTTAAAAGGAAGGAAAAACGAAGCTAATTGAGGGAGAAGCCTCGAACTCAAAACCTAACCAAGTTTAAAGCTCCCAAAAACACAGAACACCTGCCAAGAGCGGTCAAGCAGCAAAGTTTCTGCATTCCTGAAAGTTAAACAAAAGCCATTTTATCTACTCATCTCCATCATCGACGCTGAGAGCCAGCACTTGTGTCCATTAAAAGGCTTTTCCCATGAAATATTCAATTTGCCGACATTGTTTATAAAGTGAAGAGCCCCCAGCACACCCCCAACCACCAGTAGTATCTGACCAGACGGGCGCCATATCCATGTCCCGACTGGCGTATCAGATATCAGTGGGTCGCATGTTGCGGCTGCTTGTTTGGCGGCCACACAACGACCCTGACAGAGTCCCCCCCCTTTTGAATTTACATGTATGTCGGGTAGTGTACCAAGAGGAACTACTCTATTCCATGCGGTATTCTGTGTTTGTTCCCATTTTTGTGACTGGCAGCCAGTTCCGCCTTTTTCCCATGAACTTGTACTATTGATTTTCACAACCCAACCGGGTCCGGGGGGGTTCTGGGGTGGCGGACTCTTTAAAATAGTTGCGGCTTTTCCCACTTGTGCAATAATTAAATGTACTACCAGTGGATGGGACCAGATCGACCCTGTCGATGAGCAATAACTATAATGTGGATATTCCAAATGGCATTCATTTTATCGACAATAATAAAGCAACTTAATTGTCAATATTCCAGAAGGGAAATATATTATTATAATTTTCATTATATTCTTATAATATATCTCACTTTTCTTAAAAACTTGACAAAGTTTTAAGGTTAATAAAGCTCCAATCAATCAGCCAAAATGGCAGTGTCCTTGGTCTCCAAGGCCCCTATTCTGGGCCACCCCGGGCAGCTGTCACTGTTCTCCCCCATCTGGAATAAAAGACTGAGACCCGTAACCCGTGGCTGGCATTAAATTGATTTTTTAGACATTAAATCTCAGCTTTGGCTAAGAACGCGAGAAATTAGCTTAGAACTGTTCTTGCGGTTTAGGCTTGTTGGCCGGGGGGATTAATGAGGTCGGCTGGGGAAAAGGGTTCTAATTAAAAAGGAAATTCTGACATTAAAAACCACTAGTAGTACTAGCTTTTTGGTTTTACTTCCCATAATCACAATCTATAATCACACACTTTCCACTGATAAGCCTTCTCTTAGCCAGCCTCATTATCAAATATTAACTTTCAACATGTGACATCCAGCTAAGGCCTTTCGCTCTTTTATTTCAAATAGTTTTCTTCCGATTTTATTGGTCATGCCAACTGAATGAATAATAATTATAAAAATATATATACATATACATATGTGAGTAATCATTCAACTCGTCGCTGATAAGCTTTAGCTATGGGTGTGTGGCAGATACTTTTATACAAACAAATAAAGAGAGAGAGACATTGGTAGCCAAAATAAGTCAAGGTTCTCTCGACGGAAGCCCATTTTGGTTTTTTCTTAACGTTTTTCGTCTACTGTTTAAACAGACGGCTTTAACTGATACGATAATAAATACGGAGCACAAGCCAACGACCAAGTTAAACAAGCCAGAATATCAATTGTAATTTTAATGCGCACATGCTGGAAATGCTGGAGAAAAAATCATTTCCCAGGGACGGGGTACAGGGCTACAGGGAGGTCGAAAGGGGGCTTAGTGACTGCCATTAACCTAATTGATTGGTTGTCGCCTCTTTACTTATCACAATACTCAAAGGTCAATGCAAATTCATTACACAAATTGACACTGTTTCATGCATTTGGGTTAGATTGATGGATATTTTCTTTAAATTTCATAAAAAAAATTGAACAAAGATATATATCTATCTATCTATGACGTTCACAAAAGAAAGGCTTTTGTTATCTTTAAGATAAAAATTATTTATAAATTGAAATATGTATCTATGTACATATTTTTTATAATTAATTGATTCTGAGAATAATGCTTGACCGCTCATGAACTTTTTTTTGAGGAAAGAATAAACTTCTTTTTTTATCATTAACTGATATATGATTTTTATAATAAATTTATGTGTAATATATTTAATATTTATAATATTCTTAAGGATTTAACATTTTTACAGCTTTTTTTAAAATAAAAAACCACTACTTTTAAAGGTTTAAAGACAAATAAGGCTTTTAAAAAAGAGGTTTTCTAGTCTTTCTAGTCTATAACTTAATTGTTTAATGATATGGTTTTTTTAAAGGGGTTTTCCAGTCTAGAAATTTGAGAAAATGGAAAAATTGTCTTTTCATAATTTTATAGCTTAATCAGTCAGGAATTAATAATACAGAAATGCTATAAAAAAAATTCCTAATACGAAATTTTTAAGGTTTAATTATTTTTGTATTTATAGACGTTATTCTACTTTTTCTTGCAATCTTTCTATTTAAATTTGTCTATTTTTTAAAATTTTTTAAAAGTTTTTTTCCTAGTACTTTTTTTTTAAAGCAAAAGCTCTTAAATTTCATCCTAGTTTCTTCAGAATTTCAGCATGAATCTATTTATCTCAAAAACCAACTAAAAATATAGATACAAAATTTTTAAAAATTTTAAAACTTAAATATTAAGAAAACTATGTTATGTATGTAAGGTTTTTTAGTTTTAAGGATCGAGATTCATCATTTTTCTTTGTTTTTAATAACACAGGACGACAGCAAAAAATCTCAACGATAATAACTATAATTAATACGTTAATAAACCTTTAATATTTCTTTCAGTTAAGTTCCTTCAATTCCAGCAACTAGACTAGAAAACCCCCTTAAGTAGCCGCCCAAAAAAATAAATCTTATAATATTTCCTTGGGTTTGAAACCCCCCTTTTTTAAAATCCTCCTTAAAACCCCGCCACACTGATCCGGAAAATCGCCCCAAAAAAACAACAGCGATCGAGGAGAAACCTTGGTGACGAAGGGAGGCACGTGAGGCACTTCAAAGGCGGCTCAATTAGCGGATGAAGAAAATGAGCACAACCACACACATTGACACACACTCACACAGACACAGACTTGGCTCATTTGCATATGTACCATTTTACACGTACTTGAGGAGCTCTCTTGAACTGAATTCAGTTACTTACATCGGTGTTATTGTATCCATGGATTTGGCCATCTTCGCTCGTCACCGATGGCGATGTGGTTGTTGATTCGGCCATTTTGATTTTAATTTCGATATTATTCACTGATATATTCACGATTTTTGATTGTGGTTCGTATTTGAGTTTGTGTTAATTTATCGAACGCGCCTCTCCAAGTAATTTAAACAACAAATTGTTGCGGCTATAAAAATATGGAAACTCGTATTTGTATTTTTTTTTTTCGGTTATAACTGAACCAAACAAGTTATCCAAAAGGAATCTATATATCTGTTATTGTTTCAAAATATATATATATTCTTTGGAATGCGAGCTTTTTTATGCTGCAAGCTGGGGCTGCAGATTGCGACAAAAAAAGAGGAACAGGTTTCACAACAATTGTCGTTGAGGTTTTATTTATTTTATGTTTATTGCGAATACGTCATGGATTGGAGTAGGGACTAGGGACTAGGCCTGGCGGCACATTTCTTCATGGGGCGTCACATTCACATTAGAGGTCGGCAAGGGGGGGAAACACATTTTTGGCATGCATGACTAATAGGGCGCCCAGAAGCAAAAAGAGAGCGCCACGAATTTCAGAAATCTCGGTACTTTTCGATGGCAGATCTTCAGCACAAATACGTACAAAATATTTACATTTGATTTTTTTTTTTTATTTATATAATTAACACATTTCAGGGGTACCGCGATGCATTAGACCATAATAAATTTATTTATATTTTTCTTTCATATGTGTGTGTATGTTTGTGTGTTTGTATAGGGTATAGGGTGTACACTTAATATTTATAATTCAATTATTCACTTATTTATCTTTTATTAACGGCCCTAAGCGATAGAAACAATAACAACAATAACAAACACGGGAGCAGCACACGGACACTATTGCGAAAACATGTTCTGCGTAAATTTATCTCTCCTTCTCGCTCGCTCCCGCAACGACGATTGGGAGTGCTGTGAGCGAGTGTGCGAGTGTGGGTGCGAGTGAGAGCGCAACAGCAACACTTGTCGGCCGCAGCTCGAATTTGGGGCTTTGGCGTTCTAAGGTAAAATGAAAGCAGCTCCCCCAACAGCAGTGTGACCAAGTTGTCATTTAGCCAAAAAAGCCAAATGATGAGCTTTATGATAAGTTTATCACCAACATCAGAATTTCCGAGAAATTATATTTAATATTAAAAAATGTAAATTAATATTAATATTAAATTGTAAATAATTAATGTTGTCTAGGTATTGTAACACAATATCTAACCCCTTTAAAAAAAATACTAGATATTATCATTCACTTTAGAAACTTGTCAACACTGTCACTGGTTAAAGCTATCAGATGGAGCGAAAGCTTTTCACACTCTTCCCCCTATGAGACAGCTGTGCTCGCGAACAAGTGTCCAATGAAAAACAAAACAAAAAACAGCTGATCGGCTGAGTATCTTGTATCTGCTGCTGCTGCAGTTTGGGATCTTTGCCGCGCAAGCTTAAAACAGCCACCCATTTGGAAGCTAAGTAGCGTGTCGTCAATTATAATTGACATTTGACTTACTGACGTAATAAATGCAAATAAAATTAACCGCTTGTAAGTAGCAAACTGTTGACTGATAAGCGGGCCATTAAAAGCTATTCCGAGCCAAAAGAAGTGACGTATGTGACAGGTACTTCGATTAGTGGACGTCATCGAGCCGCCGGCGTGTGACGTGCGAATTGGATTAAAAAAATGCCGGCGAGAGCTCAATTAGCAGGCCACTGACACAAGTGCTCTAATGAAGATAAATCAGCCACCCCCCTTTCTGCCTCACTTTCTAGGGAAATTCCTCAAATTCTGACAGCCTCTAAATGAGTTAGGCAAACAACATTCGGACGCCGCTCATGGAAAGCGAACTGAAGCCAATTTACGCACATTCCCAGTCCCATTTAGCCGGCGATGGGTGTGTTGATAAATTGAATTAGGTTCGAAGATGCTGCTGGTTCACGTCTTTTGCCGAAATTCAAATAAATAAATGAATTTCCGTTCGATATTTGTTTACCCCAGCCAGCCAGCGCATTCCAGACGAGGGCCAAACAAAATGGTAAAGGCCACTTCGGACCGACTGCTTATCAGGCACTTTTTGGAGCCAACTGAAAAAAAAAGTGCAAGTATTTTCTTACTTAGTACTGACATACTATAACTATCAACTTACTTAACTGATAACCTGATTGTTGATATTGGAAAATTGTGCCAATGTCAACTATCTTATCGTGTTTTTAAACTATCTTATATAGTTTCAAAAAGATACCTTTATAATTTAAAACTTCTCACCTCCAACCACCCATGTAAGCAACAGGTGGATCTCATTCCGATCTCGAGTGAATAGAATCTGTGGGGCCCCATCTACACCATTCAGCTGTTTGCCATTCGGCAACTTTCTGATTAGATTACCCGAGAAAACATCGTAAAAATAGAGAAACGAATATAAGCCCCAGGGCGCTGATAAGGCCAACCAAAATCCCCCCTAGCGTAAGTGCTTCAGTCAACTTTCCCTGCACTTGTGGCTCTGTAATCTACAGTGAGGCAAAATATATATTTTTGAGACATTGGGAGAGCTTTAAGATTATGTTTCAGAATGATTCAATTGGGAAAAGTATGCCCACACCCCGGGAATTAATGACTTACCACTGCTGCCAACGATCGACGTGGCGTGTGTCCGTTTCCAAACTCCATCCGCGTCTGCTGTTGTCCTGCAACCGAGGCAGCCCGCCTGCGGGGCGGCGGTCGGGGCACATCACCTCCGCCGGATGCTGAGGTGGAAGAGGTGGCGGCGGCCACAGCGGCCACTGAGCCGCTGGAACGTGCCGACATTGTTTTTCGCGAAGAAACTGCAACGGAAGATGAAGAAAATGGGGCAGAGTGTTAGTGCAACGGAGGCGGAAGTGCAAATTAAGCGACAAAAAAAGACACGGGGCGAGAAGGAGGAGGTGGAGGCTGCGACAAGGCCACACAGCCAAAGTGAAGAAGTAAGAAAGGCAAGACCAGACAACAAAGAGGAGGGCCCAACAAAGTGCACAATGGAACGGTACTTGAACTAGATGCTATCGCCCTCTCTCCCACCGGCCCGCACAAAAGCCAAACATTTTCTTTTGACAAGCTGGATGTGCGGCATGCGGCATGAGGCACGGGGCATGGGGGCATGGGGCATGCGGCATGAAGCGGGTGTAATTAGCCAAGCGCAAAGGGTTCAACGCCATGTCTCGGCTTCTCGGTGATGTTAGCATAAACCGTAAAGTCAGAGAGTCATTTCTCGCTATGGTTTTCCACTTACGTTAGCACACACACGCACACACTCGGACGCCGCCTTGTCACTATAATTTCGCCTGAATTATGTATATATTTTGTGCTGTAAATATGCGCAGGTGTGTGTGTGTAGGCTCGCCTTTACTTTATCCACTATGAGCGGAAAATCATCACGTACATCTTTTCACACGGCTTTTCGCTTCTGATTCACTTCTATCAGCCGCCCGATAAAAAACTTAGCTACCGCGCACGCCCTCACTGCCGATCCTGGGCTGTGGCTGGCTCAATAAAACACACACACCTTGATTAATTAAAAACAATAATTAAAAAACGGAACGGGATCCAAAATACACGGATAAACGACGGCGACGGTGAGAACTAAAGTGTCAGTGTGACCGGAGCGTGAGAACTTTCAAATGCCGCCGTCCCTAGCATCAATTCTAGTTGAATTTTTTGGACGACAAATTTAAATTTCACAAGTAATCAATTAGAATTTAGTTAAATTAAACAATAAATTATAAAAATATATCTATTAGACATCATGAATCACTCCATTAAAGGTGACAATCATGACAAGTGCCACGCACCGACTTTTGGTATTTCTTGGGCATTTCCAAACTTTAGGCGGCCACACAGAAGCAGTGAAAATCCAAATGAAACGAGAAATCTGATAATTTTAGCGTTAAAAAGTGTTGCAATTGTTGGTGCATTTAATATACAGGCAAATATAGAAATTTTGAGCCGAGCCCAGTGAAAATAAGAACTTAAAGAACACTTTCCATTCTATAATAATTAAGAAAAGGGGGCCAGAAGAAGAAGAAGAGGAGCAGAGGGGTCGGCGTGGTGCGTACTTGGTGCGAAATTGCGTATTAGGAAAGAAAACAACAACAGCAACAACAACAAAAACAAAAACAACAGCAGCAGCAACAGCTATCAACTGGAAACGCTGGCAAACATAATTCCCAAGCCCAAGCCAACAAACAAATACAATTGACTAACCCCAAAAGCCAGCAGCAACAACAACAGCAAATTACATGGGTCTGACGGATCAAGATTGGATCGGTTGTGCGGTATCCATTGCCTGCGACGACGTCCTCGGTGTTTTCCAAGGCCTGATCAAGCAAATATCCGCTGAGGAGATCACCATTGTACGGGCCTTCCGGAATGGCGTCCCCCTTCGGAAGCAGAACGCGGAGGTGGTGCTCAAGTGCACGGACATCCGGAGCATCGATCTCATCGAGCCCGTTAAGCAGGATGTAGATGTGCACACGGCTCCGCCAGTGATCAATAAACCCACTCCCGTAAAGTTGCCTCACTTTTCCAATATTTTGGGTAAGCAGCAGCAGCTTCAACTCCAGCAACAGCAGCAGCAACAACAACAACAACAGCAGCAAAGTCAAGATCAGGATGTGCCATTGACGCCACGGGGAAAAGCCAATGGATATGGACGAGGACCAGGAGGATCCGGGTCAGGCGGCAACGTCAACTCGACGCTCAGCGACAAAATGCATCAACTGAAGCTGATTGAGACCAATGGATGCAATGGAAGGTAACTAATGTGTTTAATGGTTATATCCTCAAGAAACTCAAAGGTCTTTTTTTTCCTAAAACAGAACATCGTCGTCGAGTGCCCACCAACCCCAAATGTCAACGACCCCGAGTAGCGTGGCCGCCTTCTTTGGCAATATGATTCCAGCCAAGGTGGAGGTCAAGCTGGGCAGCACGGCCTACGGTAGCAATACGCGAGAGAGCTACTGCAGCAGCAGCGGGGACAGTGGCGAGGCTGCGGGTTTGGTTCAGGGCGCGAGGAGCAGCACCAGGCCCATCGATATCGTCAGCAATGGAGACAGCTACTACAAACAAGCCGCCTCCAGTTACGGAAACGGTAATGGCAATCCCAAGAAGAATATTAATGGCAACGGCTCGTATACGAATGGAAATATGAATGGCAATGGAAAGAATAAACGGAACAGGATCCGGCGGGAGAGTAGCATGCGGCAACAGCAGACTTTTGGCAGCGAAGCGGAGGATCCACTACTTAACGAGGACTTTGATTTTGAGGGCAATCTGGCACTCTTCGACAAGCAGGCTATTTGGGATGATATTGAGAACACCCACCAGAAACCGGATGTGGTCAGGCACTTAGTGAACCAACACCACCATCAGCCGGAGCAAAAGTATCGACACGACGAGAACATTTTGGCCAGTAAGCCGCTGCAGTTGCGCCAGATTGAGACTATGTTTGATGGCAGCAAGGATTTCGTTACGGACGACGGCTTGATCATCCCAACGATTCCAGCCTATGCTCGAAATAAGATCGAGATATGCGCCGATAAAGCCGGATTATCGCTGCAAAGGCAAATAGATATTTTGGCGCGTGGGGCCAGTGATCTGGCCATTACTCTGCTGGGCGGTGCCAGGCGGTTGACTCCGGCCAACAACCATCAATGGCCCAAGATTGCCATCATTTGCGATGGTGTCAAGAGCATGAGGTAGATAGATCCTTCATTCTTGGTAGAGGACTTGTTAAAATTAGGATTCTTTGCAGAACGATCAACATTGGAGCAGCTACAGGTCGCCAACTGGCTTCCCATGGTCTTAAAGTGCTGCTGTATGTGGAGCAAGTGCAACTGTTTGAGCAACACAGTAATAGCCCAGAGATTTCTTTATTTAAGGCAACCGACAATGTCATAGTCCACACAGTAGACGGTAGGTTTTGGCTAGAATCTATGGTCTAGATTAGGAGTTTTAATAATTAATCTTTATCTTATTGTAGCCTTGCCCAAGCCAGACCTTGTGATACTCTCGACAAACACAGCTAATCTGTCAGATGCAATCAAAAAATGGCTCAGTGTTAATCGGTTCGCATCATTTTCCTTAAAAATATATATTTTTCTAACAAGAATGTTTTATATTTTTCAGCGCTTCGGTGCTTGCCATAGACCCACCGCCGTGTGGCATTAACGATGTGGCAATCAAGTACTCAATTCTACCCATTCTACCATTAAATGGCATATCAACAGCACCATCATCGTCATCGGCTGCCGCCACACCAACGCCGATTGCCAGCACATCGGCAGCAGCTGCAACAGCATCATCATCATCAACGAACAATTGTGGCAAATTGTATTTATGTAATCTAGGTATACCGGATAAATTCTATCGTGATTGTGGCATTAAGTACAAAAGTCCCTATGGACATAAATATGTGATACCGATTCACTCAAAGGACTGAAACAACGACAACAACAAAAACAACAACACAACAAAACCCAACATTAATAACAGAAATCAAATAGCATCATCAGATATATCAAAAAATTAAAAAAAAAAACATACGTATGCAAATAACCAAAACACAATAATACACACACACACACACCCGCACACTTGTGATGATCATCAAGTCCAGTTTCCTGTGAATCTAGCTCTTAAAGGTCTTCTCTCATATCTTACTCAGATTTAACATTATGTTCTATACCGCTTAAATATTTAGTTGTTAGGCTATACACACATATTAGCATAGTTATTATATCTACAAATTTTTTCAAATATTTAAAAACTGCCCCTGGCCATGTGCCACCAATTATTGTTAACTTTCAAATTGTACTATTATTATTATTAGATTTTTTTTGTAATTAAGCAAAACCATATTACTGTGTAGCCCTTGGTTCTAAAAGCTAGTCCAGCATTTAAAAGTTTTAAAAGCTTTAGTTTAGGCGCACGCTCGCAGAATTTTTTTCAAAACATTTATCCAAAAAACAGGATTCTTTTTATTCCCTTAATCATCCCGCAAGTGGTCTTTGTAATCATAAATCGTATCAGCAAAAATCAGGCAAATTGTTTGTAAATATCTGTAGAATTCAGAGAGAGAGATCATGTTAATTATTATCAAGAAAAGTATGCGCAATAAATGCCAAATTAAATGTCTAATTTTAAGCATTAAATCCGAAGCAAGAGCAGCAACCAACTATTGTACGATATAAAGTGGAATTCAAAATCCAAGTATAAATCAAATCAGATTAGGTTAAGATTTAGATCCGTAAGATTCAAGTGTTTAAACATTTAAAAAAGAAAGATAAAGATACTGAGAGGAAACTTTCTATTGTGTAGACGTATTTAAGAATGTGTCTTTAAGCAAAAAAAAAACTAAACAAAGTCGAGAGCATAATTTTTTACCCATCGAATACTAAGGAGAAATACCACAACACAATACTTATACTCTTAACTGTAGAACGATGAATTTTATATAAGATTAAATCCAAATCAAATAGTGCAAAATTTTAAACAGGTTGCAACGAGGCAGCCAACAAAAAACTTAAATCCAGCAACCCACAAACTAAACCAATTGTTGTATAAATAATAATTCTAATTGTAAAGATTACCAAAACACACACACACAAGTAGATTCTAAATTCCAATCATGTTGATGATCATCTGAAAATTCAATTTCCTAAAAACCATCAAATAATTATATAATATAGAGAGTTGATTGCGGACCAAGCCGACGTCCAATCGGTTATTTGGTCACCGCACTGACTGTTTTGAGTTAGGCGTAAGGAGAGTTATAAAAGACCTCGAGGAGATGTTAAAGGAGAGCAGATGAGAAGGTTTTTCCATGCCACAGCAACAGCTACTTATAAATTCCAAAAAAAAAAAACCATACAAACATCCAGACATTTTGGGAATGCTTTAAAATTGTAAAAACAAAACATCTATTTTCGGGCCAATTGAAATTGTTAAACGATAAAAGATTGAAAACCTAATTTTAAAATTATACAAAAAAGACAACAAATTGTACAGAAATTCTCTTTTGGAACAAAAATTGTAAATTAATCAAGAAAAAAAGAAAAGAATAAGAAAACGGATCAAAAAAAGAAAAAATACAAAATGAAATCCTTTCAAAACTAAACAGCAATATTTAAAAAATATACAAACCAACACCGAGAAGCCTTCTCATGGAAATATATTTGTATTTTATTGGGTGGGGGGAATTAGATATATTAATTATCTATCAGATCTATTAAGAACAATCCACAACTTCTTCTAATCCCGCCTTTAAAGTAAATATACATTACCTTGTGATTAATTCCATATCTTCCAATAATTCTTCCTATAACTTCTTAATTATAAACCACATCTTTAAAACCTTGTACAATTAAAATTCTTATATCATTTTTTTTTTCTCATAATTCAAGTGCAATTTTATTACAATCCACTTATACCATATAATAATAGTTACTTTATAATTCCGAGTGTCTTGTGTGTAGTTTATAAATTAAAAAAAAGAGTGTGAAAAGTGTGTTGTAGAGACTTACGATTATATAAAAACAATAGATTTTGGAAATAGATATTATATAGTAGGTAGTTAGAAAATTCAATTAGCATTATCATTTATCATTTTCGATCGAATTCTTACCCACGGAAGGTCAAATTGGGGGGCCAAACTTAAACCACTCTTTACACTGCTCTCACAACTCCCACTATCCTTTAATAAACAGTCTCTGTCTCTCTGGTCCTTGATGATCAAAATTAGCTTGAGATTGGGATTGTAATCAGAGAGATTAGTGACCCGAATACTCACATAATACAGTACTGAAATGTGCTGAGCTTGAGCTTGAGCCTGAACTGTGACCCCGATGCAGCGAACCGATAACAGAGGAGGAGATATGGTTAAAAACAGATCTTATGCCTCTTGGCAGCTACGAGGATTGTAAAATAATATTTTCATATTTGCTTGGTGATGAAATCTTTTAATTTAATTTGTTTTTTTTTATTTTTTGTTTTTTTTTTTGTGATTTAGAGAGAGAGATAGAGAGAGAAGGATACGTACGTTGGGATCTGGATCGCCGAGAAACCCCTACTGCTTTTTTTTGAGAAGTTATCAATGTTGTTAGACATATACGTACCACAGTCGTGATCTTCTAACATTAATACGTACCCAGAAACGATTATATAATACCAAAACATTAGGAATTCCAAAAGGAAACTTCAACCAGAATGGATACGTACCCAAGCGCTATAGTGCAGCTATATTAACCGGATCTTATCTAAGTCTGTCGAGACAACTAATCTTGTTTATAGATAACCTTTCAATACTCAATACGTACCGAAGCTGTTATGGCCTGCAAGTGTCGAGCTTCAAAGTAGAGAAACGCTTTAAAGTTACAAATCAAATCATATCAAAATCAAATCAATCAGATCAGAGCTGTGATAGAGAGTCAGATTTATGGTATATGTGGTGGAGGAGGAGGCTTACCCCAAATGAGCCGACTTCGCTTCAGTTGGTTTCGATTGGGAGAATCGCGATCAAGAGCTGAGAATTGTATTTAGTCGAGAGTTTTGTTTTTTTTTTTGGGATAATTATAATGTGTTACCATCTTGTAGCTATCTATACAGCTATACAAAACACAAAAGAATATCAAGGATTGGCTGTCTATCTTAAAGGACTACAATTGGCAACACTGCGGCTCATAATGATCTGCCAAATAGTTAATTATTTCTTAAAATCAACAAAAAATTAAGATATTTAATAAAGTTACATCTGTATAGATTTAAGGTGTTAGGGACTTGTTTTAAAGATTTTTTTTAGTTTAAAAGGTGGGAGCTAAGATCGGAAATGTTAACAATTCAAAGAGGTTGTCTGCAAGTCAAAAATTGTATGTTGGGTCGCTTTATTAGGTAAGCTATGGTTATTCGGTTGTAGTTTCAAGTATTTTTCAAAAGTTCAGTAACTTATATTGTGGTGGCATTGTTGTTGTAGTTGTGATTAATGTTACGTACGTGCGCTGGGCGGGATTTGGACGGTGTGCGGTCCTAGCGACGGGAGTAACGCTCGCGGGAGTAGGAGCGTCTTCGACCACCGCCTCCACCACCACCACCGCCGCCGCCACCGCCACCGCCTCCGTCTCTAAAGTGGTTGTAGTTGTAGCGTCGGTCTCCACGTGGTGATCGATCTCTGGAGCGTGATCGGCGTCGGTCGTCTCGCCGATCACCACCACCACCTCCTCCTCCGAAGCGGCCTCTGTCGTTGCGCCCGTGGCGATCTCGGTCTCTTCTGCCATCGCGATCCCGTTCGCGGTCATCCCGCCTCTCACGATCATCTCGACGCCCGCGTTCTCCTTCTACGGGGCCTTCCTTTGGCTTCTCCACGGGTTTCTCCGCGCCGTTTTGCCTTCCATCTCGGTCCCTCTCCCGTTCGGGGCGATCTTCGCGGTTTCGCTGCCTCTCTCGGGACCGGGAGCGATGGACTCGCGACCGGCGATCCAGTTCTCGTCCACCTACAAAGTATCGGTTGCGTCCGCGGTTGTCCTCGTCACGATCTGGCATCTTACCCGTTCGTTTCAGCTCCGCCTTCCGTGGTGCTGCAGTCTTCTCCAGCTCGATCAGCTTTTCGCGAATGGTTAGGAAGCCAAGATGCAACTTACCACCAAAGTGGTCCGCCAGTCGGATGTCGTTGTCGTGGATGCCCAGATACGCCGAGCAAACCTCGCAGACACGTAGCTTCTGCTGCTGATAGGTGGACGCTGGCATGCTGGTGCGATACTCGTGCTCCGCCTTGATTTTCTTTGCCCTCAGCTCGTCGATCTCCTTCATCAGTTCCATGCTGTCCTCCACTTCGCCAGCCTCACCAAGTGCCTCGGCCTTTGCCAGTTTCTTGCCAATTTCCTCGGCCAGTGCGTGGACAGCGTTGGCCTTTTCGGCCACTTCTGCGGTTAGCTCCTCCTGGGTTTCCTTCAGACGCTGCTTGGCCGAATCGGTGCGTCGGTCGCAGTCCGCGATAAATGCCTGCAGGTGTTCCATGGCCTCAATGTCGTAGTAGTAGTCTCGGGTCTTGGCGGCGCTCTCGTAATCTGCTCGGAAAGCGAGGTCATGCACTTTGGGACACTCACCGAGATCCATGCGTGTGGACGCCAGGATGTCGTGTGGGCAGCAGTCTAGCAGAAAGGATTTGCAAACTCGCGAGTCCGAGAACTTCAACTGTCGCTCGTCCCCGTTCCTCGTCGTCCCCATTAGCTGGTCCAGCATAGCGCGCATCTGATCTGTGGCCGACATTTTGTTATTCGGGCCGCTCATCTCCCGTTGCCGATGCCCTTGAAAATGAACCGACTCCGGTGACAACTAAATCAAAGGTTGTTTGATGGCCCTCTGCGTTTGTGTGTAGAGAGCGCGTGTGGAAAAATTGGATAGTTGAGAAAATTTTCACTCAATCTTGTACCACCTATGAAAAGTGTAGCTGTAGTGTGGCCAGACTTTTGTTTTTCGCTAAACATGGACGCATTTATACAGAAAAGTAGCTTGGTAGGATTCTTTAGATTATATTAATTGTTCTTAAAAGAACATTTATCTGCAATAGGCAGAAAAAAACTCAAATAAACTATTAAATTGTAGAATTTTTCATAAATTTAGGGTTACCACCCGCATGCGGCATCTATCGATACGCCGATAGGCACGTGGCCGGCCATCGCTGACCCTCCACCGGTGCATTGTCCAACACTAGCCTGTAAAACGTTTTCATTAAGCGCGATATTTTTGTTGATTCTTTCGTTTTTTGGCGAAATTTTGGTTTAAAATTAATTCTTTTCGACCGCCATTGGCGCACAATGTCCGATGACGACGATATACAGTACATTAAGCGGCAGCGCACGCTCCACTATGGCTCGCTGGAGGAAACGGAGAGAAAGCGTCAGAATGCCGCGGCGTCGGCTACAACAACAACAAACACGCCGGCGTCTGGTACAACAACAACGATAGCCGGCACAGGCGGCCAGCTGGAAGATATAGATTCCGATGAGGACTACGAGGAAAGCACGAAAAAGACTAGCTCCTTGAAGGCACCCGCTCCACCACCCACAGCAGCCACTTTAGCCAATAAAATCGACGATGACTACTTTGATCTGGAGGCGGAGATAGAGCGGGACAAGGTGGCCCTACTGGTCGAGTTCGAACGAAAGAAGAGGGCGCGTCAAATAAACGTGTCCACGGACGACGCCGAAATCAAGAGCAACCTGCGCCAGCTAAACGAGCCCATCTGCTACTTTGGAGAAGGTCCGGCCGAGAGGAGAAGGCGTCTCAAAGAACTGCTTGCCAATCTTGGCGAGCACGCCATCGGCAAAAAGCAGACCGACGATGAGGAGCGCAGGATCCAGCAGAGGGAACAGGAGGCAACCTGGTATCACGAGGGTCCTGACACTCTCAGGATTGCTCGCCTCTGGCTTGCAGATTACTCACTGCCCCGTGCCAGGGATCGCCTCATTCGCGCAAAGGATGCTCTGGAAGTGCCCAGTGCAACACGAGCCGGCCGCATGGTCGAGATGCAGAAGAAGCTCCAATCCTTGGCGCCCCTGTGCTCCCAAGTGGGTGACACACGCCCCGTGAGCAGTGCAGCCTTCAGCGAGGATTCCACTCTGTTGCTGACATCCTCCTGGTCGGGTCTTTGCAAGCTGTGGAGCGTGCCCGATTGCGAGCTGAAACAAACGCTTCGTGGGCACGCCAGTTACGTCGGTGGAGTGGCCTTGCGCCCAGGCGTTAAAGCAGATGAGGAAAATGTGGTAGCCATGGCGTCGGGCGGTCACGATGGCGCCGTCAAGCTATGGGGGTTTAACAACGAGGAATCCATCGCCGATATCACCGGTCACATGCCCCATCGCGTCTCCAAGGTGGCCTTCCATCCGTCCGGCCGCTTCCTGGCCACCGCCTGCTACGACTCCAGCTGGCGGCTCTGGGATCTGGAGCAGAAGACAGAAGTGCTGCATCAGGAGGGGCACGCGAAGCCAGTGCACTGCTTAAGCTACCAGTCGGATGGGAGTGTCCTCGTAACGGGAGGACTGGATGCGTTTGGGCGGGTCTGGGATCTGCGTACTGGTCGGTGCATCATGTTTTTGGAGGGTCATCTGGGCGCCGTTTTTGGAGTGGACTTTTCCCCGAATGGCTTTCATATCGCCACTGGGTCGCAGGACAATACCTGCAAGATCTGGGACTTGCGACGCCGTCAACCTGTCTACACCATTCCCGCGCACACCAATCTGATTTCGGACGTGAAGTATCAGCAGGACTGTGGCAGCTTTCTGGTCACCTGCTCCTACGACTCCACCACAAAGATATGGTCCAACAAGACATGGCAGCCACTGAAGACGCTCCAGGGCCATGACAACAAGGTCATCTCGGTGGATATCTCGCCCAACTCGCAGTACATAGCCACAACGTCGTTCGATCGCACCTTCAAGCTCTGGTCGCCCGATAGTTGATTTTAATATCATTACTATATTGTATTTAGGCCTGTAGGCGCGACCTGCCCTATGGGTGCACTCTCATCCACTGTTTTTGTTGTTTCAGAGACAATAGCCCATGGAAGTCCTTGCGACCAATTCAAGTTTTCGTTTTGTATAACACAATTTGTTATTTTTGTTAGGCGAAAGGCAGATGCAGCGATGTTGCATTTTGTAAATTTTAAGAATTTTTTATTGAAATTTGTTAATAAAAAAAAAACACGACATTTTTGGTAAAATGGCTGCATATTCTTAATGGAAGGTTCCCAAAGTAATATATAAAATACGATTATTATTTGTATATAGTTTTGAATTTTAATTTCTTTTCGTATATTTTTGTTGCTGATCTTTTTATATGACAAACTTAGACATTTAGCTTGAATTTTAACTAAAATTTAACTACCACAGATAGGTTGCAATTACATACATACATGTAAATGTATATGTCTAATATATTAATTATAGATATACATATATAAAACATACATACATACATCGCGATATAGCTGTTACAAATAGTTACACGTACAGATTTTTCAATTTTCATGCCATTTTCATTCACAATTTCTTTCGAGGATTAGGCCTTGAGATTTACACAAAGAATTTAATTTATAATCCATAGGTGTGTGTAGAATATGGAGCAGGGGCTGGGCATGGGCGAGGGACGAGGGGCGTTCTAATCGTAATCATTTGAATGAGGTCTCCCGAATCGAAGATGCCACTTAACTAAATACATAACTCTTGCACTAGGCTAAAAACTAGACAAAATGATAACTAATTAACAATTAAGGTAAACGTTTATTGGAAATCTTGCAGCTTCTGCAAAGCATGTGTCCAGGATGGTCCGATCCCTGCCGCCTCCTTAGACCGTCGTGTCCGGCGCCGGGGATATGGGTTGCTTGGACTCGGACACCTCCAGGGATCGCCCGTTACCGTTGGCGGCACCCTCTTGGGGATCCTCCGGCGCAATGTCGATGCGATGCGCCTTGCGCCACACCACCAGGTCCATGAGGAATGCCAGGAACATAATGCCAGCCGTGATTCCTATGGATATGGGGGTTTTATTAGATGAGTTCTTTTGAGCTGGAGACTGATCACTTACCCAGGAAATACTGCCTGAAGGTATCCGTATCGTAGAGCGAACAGGCTCCGTGCTTGCCACACACCGATTTCCAGATGAGGCAGGCGGAGTCCACCACAGCGCCGTAGATAATGGGGCAGGGTACGTTGCCGAACAAACCGATGGCCGACTGTATCACTCCCATGGCCATGGCCTTGTCTGAAAATGTAAAATATTTAAAATTAAAAGACATTCCTCTCCTCTAAAGTATATCCTACCTTTGGGATGTGTACACCGCATGACGAGAAGCATACTGCCCACCTCGGAGGTGGAATGCATGAATACGCAAATGGCAAAGATCAGTATAAAGTAGATGAAGTTCTTGCAGTTATTATCACAGTAACCGTTGACCGCCTCCTTAGCTAAAAGTTGGAGGAGGAAACTCAATGTAAGCCAAAATAGTTTTCGGAGAGGAGGACGCGGATCTCACCACCTGGAATGCAAGCACAGTCGGAGTAGAGGGTGCGATTGTCGCTGGGCCGCAGTGAGGAGCTAGTGCATCCGGCGTGGCAGGCCGAGATGTACATCATCTTGCCCTCGGCGCAGATTGGGGCAAAGTTCTCCATATCACAGGTACAGTTGAGGGCGGCGCTGCACGTTGGCTCGATGAGGGCGGGACTATAAGGGATTATATAGTTATTATACTCCCAAAAATGGTATAGTTTCCCTGGTACCCACCTATTGGCATTCCTGGGCTTGTAGCCCGCAAAGTCGTCCATGCTGCACCCGATGAACATCAGAATAATCATGCCCACGGAGTAGGCGATGGCGGTGAAGGCGATCCAGGCAGCCACTCCCCGAGCTGTGGGCTTCCGCTTCAGGATGAACAACCCGGAGATGACAATTCCAATGCCCATGACCAGGATGCCGCAGAAGGCGGCTATCATGTTGGCATCATAGGTGGCCAGACGGAACTGGGTCTCCAGGTATTTGGGCAGGAAGGTGTACAGACCAGCAATGGGAAGAAGGTGGAACACACAGGAGGCAGTGCGGAACATGAGGATATCGTTGCTCAGTTGGCGGCGCACAGTCTTGGGAAAGTCTGTAAAGGACGAGGAATCGGTGTTTATTATATTACTGGTTATATTACTCATACGCAGTGTTGCCTTAACTTTGATTTCAAGCCCAAATCTCTCAAGAAAACTCACCTTTAAGCTTCGGCTTCTCCTCCGGTTCTGCAGCTGGCACGGGAGCTGAGTTGACCTGACCTTGAGCCTGGCCCTGTCCCTGGGACTGCTGCTTGCCTCGGAGTTGCTTGGGAAACGAGAACATGGCTATGGAAGCCAGCAACATCAGGCTGCCAATGGCCACTGGTCCCAGCCACCAGGCGCCGATCCAGCGGGGATCACTGGCATCAAAGCCGGGATTGGAGAAGTTGACATACCAGCGGGTGCAGAAGCTCCCAAAGATGAAGCCAGAGGCTGGACCCAGGATGCGCATGCCAATGGTGACGGCCATGTACATGGGCGACTGCTTGCTGCCGACATTGTCGTCGATGTAGGGTATTCCCAAAGTGGCCACCGCCGTCTGTCCAATGCCGGAGCTCAGCAGGCTGCCGAAGAAGATGCAGAGAACGATGACGGTGATCTTGGAGTGGGAGGCCTGCTCCTGTTGGCGTTCCTCGTTGCACTCGTTGCCAGAGGCACTGGAATTTCCGCCCAAGTGGCACAGATTGGGGTTCAACTCCCGACTGGCGTTGTGCCACATGAGGGAGGAGTCATCCGCCGGCGAGAGCATCTGCGGCTGCTGCTGCAGGATGACACTGGAGTGCATGAGCTGCTCCCCGAAGATGAAGTGGGGCAGGGCGCAGGCGAAGGCGGCGATGGAAAAGAGCACCATGCCGCAGGCGATCCACCTAGGCCGGTGGCCACGGCCGGCAAAGTAGGTCAGGAGCATGGCGGTGCAGATCTGGCCCATCTCACTGGCACTCAGCAACAGGCCCGTGGTCTTGGACTTGATCTGGAAGAGCTTCTCGATCGTGGTGATGACCGAGACGAAGTAGGTCATGTACATGCCCTGGAGGATGTAGGCCAGCAGGAACACCACCATAAAGACGTGCGTCGAGGCGAATCTCCGCGCCCACCTGGGCCGGCACCCAAAAAGGCCGCAACTGGAGCCGGCATCCTTGTTGGAGGCGGAGCCACCATTCAGATCAGAGTCAAAGTCGGACTCCTCGGATTCGCTGGAACGGGGTGGTAGTTTGTAGCCACCTGTGAGTGGAGCCTGCTCGTGGGCGTACTTTTCGCTTAAACTGTGACCGTGACCGTTTCCGGTTCCGTTGTTGTTGCTGCTCAGCAGGCCACCTCCGTTCTTCAGATCCTTCCACTCGTTATTGTTGCTGGGAGCGGTCTCGTAAAGGACAGTGCTCGGTGGGGATGTGCCCACCTCTCCGTTGGTGGAGCCATTACTGTGCTGCGCCAGTAGCGGAGTAAATGCCTGGCTGGAGTCCCTACGAGCTCCATTCTGATGGTAGCCATTCCCGTTGCTCTGACTATGTCCGTTGATGGGCTTACCCACCTGACCTGTTGCGGCCTCCACATCCCCGTTGCTCTTCATCATTTTGGATTTCTATGCTGGATTTCTTAATAGACTTGGTAGGTCGAAAGGATTCGTGTCCTTTTTCAAGAGCTTAATCTCTGTATAATCTCAACTTTATTTCTAGTTGCTTCCTGTTTAGTTATCTTCTAGGTGGTTACTGCCTGTTCCATTTTTCCCGGCTATGAAAATGGTATTTCACCCTCAAGTCGATTCATTCGATTCAGTTAGTGGCCCAGAAAACGAGGTAGATTGGTTGATCTGGCTGTGATGGCTGTTCTGGGTGGTTGTTATTGTTTGTTTGTTTGTTTGTTTTTTCAGTGATAACAGCTTTATTGTATTCTTTGTTTCAATATGGCAGTGATTTGTCTGAAAATACAAAAAAATGCGAAAATATTTTAGATTATTTTCTTGAAATAGGTAACTGAAAATATCTTAGGGAAACCCCTGGTATAGGCCATGGTATATTATTAATTATAGATAAGGTAGATAATTATAGATAGATTATTTTATTAGAAAATTTAAAGCTGTATGAAAATTAATCTCTAAAATCTGAATAATTAATTTTATCCTTATATATTTCTTAAAATTCTTTAAAAAAACTCCTGAAATATATGTTTTTTTTAAGACTTACTTGAGTAAGTCCATAAAATAAAGCCAAATACTGATATTGTTTTTTTTCGCACAATCCTCTCTCTCAACGCGAAACATTAAAGTTGAGGTCCCAACGCAGACTGCAAATAAAATCGCAGAACAACTGAATACACACACACACAGACACACTCGCATAAAGGTCCCTTATCAGCCCGCACACCCACTCTGGCCAACCTATGCATGTGTGCATTGAAAACGCAGTTGTGGCCACAGCCCGCGACAAGATTCTAGCAATTCTAGCTCCTAATGCCCAATAAACGTTTTTTTTTTCGGCATAGCTGATAACGTGGGCTATGCAAGTTCAAGGTTATGCTGATAAGCAGTGCTTATATTAATTGTAGAATATGAATAAATTAAAACCATTTCTGCCACAAGTATTATTTTTTGGTATGCCTGGGTAATTTTTGTGCAGAACAAATATTAAAACAGTATGTTCAAATTCCATTCCCATATCTTATTTTTTCACTTTATTTATTTAATACTTTTTTTTGAGTTTGCAATAAAATTTCAATGTCAAATATTCGCAAAATTTGTTCTAAACACCATTTGGTTGTTGTTGTCGGTGGTTGGTGGTTTATAAAAAGGAATGACGGAATTTAATTTCACTTTCTGCCAGCACAGCCCTCTATGAGTCCATTGCAATCGCAACTGACTGGCTGCAGTCGCAAATCTTATCATTAAATGGCCGACCTCGATGATAAGGAAAGTGAAATTGTTGCAAAGTGGGTGGTACTGAGGTGGTGGTGGTACCCAAATAATTCTCTGAAAGTTATAGTACTTATAAAGTACTTTATTGAGGTACTATATTTGGTTTTTAATTCAAATTTTATCAAATAGGAAACTCTATTTTATTTAACAAAAGATTACAAAGTTTTTAAGCCTCTATAAAATGTCTGTAATTAATAAAAATATTTTATTTTTAGTTCCTATCATCTAATTTCTCTCAGTGTCTAAAATGTAGTAGAGAAATGCAAACCAAATAGCTTCTTTTTTGGCTCTAATTGTTTTATCTTTTTTTGTGCTTAGCCCCCCAATCGTCATAAACTTTGGCCTTGAATACTGCTGTGCTTTTTTTTCTGGTATTGGTTTTCTTTCTATTTTTTCATTCGATTTTATTTATTGCGCATTTTGCAATTTTAAATGATGTTTTTGATGTTTCATTGGAATGCGGTTGAATATTTATTTTATGCCTAGGAATGGAAGTAGCACGTGCTTAATTAGCATTTTTGATTCATCCAAAAATATAATGTCGAGCAGATGAAATTGAAAATTCCATAATTTATCATGTTTCATAGTTTGTACAAATAAATAAATTTTTAGAACAAGACCCTATATAAATTATTAGAGAAAATAAAATAAAAACAGAAATTTAAAACCCTTTACCTGTGACATCACATCTTGGGAAGTAAATTCCTCACACAATGTGGAAAATCTGAAGGAAATCTACCTTTATTTATCTCGACTACTGCCGCCTTATCTGTTTCACACTTTCCCACAGTATTCTCCAGTTGGTAATCCAACCGGGTGACGTAGATGGCCCAACAAAGCCAGAACGTTAGTACACCGTTGCCACTTATCGCCACCATCGTAATCTCCACAGCTCCTTGCCCCCATACTCCTCCCTCTAGCGGCCGCGGCCGCTAAACGTATTCCAATGCACTTGCCAAGGGGAGGGGTGGGCAGGGCAAGAACCTGGACCGGGACCCTAAACTGAACCTGAACTCCTGCCACCAGTTACCAGTTTGAGTTGCACGCCGAAGGCTCATTGAACCCGCCACCCGGAGCAACTGGCCATATTCTGGCCGAACCATCGGCAAATATATGGTCATGAAGTCGTTTCAGTTCTACCATATGTTTATGTAAGACCCGGACCATCTATTGGCTTTAATTTGGCCTGATAGATCGGTAATTGTTCAATTTGTTGCAAGTGTCCGAGTGACAGCCAGAGATTGCCGATTTATCAGTGTCAATCATAATAAATGCAATTAAGCCCACCAGTTTAGGCCTATAAAAATATTAGGGGATGGATGGGGGGATCGATATGTAGATTGAGGCAGAGGTTTCCATTTCAATTGGGCCCCCAGCTATCATCATAAATACAATGTGAGAAAATCGACTCTTGATTTTACACCAAAGAACATGGAATGAAAATTGTTTGAAAAATGATAGAAAATGGGGCAAATACTTCATTCCATTAAGACAGTTTTCAAGGAAAAAATAGTTTGTTTCTTAAAACCTTTATAAATGGTAATAATATAGTAGGGATAACCATTCTTTGTTGGCTAGTGTAGCTAGAATAGTTAAGCCAACTCAGAAAAGCAACAAAAAAATGGGGAGTTGCACTTTTTCTCTGTCCGTGGCGTGTTGATTTTCCGGTTTTCTTGCCATCTTGCAACACGTCTCGCCTCTTCCCTCTTCCGTCTTGAAGTCTTCCGTCTTCAGTCTTCTGTCTTCCGTCTTCGGAGACGACTACGTAACTGAGTTATGTACGCGAACGTACATACATATGAGGCACTGGGTGTGTGTGTGTTTGTGCATTTGAATTGCGCAAGCGCAACTATTGCAAATTGCATACCAAGCAGCTCAGTGGCTGCTGCATGCCAACATGCAACAAAACCAGACACGCGGGCAACGTGCTGACTAGACGCTGACAGCAGCAATATCAACACAGCAACAGTACAACACAAAAAGCACACCAGCAGCAACAAGCAAGTGCAAAAGCCACAAAAGAAAGCAGCAACAATAGATAGAACACGGAGAAAAATGGGCAACTTTAAGAAAGTTTAAGATAAAGTTTTCCCAAGTCGAGGATAAATGTTTAGGTTTACGAAATTTTGAAAAGTTATGTTAAGCTTGAGCCTAAGCTAAATGGGAAATTGTAAGAAAGTTTAAGAAGTTAAGAATTGTTATTAATTGAAGTTATTAATTGTCTTGAGCTTAAGCCAACTTTTAATTTTAGCCATTAAAAGTTTATAAATATATTGTTGCTTCTTTTGGCTCAGTTTTAAGTTACTTAAGCCTCTTAGGAAATTATAAAAATCCTCCTTTTCTAATATTTTCCCCCTGTGTATTGGCATTGAAAGTAAATTGCAGACTCGACCAGCAACAGATGCCAAGAGTAGAGGTACAAGACCAAGTTAAATTCAAGCCCCGGAGTAACAAGACAATATCTAAGATGCCGAGTGGAAAGAGGCTTGGAAAAGTGGTTTGGCCACATTTCACTTTTAGCATAGAAACGATTTAGAACTTGTCTGCAATTGTGGCCAAAAAGTACCTGAGATTCGCGCAATCGGATAGCTGGATAGCCGACCAAGAATCTTCAATCAGTTAAGAATGATTTTGCTCATAAATTGCAGTGAAAATTATTTTCGTGATTACACTGAAACTCATAAGATTTATTTTCTTGTTTATTGTTTATGATTTTTAGCCCATACATTGACTCACTCTGTGGGTATATATTTCTCTAGGGTCTCCGATTTGTTGACCAATCAGAAAAGTTCATATGTCTGTCTTCTGGTATCACAGTGTTTATGTTTGTATTTTGACTTTGACCTTCACATTGAGAACTGAAATTTGAACCAAAAGCCCGATTTGTGTAAACAAAATGTTAGACAGACAATAACAACAACAAGTCCACAGCTCGGCTTTGACAAACGATTATAATATAAATACGTGTGAGCCACTTTTATATGAATATTCAGCTTTGTATTCATATATTTTGTTTAATTTTTAGGGTAAATTATATTTCACCCTAATTTCAGATTTTTTTTCTGGCTTAAATGAGCCGAACTGGCAGTGACTCAACCTTTTGGGTATTCGTGTAGGTACACCAAGTTAAATTAATTTTATTTATAATTTGGTAAATCCTATTATGGAAAATTCATTCGATTTTTATCGCCGCACATCAAACAGAGACGCCATAAAACATTTCGAACAAGCACACGGATCACTGAAATCGGGGATTATAAAAATTATATTGAGACACTTTGATTTTTCAATACATATATGGGTTATTTTGGCATATGTTTGCTTTCAGAATTTGGTTGTTTTAAAGTGGAACACTCGTGTAAAGGCCATGAATACAAGGAACATGATTCATGGCAACACAAAGGGTGTGGCTCTTTTCCAAAAAAAAACCCAAACAATGACAAAAAGTACTTAAACATTTGTAAGCTTTAAAAGGTATATTTTAAAACAATGAAATGAATATGTAATGCCCTTACTTTTGACTTTAAACCTTTGTATAGAGTAATCCTCTAACATGTTATTTTCCTTACTGATATTCTCGTATTTTATTTGATTTTATTTTTGAAGTGCAACTGCTTTCCTTTATGCGCACATTAATTTGGCGTCGAAACAAAACTTCCTTTTTGACGGCGCTTGTTAAAGCTCTCAGAAAGGTAAAAAACACCAAAAAACAAATCAAAAATAAACAAAAAACATATACGAAAGCAAAAAAAAAAATTAACAAGCTCAAAATGGCAACCAAGTGTGCATAAATTTTTAAAATGCCCGCAACGGGCCAAGTCACAAAAAAAAATTTAAAATACAAAAAAAAATTAATGAAATGCAATCAGAAAGGCATTCCAAGAGAACTGCATTAAGTCGGACTTTTGGACATGGAGAGTCGGTGCCAGTTTTCAGGACCAGTGCTACCTGGTAACCGCTCCAATTCCCCTCAAGAAATTCGTATCTCGCGTGAAGATCAGTACATGGCGCTGACGTGACGTTCTCAACAAAAAACCCAAAAAAATAAATAAAAAATGCTCAAATTTATTTCCCTTCTGGATATATACAGATATGTACCTATATCAGGGAATATAATGAATAAATGCGAACGATTGCTTTTTGCTTTAGTAAAGAACAGTTTACATTTGTCATTTTTGGAAAGACAGTGGAGCAAGGATTAAAAAACCTTTTGGAAACCTCGAAACCTTTTCAAAAAATGTTGTATTGGAATATATGGAAGTTAAAGATTTTTATAAAGGAAAGTACTATATAATAAAACGCACTAATACTCAAAAGCATTATAAATTTTAAGAAATAAATGGTTTCTTAAGAACAATATTCTGGAATACTTTTTACAGAACAGAAATATAAAAAAATCTTTTCATAAAAAATCATTTCATCATTTAAAAACCTCTTTAAACCCACTGTTTTCTTAACCAAAAAAAAAAAGAAAGCTCTTCCTTCCAAAAAACCCAAAAACCAAAACCAAAAAAAACAAAAATCTTAATTTAAACAGAACCTTTTTGGCTGATTGATTGAGCCGACGATTTAAGCCGACCAACGTTGGCCCAGGACTTCTGGTCCTGCCATGAGGTGTTAACTTGTCTTAAATGTTCTTTGGACCGTAATGGTACCGTTATGCGGCTAATTGAATTCTTATAAATTGTTCGCTGTCATCGTTATTTTGTGTTCCTTCTTGGGATTCTTTAAATTGCGACTAAGTTAGCATAATTTATTGTATTGTAGAGTTGTAGCCCTCTGTAGAGCGAGCATTGATTTTTGCAATTAGCAAGCAATTATACGGCAATGAGCAACAAGATTGGCTCATTTGCATATCATCGAGAGACATTTGAAGTGTTTTGGTTCTTCGAGTTAGTACACTCAAAGTGTCAAGTGGAGGGGAAGAAAGAACCGAACCCCAGATACCATACTATACCCTCAGAAACAGATCCATAGAAATTCGCATAGAAACCAAAACTGTCTTCGGTTCTCATTACTCATAAGTATTTGTTTATTAAAGTACTTAGCAGGTTTTTTTCGCCAGCATTTTCAGCTCTTAGCCCCACAATGGTCTACCAAAGCCCTCAAAAAAAAAAAAAAATTATTTCAATTGTTTAGTGGAAAAAAATCCCTGCATAATTTTTTGGTGAGTGTGCGTGTTTGTAATTTTGTATTTATTTATTTTTTATTTTTTGGGGCTCGAATCTTTTGTAAATTTCCACTTGGCATTTTTTGTGGCGTTTCTTCTTTGGCTTCATTTGGCGCCTGTCTTTTTATGGCGTTCCATTTTAAATTAGTTGTTTACTTTTTAAAAAAAAAACCTTTGAATAGAGTTTGGTTTTTTTATTTGCTTGTCTACTTACTTATTTGTGGGGCTTGAGTTTCTTTAGTTGAAAGTTGAGAACGTCTACTGAAAAAATACAAATAAAAGAAGGGAAATTGTTACTCAAGTTTATATAAGTCATTAGTTTGGTATGCAAGTTATGGGCTTATAATGGCATCCCTTAGGGTCCCTTAGCTTAGCTTTCAATTTAAATAATTTTCTAGTCTTATAAAAATGCCATAAAAAGAATCGCTTGTGTCTGGACATATTTATGTGGGCCATAAACCGACGCTTTGTTGGGTCATAATAATTACACTCAAAACGATTAACAACAAAAAACGGCAAACAAGTTTATTCGCCAGCAGTGCGTGTGAAAAAAAATTGCAACGTATATGGGATCTACAGAACCTCTTAATGGGGGCAACGAGTACAATAAATGTAAAATGCAAATCTTGTCTACAAAAATAGTTGCTGACGCCTCAGCCATGCCGTCAAAACAAAACAACAACAACAAATATGTATAAAAATAAAAGATAAATGAGCACAGTTTTGTCTGTGTGGCATGTATCGGTGTGGGTATGTATCTGTGTGTTGCCCAAGCTGCATTGCATTGAGATAGGTCAGTCACATATGCAGACTCGAGTGCAGCGGACTCTCAACTGCAGCCGAAGCTTTAATATTTGCGGTTACTGCTCTAATTACGCTGCCTAGGGGTTGGCCCAGCCCCCACCACCCTCCTTCATGGGCATCGAGGATGCGAATTAAATCTGCAGGCAGGGGAGGAAACGGGTTTTATTTTCTCGGTTGTAAAACAAAACTTACACAATCGCATCGGCTCTCTTCGCTCTCGCGATTCACTTTTCTTTGTGCAATTTCAATAATTTAGCAAAAAATGCTCTTTAACACTGCAGCTGCACAAGCGAAGAGAGCGAGAATGCAATGCAAAGAGAGCCATGGCAGCGTTTTACTGCACTTTTGGCTTACTTGCACTTTCTGCTGCACTTTTTTAACAGAAAAAGTAGTAGATTGGGAAACGAAGGGATTTTTAATTTAATTTTTTAATAAATTTATCTACTTTATTTAATACATTTATTTGTAACTTTTATTACTAGCTCCATATTTTCCTGAGACTTACTCCTTTTTTTGGACCTAGGACAACACAGATGCGACTGAGGCAGGGAAACTCTGCAAAAATTTTCCTACCCCCAAAAAAGCTTTATACCTACAATAATAATAAAAAACAAAAGTAAAAGCAAAAGCTTTCCTGTTAAAAAAAAAGGATGAGGTGCCGAAAGCTGGGTCATGGGAATACAGACAACATAATACTTATTGCGCAGTAGACGAAAAAAAGGGTCTATCCCCAGTCTAGACAGGTGATTATACAAAAAAAAACCCGGTGAAATTCGAGCCTAATAAACCTAATAAATACTCCCGCCATTTTGATGGTGACATAATTAGTGAAAGTGAATTTGAAAACAATTGCATTGTCTAAGCTTTTTCGCTCTTAAGTGCAAAATGAAAACGAAATTCAAATTCGAAATGAAAACGAAATTATTGCAAAATCTAAGCACGCACACACATTCAGGCGCCTAACGGTCTCTTAACTCTCTTTGGCTGTAGGTGCTCTCTTTTATTTCGTATCCGCTGGCATGTGTGTTGGTAAAGTGCATTGACTTGTAGGCTCGTTGTTGTTGTTTTATTTTTTTTCTATATTTGAATGTGTTTGGGTGTGTGTGTGTGGTGTGTGTGGCATGTGGCCAACATTGCAATGGCCAATTCCAATTTGTATTTGGCCTGATGCGGCTTACAATTGTTGATTACAAAATGCAAATATCATAATGTCGGGTATTTAGCGAAGCGTTAAAGGAATTTAAATTCAAATGCTTAGTTATCCCATTAAAGCAATAGATTATATTTGACTTTACTAATAAAAATCTATAAAACAAACTCTACACTTGTCACACAGGGCGTATGATGAATATTTTTTGTAAAATATCGCGTATACGCCCCACTGGCAAGTCACTTTACTGCCCCCCACTCGCCATAAATAATCTTTCGACATTGTCGCATCCATTCACCCGCATGCATTGTATCACAAATTAGCAGAAAATCAGTGTTCCCAGCAAAGAATAAGAAAGTGCAACGGTTGGGTGTAAAAACTAGTTTAGTAGGAATTTAATCGGTCGCATTGTGCTGACAGAGTTACGTGGCGGCTAATTGAATAAGTGCCCAGCTCAGATTGGATCGAGACGAATGTGTGCTAAATTGATTGAAGCTGCAAGTAGCGGCAGAGAAGACAGTCAGTGCCATAAATTAACGGACGAAACACGAAACAAGTCTGCTGCCGTTGTGGCTGCTGTTGCTATTGCTGTTTCTGCCACAAGTTGCATATCATACTATAATTTCCACATACAACACACACACAAAAAATCACAAAAAAGTGGCGCCCAAACGGAGACAGAAAGCGAAAACTGGGTCAACCTGATGCAGAGCAGCCTACGCAGCCCCACAGCTCCACAGCTCCGTTCACATTCACATCCCCACCTCGTCGTCTATCTATCCGGGCGCAGACGATACTACAAATATGTAACTCAAAAAGATATGCAGCTGCAGATGCATGCCAAAAAAATAAAATAATAATAAATACTATGGTGTGTATAGAAATAAAAGCAGATCCAACTGAAGAAAAAAGAGTGTAACCCACGTTTCGCTTCATTTGGCCCGCACTGGAAAAGTAGAAACGGCGGCAACACGGACGCCAAATTTATGTCTGCTGGATTTCACCCACGCAGCTCCCAATAATAGCAGAAAATTCAGGCGTACCAGAAGTATGTGGCATCCACACAAAAATCGGTAGCCATTCGGTAGCCCCCGATGACTTTGTTATTTTTATTTTTTTACAAGAAAAACAAGAATGGAAAGCTTACATTGGGCTTATATTACATGCTTATATACCCTTGCAATTAAGTAGCAAAAAAAATTTTTTTTTTCCCGATTTTTTCGGGACTGCTTAAGTGCAACTTATGAGAATCGAGGAGGAGGGCACTTTTATTTAATTAATTATTTTTAAAAATTTTATTGAATATATACCAAATTAAAGTATTTTATGGAATGTTATTGTACGCAAAACAATGATACAATTTTACTCTTCATTACCATTTGACTTCTAGACGCCCTTAAAAAAGGCAATAAAAATATGGGGTTTTAAATGTTCGTATTAAGGTACTGAGGTAGTTTTGAAAAATGTATTATTATTTTTTTCCCTATGGTCTCCAAAATGAATAAATATCAAACAAGAAATAAAATTTGGGACACGGATCATATGGCCAAAAATAGAATCTGTAGGATTTTCCAACTTTCTATCTTCAAAAACACGAAAGTAGGGTCCTTTCCGATAGTTCAGTTATAGGGCAGCTATAGGATATATTTTCTCCAATCCTGACCCGATTCTCAAGCGGAGTACCTTAAACGATTTCTGGGACGATTCTCCACCATTCTGCATCATAATCCTGAGACAAAATATTTTTTAAATTTTTTGTCCATTTTTCGTGATGGGATCCTTTAAAAATGGGGTTTTCCCCGTAGGGTCCACTGTGATGGCTATATCTTTCCCAATTCTTATCCGATTCTCAAGCGGAGTACCTTAAACGATTTCTGGATCGATTCGCCATCATTCTGCATCAAAATCCTGAGAGAAAATATTTTTTAGATTTTTTGTCCATTTTTCATGAGGGGTCCCTTGAAAATGGTGTTTTTCCCTATAGGGTCCACTGTGATGGCTATATCTTTCCCAATTCTCATCCGATTCTCAAGCGGAGTACCTTAAACGATTTCTGGATCGATTCGCCAGCATTCTGCATCAAAATCCTGAGAGAAAATATTTTTTAGATTTTTTGTCCATTTTTCATGAGGGGTCCCTTGAAAATGGTGTTTTTCCCTATAGGGTCCACTGTGATGGCTATATCTTTCCCAATTCTCATCCGATTCTCAAGCGGAGTACCTTAAACGATTTCTAGATCAATTCGTCATCATTCTGCATCAAAATCCTGAGACAAAATATTTTTTAAATTTTTTGTCCATTTTTCGTGATGGGATTCTTTAAAAATGGTGTTTTTCCCTATAGGGTCCACTGTGATGGCTATATCTTCCCCAATTCTCATCCGATTCTGAAGCGGAGTACCTTAAACGATTTCTAGATCGATTGTCCACCAATCTGCATCAAAATCCTGAGACAAAATATTTTTTAGATTTTTTGTTCATTTTTCGTGGTGGGATCCCTTAAAAATGGGTTTTTCCCCTATAGGGTTCACAGGGATGGCTATATCTTCCCCAATTCTCATCCGATTCTCAAGCGGAGTACCTTAAACGATTTCTAGATTAATTCTCCACCTATCTGCATCAAAATCCCGAGACAAAATATTTTTTAGATTTATTGTCCATTTTCCGTGATGGGATCCCTTGAAAATAGGGGTTTTCTCTGAGAGACTAGTTCGCGTAGAAACAGACAGACGGAAGTGCTTATATCAACTCAGAAGGTGATCCTGATCATAAATATATATCCTTTATAGGGTCGGAGATGGAATACCCTCTGCAAGGGTATAAATATCAAATTATTCACAAAACCCTATAACTCTTTTAATAAAAACTTTCCACACCTTGAACCTCCTATAACCCATAAAATTTATTATTATACATATACATAATTATATGTACAAAACTTTATTGTTATAGGCCTTTAAATTTCCTCATTAATTCCTAAAATATGCATAGAGTTTCACTATAGCCTGTGAATACTGTACAGTCTACTGAGAGCCGGAGAGAGAGAAATAGAGATAGCGAGATGGAGATACTGCTGCTGCTGCCGCTGCCCACAAAGTCGTGATTCCGCCTGCAACAACGTTCACTTTCAAAATCAGTGAAATGTAACCGAAAAAAAGTGAATTGATGTTGCATTGTGTTCGGCTGTCTGTTTGTTAGCTATTCGCATTATTCACTTGGCTTACAAATAGAGGTTAATTTATTGTGACTTGATTGAGTCGCGCATGCGCATAAAATATGCAAGAGAAACTGCCTGTGGGAAAGGTAAGTCAATAAATTATACAATTATTTTGATAAATTTGCAATGTTAAGAGTGGGAGTATATCTTATCAAGGTGTTGGTCTTATCAAAGTTTATTAGGCCTACAAAAATATAGGCCTTATCTTAGTATGAAAGTTTTAGGTATAGTATTGGTCCTACCACAATGCAAAATTTTTGCCTCAATGTCAGATTCAGTTTAAGAACTTTACTCACACTCTGAATGCAGATACAGATGCCGATACAGATGCAGATGCAGTTACAGCTTGAGATACAGTTGCAGATACAGATACATAAGCATGCTTGGCATGCAGATAAACATCCGACGAAGAAACAGATGAAAACCGCGTTCACTGCATCCGACAACGACCTTCGGCGCCGATCTGACATTGAACACTGGCTATAAATGGAGGCATGTACTGGTGAACAATGCAATGTGCATACACTGAGCGAAATATTGTGGGGTTTTTATAGATATTTCCTAAAGAAAACTCTTAGATATAGTCTTTATAAGCCTTGTCTTAAGGTCTAAGCTTCATACTCTAGTTTCGTTTTTAGTTTTAATATCTAACTACTTTTTTTCCAGTGTACATTCAGTTGACATAATTTATCCAGTGCACATGTAAAGTGTATATGTATATGCCTGGCACTTTTTCGCATTTAGCCAATTAACTCAACGGGCCAAATTCAGTCGGAGACGGAGATGGAAATGGAGATGGAAATGGAAATGGTCAATCCGATCTTCATGTTGCAACAACAGTGCTTGCTGCCTGCTGCCTGCCACCGATGCTGCTGCTGCTGCTGCACTTGACTTACTTGTATTTGGTGCTGCCAGTGTCGTGGCAGTTGCAGTTGCAGTTGCAGTCGCTGTAGCTGTTGCCATTGCCGTTGCATCTGGTAACTGCCATCGCCATCGCCATCTGCGCAATGCATTTCACTTTCATTATGATGCAGTCAGTTTTTGCCACTAAAAATGGCAACGGGGCAATGCCAATGTGTGGTTTTTCCAAGCCAAAATGAAAACCAGTTGACGGTCGGTCGGTCTACCCTCTCTCTCTCTTAGTCTGTCTGTTGGTCTTTCTCTTTCTGGCTAGTTGGTGGCAACCTCAACAGCAGCAACCTTAACAGCTGACAGCTGTGTTGCACTCACCTGGCTTACCTGTGTAGGCGTCGCTTTTCGTCGCTTTTCGGTTTTTCGTTTTTGGGTTTTCTGTTTTCAGTTTTCAGTCTTCAGTCTACCAGTCTTCAGTCTTCAGTTTTCGGGTCTTGGCTTTCGTCTTTTGTTTCTGCTTCGAGCTGCTTTCGTTACTTGTTTTTACTTTCTTCTAATAGATCGTTAGCTGTGCCATGAACTTGCAATTGATTGCTTATTGTTAAATGCAAATGGAAAGTCATTTTCCATGCATTGCTTTTTATTTTATTTCCACAATGTTTTGCTTTTTTTTTGTGTTTAACGCTTTGCCTGGCATTTTCTTTTCCTTTTCGTGGGTTTTCATTAGCGGTGCGGGTCGGCATCGGCATCGGCTTTCCCGAAATATTTTTCCAAGCGGGTCAAGCATTTTCCTTCGCATGTCGCATTCTTGACTTGCGTTTCTCGGGTACATATTTTATTGATTTGCCAGCTGAGTAAACGGAAAGCGAAAGTAATTACCTTTCGACGGATGGACGGACACACCCACCCACCCACTAACGCACACCTCCACCTCCCACACACGCACACACCCATCTACACATTCGTGCTTCCACAGTCTTCTTCTCAAAACGAAGATAAATGCATTACAACCCCCAATTGCATTGTCGCATGTGTGTGTGTGAGTGTGTACGCCTCTTCCTGCCCCACCCCGTTATCTCCCCCCCACCACCCCCCTCTCAGAAGGCCTGCCACCACCTCCTCGCCCCCCCTGCCGCACCACACCACACGCAACAGAATCAATTTTTATTGGTTACACAACGACGACGCCAGCAGCGAAGCAAAAGTGCATTGACCCCGGCGGCGACTCATGACTTTTAGTACTTCTTTGCTCAGACCCGAGAACGGGTAGTCGCCTTATCTTAGGCAGCTTGCCAAAATTATACATTATGAATATTGTCATTAAAGAATTCAATACAGTAAGGGCTTTAAGTTTGTTATAAAATATATGTAAAATATAAATATCATACATAAAGAGTGTATCAATTTGTTGTGAATTTTATTTGGAAATCTTATTTCTGACTTTGTATTTTTCAAATTTTAGTAATGAAGAAATTTCAAATATTTCTCTTTTTGTAAATTATTTGACTTAATGGTTGGAAAACTTGTAGAGCTTTTAAAGAAAATGCATTCTTTTTAAAAGAAGATGAGAAAGGAAAACATATTTTTACCCCTTTTAAAAAGTTTCTTTAAATGTATGATTCAAAAAGTTTATTTTTATTCTTACGAGAATCTTAGGAATCTTATTCTTACTTATAAAAATAATAATAAAAATCTATAGTCCTGTAGTCTATAAATATACTCAATCTAAACTTTACCTAGAAAACAGCCTTGATAATATAAACATTTTAATAATTGTTTATGAACCACTTATTTTATAATATTCCTAAATACTTGAAGCTTTTTGAAGATTTACCATTTCAATATTATGCTTTAAAATATCTGTTTTATAAAAGTAGTACAATTAAAAATAAGAAATTTAAGTTATAATTGAAATGTAATCTAATTTAAATTTAATAATCGATTTAGAAAGAGTAAAACACATTCGTTCATCGGAAATCCATTTTTCCTTCTCAATATTTCCTTCATTTTTTTCACCCCGGTCTTGTGTGTTTTCAGTTGAGTTACTTTCAGTAAATAGGCTACTGTTTGCCTTGGACAGATCTGTGGATCTGTGGATAGCGATCTCTGAAAGGAGGACCCAGCGCTAATGGGAAACCAACACGAAGTGCGATGAGGATTACTCTTGGTTAAACAATTTTATTTGCTTGGATGAATCATCTCTGAAACTATCTAATACTCGTCTATAAAACATATATAGGGGCTGCCATTAAAAACGCCAACGTCCCTGGATGCCACCACCATAGTTGTTGCGGTTCTGGTCAAAATTTCGGCTGGCCTGGGCGTAGGCGTCGATACTGCCACGCCCATCGCGACTGGTGTACAAATTGTGGTTGTACTGTACATTGGCCTCGCGTCCCACCTGATGATCCTTGGTGGCAGTGATGACCACAGAGCCACCTTCCGGGGAGCGAACGCGACGAATCAAAGGATAATTCTCCAGATAAGTTTCGGCTTCGGCCACCACAAGGTCCTCAGGATCGGGTAGGGAAGAAGCAGTCACAGCTGCCGCAAGGCAGAGACCCACGAAGAGCAGGATTCGGATTTTGTTGGAATACATCTTTACTCGTATTTGGATGAAATAGAACTGATGACCAGTCGAGGATGCTTGGAGGTTTTTATAGGAATCTCAAGATTGCAAAATGGGATTTACCTAGGCGGGGACTTCTGACCCAGATGCCTTTGTCTCTTATCTGCCTGGCAGGGGAATTTTTTTCAGAGGTACATCCCATTCTGGGATGCTTATCAGTATTGTAGCAATGCAAGGGGGTCATTTAAATAATGAAAATTATATATATTTCATTTTTTTGAAGAAAGAAATATAATTAAAAGGAAATATAAAAATAGTATCCACCTTAAATGTCCTTTCAAGAAGAGGGTGCACCAAAAGATGTACGTCTTTGAATGTATGGCTTAAGCTTACTTAAAACTAAATAACCTTTAAAAGTTAATTCTAGACAGATTATGAAAACATATTGACGCTTTTTCTAATCAGCCCGAAAGGGGGGCACGCTCTGCCATAACTTTTCTTTTCTAAACGCATTCATTCGATCGGCCTACGCAACAACTTTGAGATAACGCCGCACGCACCATCATCGGTGGGCTGAACAATAATCAAAAAAAAAAAAACATACAGGAAACCAGAACAAACTAAAAAATCATAAAAGAGAATTTAGTTCATATGAGTTCGTTGACACAGAAACGTAGAAATCAAAATAAAATCTTAGTTTTCCTCTGTGCGTATGATCCCCTTGCTTGCCCCTTTGACGCCCTAGATCGACCCACGCACTATTTTTAATACACTGGGAGAATATTTTTAAATTTGAAGATAAGAAATAAGTAATAGTCGCACTAAGAAATTTGTGGAAAAATCGTGATAAAGTATACTTCATATACCTTTAACTTAATACAAGAAGCTTTAAAATAAAATCAAATAAAACAAAAATTCTGAGACAGAGTCCAACTTGCGCCTTTTATTTAAGGGTATTTTAATTTTATTAGAAAAATTAATATTGCAAACCTATATTGGACTAAAATCTATACATTATAAATCTTATGTAAGTAAAATCTTAAAAGTAAGCTTTATAAAACGAAGAAAATTCAGAAAGTCCTATATAACAATTATTTTAATAAAATTAAAGAAGTGTTTCAATATTTTGTATTTATTTGCAAATATTCTTCTATTATTCTAGCCCCTTGTTTCTCCCAGTGAACTGTTCTACCTGTTGCTCCTTTGACTATAGTTATCGGCTCTTTAGATAGCGACAAAGTCGTCATTGATTAAAACACTCAAGTGTGAGTGGGTTCGGTTCTGTTCGTTTCGATTTTGGGGAATAAATAAATGCCTAATCGGAGGCGAAACCCTTGCCAAATTGTGATGGCTTGCCATGAACTTGACTTTCAATGGCGATTCATTCGCTTGTGAAAGTAAATTCTACCGAGTGCGCCGGCACTCTCTCAGTTCGCGACGAGAACTGATTTCTAATCAAAATTTTTCGAGTGCCGTAATTAGATGTGCGTACCCCGTGCGCTCTCGATGCGAAAGTCTTTCTTTTTTTTATTTATTTATTTTTATTTCTTGGCCCATAGATCATTTTCGGGTGAAAGTTTTTTGCATGTGTACGCTTTGCCGGCCATGTTTCTTTTCATTTACTTTACTGGACTATGGCGTTATCTATCGAATATCAAGTCGAGGCATTTACATCTTTTGTCACCTGTGGCTATTTATCTCAAGCCACCAAGAAGCATACTCCGCGGCCACGGGGCGTATACACAATGTGGCAGAGGCCGAGGAAAGAGGCCCGAAAAAAAAACAGAAACAGATAGAAAAGTGGAGACACGTGTCGATATCCGAGAAGTTGCCAAGTCATAATTGTAAAATTTATGGATCTCCAAGACGCACACATAGGGATTTTTTTTTATGATCAGCTAGAAGCAATTAAGCCGAAAAAATATCAAAATTCATTGAATGAAAGTCTATATAGCATTTGTATGTAGGTTTGGCCTTTCCGACAGCCATTTGTCTAGCTCCCAAAAAAAAAATTAAGAAAAAAAAGTTGAAAGAAAAAAATGCGTGGCGTACGCACGCTTTCAAAATAAATTATATATGCGGCGATGATACGATTTTTTATAGACAAATGCGTTTCTATATATCAGTATGTCCATTTGTTATTGCGGATATGTGCGGTACATATATTAATATATAATATATACCATCGGGTTTGCGCAGATCTTGTTGTTTTAAAAAAGATTTATTTGCCAAAAAGTATGACGATAAAAAAAAGCTGTAAAATACTGTATGCTTCATTTGCAAATGGGCTACTTTTGCGGCTACTCTGAAGTGTAGTGCGGTTTTTACTCTTTGAGTTTCGTCAACAAAAGATTGATGAGAAAAGATGCAGATTAAGATGAATAGAGGGGAAGGGCATTGGTCGTACAAGGAAGACGAGCCTGAAAGTTACAGTGAACTATAGAGACCCTTCTTAAGGAAAATGAGTAATATGTTTCATCTAAAGCTCATTTCAATTAAACTTTTTCCACTCAAGTTTAATAGAAAAGAGGTGAAGGTCATAGGTCGAACAAGGAATCCTTCACTATGTAAGTTACCGTAAACTTTAGAGACCCTTCTGAAGGGTATTAGAAAACATATTCATAAAAAATAATAACATTTGCCATTCTATTAATAGTTTGGTTTTTATTATCTGTTTTTTAAGTAGTTTATAAATAGTCTTTATTATGATAATAAGTTTGTTTTATTTATGTTATATTATTCGTCTAAAACCCATATAGTTTGCCAAAAATTAAACATTTTCTAGTCAAGTTCAATCGAAAAAGCAAAGACCTCTTCAAAATGAAAGGAAATCTTATACTTTAGCCATTCCAGAGTATCTCTACTGAGTTGTTGATGTTATTGTTGCTTGTGGTGTGTATATCTTTTTTTTTTCTTCACTTTTTTTATATTGTTGTTTTTGTTATTGTTATTGTTGTTTGTGTTATGCGTTGCGTTTAAGTCAAGTTCAAGGACTGTCAATTAAATTGAAATCACTTGCTAAAGACGCGACGCTGAGAGCAGCAAAACAAGCTTGGATCTTGGTTTCCAGATTTCCGGAGGCATCCGAGGCGAGGTGTACGGGGAGATAATGGCTGGGGGTAGCATCTGGAGACCCGCTTCTTGTGGCTTCTCTATATATATTTTATATATGTATATGTGTATTTCTGTGTATCTATGTGCTGCGGCCTTACGTCTTTAGTGTATCTCTGGTTTTTGTTCGATTTTGCACGCAGCTCGTTTACATTATCGTTGTTGTTGCCACGGATGCTGCGTAGTTACAGTGCGGTAATTGTACATCCCGAGGATGATAATGATGCTGGAGATTCTTCTTCCACTTTTGCTTATTCTGGATATATATTTTGTACTTTTTACGGGTTCTAGGCTGGTCTTGAATGAATCTTTTGTATGTCATCCCGACTCTGAGCCAGTCAAGTGCCACGAATCTGTCTCAAAACTGTTGCCATCCAACCTGATATGTAGAAATATTTGAAGAGAGGGCGTGCCACCAGAGAATAGGGGAATATGTATGGGAAAAATGGCATGATTTTAAGATTTCTAAAAGCCAAACTTTTCATGACTTTGGACTCTTTCAAAATTTGTCTAAAACTAAATTTTTGAACATTTAAAGCGGTAAGCACGACCCAACCCAACCTGGCCAACAATGCACGGCCAGGGGCAATTCCTAACTGTGTTTTTAGGCCAACTTTCAGTTTCTCGATATGTGAATCGAGGTTTTCATATCAAATGTGGTCACAGCCAGCGGCATGGGACTGAGACCGAGACTGAGACGCGACTCAAAATAAATGCATAATTAATGACGATTCGGTTGTAGGTATTTGTTTCTCCAGTTGATTAACATAATGCCAAATACATACAAAATTTATATTATCGTATATAGTGCTAGTATGTATATATACATATTAAGCTTATCAGTTGGAACTTGTGAATAAGACTTATTTGTGTTGAAAACTTTACACGTGCTTTGGGAAAACGAGTCCAGAAATATCAGCCCGTCGAACACTCGCTTTGAAATGTCGGAGCAAAGTTCTTGAATGTTTTCTTTGTGCGCCGGCCGATGACTAAATGATTTAGTCCATATTTCGTTTGTAAGCAACGGATTGGCTTTTAACAAAATGTCAATCCATCAGATACAAAAGCGAACAAAGAGGAAGTGCCGGTTCCAAAAACGGAAACGTCGAACTGCAGGGGGAGATCGGATAGGTATAGGTAGGTGTCTATATGGTCCCAGAGGAATACATAGGTTCTATGTGGAATTATTTGTCAATATTTGGCCAATAAAAAGCTTTTTTCGCTTCGTTTCGTTAATCAATACACGAAATTCGTTTTTGTATTTGCCTTTTCCAGCTTTTGTGTTGTTTGTTATTATTGTTCTTTATTTTTATTTTTTTTTTTAGAATATTTTGTATGCCAAGAATTTAAATTAGTAGTAAATCTGGTTTTCTGATTTCGGGCTCGTTCTCTCGATTCCCTCTACTTTTTCCTCGTCTCAGACAGAAGTTGTCTCTCCCTTTTTTTCTACTCGATTCTTGTTTTTAACCTGGCTCTTTTCGTCCGTTTTCTTCACTTTTTTCTGCGACGTTATTACAGGTGAATTTTGTAGATTTTTTTTTTGCCGGGCTTTGATGTTGTGTCTGTGCTTTATTTTTTACTTTTTTTTTGCAGGGACTTGGGACTCATGGCGCAAAAAAAGAGCAGAATCAGAAAACATATTAAATGAGTTTGCCTGAAATCGAAATGCTTTGGGCCATTGATCATTTATTGATCGGCGAAGAAGAGTTGGCAATAGAATGAGAGAACTTGGCCAAAATAAGAATGGAAACTTTATATAGAAGCATGAAGTTTTTGTTTTAATTTGCTTAGGCTTATTTTTTTTTAAATTAAGGATTTAAAAATAGCTTTTTATAGTTCAACCATAGCTTTGTAATGGTACTTATTGTTTAATAGGTTTTTACAATATAATCCTTATTTTTATTTGGAAATTAAGCAATCCTTTTATTCTAAGAGAAATGGATAATATCTTCTCGTATTTTAAAGTGTTTATATCTTGAAAAAAATACCATTTAATAAAATAATGTATAAATACAGCTATTTTTATATTCATATCCAAATAATAATCAGTTCTAGCCAAAAAATCTCATGCCGTTTAAGATACAAAGTTGAACTTTTATGTAAAACTTTCAACGTTTCAAATAAGAATGTTTTTTATTTATTTAAGTATTGTCATTATCTAAAATTGTCCAAAAGCCCTAACCGCAGTTTATTAATGTTTCACTTTCATATTTATTTCCTGATACTTTCAACAACATTATTTCGAATATTAAATTTTCGGGAAAAGTCTGACAAATAAATGACTCTGTAAATGTGTACTTATTCCATGGCGATCCAGCAAATATATCTGTGTTTAATTGGATAATAAAAATCAATGATAACGAACCCAAAGTGGGTCACTTGGGGAAGACTATGTGTCTTTTTCTGGTTTCTCTCCAGAACGCATTTACAATCAAGGTACCAAAAAGTGAAACTCTGTGATTCTGGGCTGCGGTATAAACATTTACACTTACATTTGATTAAACAACGTTTATTGACTTTGGTTGGTTTTTTTTTCTGGTTGGTTGGTAATTTATTTTAGTGCATTTCGCTGATTTTGGGCTTTCGTTTTGCGAGGCCCAGAGGTAGGACGCAAAAAACACAAAAATCTCAAGCGGACTGGCCCAACCTCCTGGTATCTGTATCTGCATCTGTGCATCTTTATCTGTGCGTATTTATTTTGGTTTTACGGCATGTAATTACCAAGAAAGAGAAGCAAAGAGTGGGCAGGGAATGCATTTTGTATTCCTTGGTTTTTGTATTTCTTTTTCTTTTCTTATCATTATTTTTTTCCTGTATGTATTGCGCGCTTTCTGATTGTTCGACCCTCTTCTGTTGCGCTTTTATTTGGGAAGCATTTAAGAAATTTCTTAAACTCATTACGATTTCACTCAATATAGCGCATCATTTTTGTAGGCCGACCCCGGCCGGCCGCTACACAAGCAACAACAACAAAAAATTACATGTTTCACTTTCTCTGGCGCCCACCAAAAATAAAAAGAACAACACACGGGGAGAATGTGTGGCAAGATAAATGCTTAGACATCGTCTGGTTCTTCTGAAGCATTCAAAAAAAAAATGTTTTTTTTTCTTTTCGGTTTTTGTTTTCTTTAGGCATCAATCAGAGAATATATTTCGAGGTTGCCTTTGAAAAGGGAAATTTCTTAACCCAATTAAATGGAAAATAAATGGAACTTATTTAATCTGGTTTTGAACAATGTATAATTCCAAGCACTTACTAGTGCGTACACCGCGAGTAATTTCTAGAATGAAATAATTAAGCTTTACTTACGCTTATCGCTCCTATTTCGCTTTCGGCCTGGAATTCTATATCTTTTTTTTCATTCAGAATTTGCTACGCAATTTACGCGTCTAATTTGCTACTGCCTCTGCCTATTTGCACTGTTTATTTGCTTTTTCACACACAGAATTTGTTGTTTTGAATTTTTTTTTTTTTTATTATTTTATTTAATTGCACACATAATGGACAAAATTAAATGCTATATATTCATTCGTATGTAAGTGCGGCAAAGACACGCACACAGCCAATTGAAAATTGTATTTCGGGCACTCACTGGAAACGAATTTGCACTTTAAACAATTACACTACATATATGAATTAAATTTTTGTAAACTGGTTTTTAAAAAGGGTTTTTTTTGTTGAGTTAATTTTTTTAATATTCTTGTTAAAACAGTATTTAAAGCTGGGTTGGTATCTGGCGGCCGCTGGCGCTTTTTTCACTTCCACATGCGAAGACGTTCGAATGGGAATTGGAAGTATCTGCTGGGAACCGAAAACCGAAACCAAAACCAAAACCGAATCCGATTCGAGAAGCACGAGCGACGCGTGCACTTACAACGGCGTCTGAGTGGAAAAAACTCGAGAATAAGCAAAGTGCGGCTCAATTTATACGGAGAAAAAACAGACAAGAAGATATAGCCGCAGATACAGATACACAGATACAGATATGATCGTCAGAACGCTGCAGGCAGCGTCGCTGCCTCGTAACAGCGAGAGTGTTTTCGCTCTCTTCGGCTCTCTTTTGCTCTGCTCTTTGCTGCGGGGGTGGGCTCTCTTTAGCTGCTATCCGGCTCTTTGGCTGTTATCACACTCTTTGCGGCCTGTTATCACAGACGTTGTTTTGTGTTTTGACTACGAAAAGTGTAGTAGATTTCGGGCATTTATTTTTTCTGGCATTATTTGCATACGCTCAATATGCACGACCCACATTGTTGTTGTTCGCACAAACAGTCGCGATTCCAAAATATACACGCACTCGAGTATATACACACCCGTATATATTCAAACCGACACAGATACATCCACGTACACACCCGTATATATTTTCACAGATACACACATCCACATACACTGAAAAGCGTCAGAGTTCCGCTGCCCGTCGGCTTCGAATACGACTGCAAACACCATACTGAAAGTAGCCGAAATTTAATCGTGTGCCAGCCACTGGGCTGCCTGAATGCTCTCTGCCTCGAAAACATGACAACGTTACTGGCAAACCCTTGAAACCTATTTTTTAAAATATAAAAAATATTTTCTTAGGGTATTTTTGAACTAAAAAATAGTATTTTCTTAAATTTTCAAATAATATTATTACTTTTAGTTAATGATTTGCGGTAATTACTCTGCTAGCTGTTAGTATACTGTTAGTTAGCATTGGAGCTTTCGAGGGATTTGGTTAGAGAGTAAGAGAGCCGGCGCAGTCGACGCTGGCAGCGCTGCTCTTTGGGGCTCTGTTAAACCGCCCCCACTGCTGGGGCTCTGTTCCCCAAAACAACTGCTGTTAAATTTTGATATTAGAAGTGGGACTCAGTTCAGTAACTCATATTATAATTATTCGCCAAAATTATGATGGTAGGTACTATTGAAAAAAATTTACAACAAATTGTAAAAATAGTAATGGCCAGCTTTTAGTTAAGAATGAATCTGGAATCTGGACTTCTAGATCTGCCAAGTATTGCCCAAGTTATACTCATACCCCACCACCTACAAATTTTGGTATATTTTAATTTGGGAAAAATTATTATTATTTATAAAAACCTTTCCATGTCCTTTATGTTTTAGCTTCCATATAATTAAACAAAAAATTTTCAAATTAATCAATATATTGGTGTAATCCTATATTGGCAACTTATTGCAATATTTCGCCAATAACATGCTGATCACTATCAGAAAGTGAATTAATATTCAGAAGTGCAGTGCACATATCAATTACACATTGGGCGCAAGGCCGTCTAGCAGTCAGGCAAAGTGTCAGATACCTGAGCTCAGCTATAGACTGAGTTCACGATACAAACGTATTACGTATCTATTGAATATTCTTTTGGCCAACTTCGATCGATATCGCTCGATTCGCTGGCTGGATTTGCAACTAGACGGCTAATTACGTGACATGTTAGACTCGAAAACAAGTTAAACACGATCGTTCGATTTGTGGATAATTAATTGCAGACATTGGATGCAAAAATACCAAAAATAAAAAACAAATTCACCTCGAAATGTGCATTGAACTTTTGTAGCTGCATTTTTTTGCTGCATACTGTTTTCCCTTTTCGTTGTGTGTTTTGTAAAATTCTAGTTTCAGTCGGATGCTGATAACCCATACGATGAACCTCCTGACATGGCGATATGTATGTCTATTTTTTTTCTTTAGGAGGGGGTGTTCTGGCTGTTATGGGGCGAGAAAAAGGCAGCTGAAGCGTGTTTGTGTAACTGTGTTGGGTGTTTCATTCAGCCTGCAAACAAATGCCAAGTAAATAAAGACAATGTTGGGGAAAAAAGAAATTCCTAAAAAAAAAACGTATTCGTTATTGTTTGTTGTATTGACAACATGGCTGGGTTTATCGCTAACCCTCGTCAGATCAAATAAACATATGGTTTCTGTAAAGTGAAAGGAATACAACTGATAAAGGTGGTTAGAATTATTTCTGTATTGCAACTAGATCCCCCACTTTTATTTATTTTAATCACTTTAAACAGGAAGCAGGCCAACAGATCACTTCTAGGAGCCAATGTGTGTCATTTGTGATAAGAAAAGCGCCATGTCGATGAGGAAGAACTATGGTATTGCACAAGATCTGACTCTGAATACAGTTTGCATTCCATATGAGAGACGTTTCCCACTCCTTTTGGGGTGCCGGCCTGCCTGCCTGCCATGACTAATTAAGTAACCAAAAAAATATCAAGAAAAACAACTCAAGTTCTCAGCATTAAAACGTGCCGAAAACTTTGTAAAGGCTGCCAAAAATGCACATTTTTATTTATATTCACATATGATGTAGGGACACGGTTTGCCGTTTTTAAGGGGTGACTTGGCTTTAATAAGGGGTCTGGGTTACAATCTTAATAAAATTTAATTATGAAAAAGTAGATGAAGTATTAGTATTAAGTTTTAGAAGTAGTTTCATTTCATCTTTGGGTTTAAAAGTTAAAGTTAAAGTCATACAATATTGTAGATATCTGTATCCTTTAACAAGAAAAGGCCGAAAACTGCAGTTTCAAGACTATATATTTCGAATTAATATCAATGCCTGGATAGTGTATCTTTTGGCCAACTAAGCAGTGCTTAAGTTTGAATCCTTTTCAAGTGTACTGCTGCCATATGCATTTTCGATTCTTGTGCTCTTCTGGCCGTGTGAATCATGAGCATTAAGCATAAAACCGACATTTAGCTGATTGATCTTAATAAGAATTTCTGCGGCAGGGCGGAGCATTCGGGCGTAGAATTGCTAACGGATCGGTTGGGACGGGTCAATAACATTTTTCGGGAAGCCCATGTCCCAACGTGAACCGATCCTCATGGACCCTGTTTCATGTCCATGTCCGAATACTCGAATATCCGAATCTGAGGGCGTTGCTGGGCTGCGCCTGCGCAACATAACAACAAACTTTGTGTTTGTTTCCCTCATTTTTGTTGCGTTTTTTTTGCCCGATTGCTCATTTCTTTTGTGAATTTTTTAATAACTCAGTGTTACTTGGGATCGGGCCTGAGAGAAATGGGAGATGTCAGGGTGTCTCTTCTTGTCGGAAATTAAATTTTTGCATTTGCTGAGTTATGGTTTTCAAAATCCAATTCCTTTTCGTATTTTTCTGAAGTTCTCGGGATATCATTCTGTGATTCGCACTTACAATTAGTCTGGGAGATCAGAGCGGATGTCTGTGCTCGTTTGTGAAATGAAATTTGTCGCCAAAAACCCGCAAAATTTGCAAAACAAATTCCTGACCGAAGCTGTCTGGCTGGCCTGTTGCATATTTCATATGTTTTGGTTCTGGTCTAAAGTCGGTTTTATGCTGATTGCTCTGCAGATTTATGCGCAAGTGCTAAATCGGGAAAAACGGAATTAAACTGTGCCAAAAAAAGCTCTTTCTTTCTTTTAAAAAATTAAAAACCATTCCTTCCAAGAATCTTCATAAATCAATTAACTTTGATTTAACTTCTAAACTGCATTTGATTTTTGTCCTCTGTTGCGCAATAAAGTCACCTCTTTTCTCCGTCCAGCAAATAAATTGAATCATTCTTTTTATATAAATATAACAAAATAAAACAAAACATCAAACGGTGTCTGCAATTCAAATTAAATGCAATAAAACTGAAATTGATAGACACCCGAAAATCGTATGAGACACTCTTGTCTGTGCTCCTTTTTTTTTTGCACTTGACAGCATCTTATCCGTCTGCTTAGACGTTTCCCATCCTTCGGATGTCTCGGATTTCGTCTAGTTTTCAAGGACCTCAACAAAAAAAAACAGCCCTTGGGATTTGGTTTCGAAATTGGGGTTAGCCTGTCTGCTCCCTGTCTGCCCTTATTGTGATCCTTTTTTTCTTGGGTTAGATGTTAGTCAGGTTTTTGCCTTTTTTTTTTTTTGATGTTTGGGTTTGTCTGGCGAATTTGGGCCTTTTTGTTTTGATTTCACAACTTGATGTTATTTTTTAGGGAAGGGGCTTTCGAGCTGGAAGATGCTTTATAAGATATGCTTGGGTTTCAATATTTTTAGTGCAATATTTTATAATATTTTGGGGGCTTATGGTTTAGAACTAACTAAAAACATTCCAAAAAAGATCTTTCGAACTTGAAGATGCTTTGAAGAAGTTTGGGTTTTAATGGGTACTGGTTTTTCAGGGCCAAAATTATCTAATATTCTGAGGGCTTATGATGGTTTTGATTATAAGATAACTTGTTAGTGTGTGTTTTATACTTTACAATTATTTTATAATGAATAACTGTTAAATATTTTAAGAACTTAAGTTTCAAAACCAACTAAAAACAATCTCTAAATCACTCACAATATCATATCGACTAAAGCTTCTTGCGCATCTCTGAGATATTTTTTTTGCATCTCTATATTTTTTGGCTGCCGAAAAAAAAGTACCCAGACATCTGCCTGTACGCTTGTGTGTATTGTTGTGCGAGTGTCTGCCGTCTGGACTTTTATTATACAGCCTGACCTTGAATTTATGGAAATTGCATAAGTGGGAAACAACTTTGCCATATTAAGATGTACATACTGACAAATAAAAATAAAAACCAAAACCTCAAAAAATTTAAATAAAAAAACAGGACTCTGAATTAAATGAAACCGGGAAACAACATAAATTATGGGACATTTGGCCATTTTGTATTTAAATTAATATTTGGAAAGCATCCGAGAGAACTGCCGCTTCCTGGGTGCCATGCCTCCTCCAATCTTTATGGGCTTCCATAAAACCAATGCGTGGCATAAGCCAAAACTCACATATCACAAGTCGCGCTTGCCACATTAAACGCTGCCAAATGAATTACTACTTGCGAAAACGACGGGGCAGAAAACAAATAATGATCAACCTGAGCGGAACACACATGATCATGCAAATATATATATGTACACCCCATACATATATCCATGGGCATATCGATAACCTTATCAAGTGTGCGGCATCGGCAAGCCAGAAATACAAATTATGCTTTACAAACAAAAAAGGAAACACGTAAGTCTCAGTTTGGGATTTTAAAACTAACCGATTGGGTTGTACTCTTTAAAAATGTAAAAAAATATATGATAAATGTATAGTTTAATTTTTGAAGAATTCGATATATAGAAATGCCATCCACATCTATGTAGCCAAATTTAAAAATTAACTAAAAAAACATCTCAATTTCGGAAGCTTTAAAATCTATACAGTTCGAACTCCTAAGAAAAGTGTATAAAAAAAGATAAATTCCTAAGAATCAATGTTTGTAAACTGCCTCAGTGATTTTTTTTTTGGGCACCAGGAGCGTAAGGGGGCGTGGCACATTTAAGAGCAGAACAACTGATTCATCCAAAATCAAGAAAGGAAAGCTTCGGGTCGAAGTTGATATACACTTGCGGTTAGGATTGGATATTTATCGCAAATATCACATATTGTTGGCCGATCCATATTAGAATTTTATTATAAAACCCATGTATGTATGTATTAGAAAACAATATGCGGTTTTCCCCTATAGGGCCCACAGTGATGGCTATATCTTCCCCAATTCTCATCCGATTCTCAAGCGGAGTACCTTAAACGGTTTCTAGATCGATTCGCCATCATTCTGCATCAAAATCCTGATGCGAAATATTTTTTAGATTTTTTGTCTATTTTTGTGATGGGATCCCTTGAAAATGGGCTTTTCCCCTATAGGGCCCACAGTGATGGCTGTATCTCCTCCAATTCTCATCCGATTCTCAAGCGGAGTACCTTAACCATACCTAACGCCACCTTTCTGCATCAAAATCCTGATGCGAAATATTTTTTCGATTTTTTGTCTATTTTTGTGATGGGATCCCTTGAAAATGGGGTTTTCCCCTATGGGTCCACAGGGATGGCTGTATCTTCCCCAATTGTGATCCGATTCTCAAGCGGAGTACCTTAAACGATTTCTAGATTAAATCTCCACCATTCTGCATCTAAATCCTGAGAAAAAATATTTTTTAGATTTTTTGTCCATTTTTCGTGATGGGATCCCTTGAAAATGGGCTTTTCCCCTATAGGGCCCACAGTGATGGCTGTATCTCCTCCAATTCTCTTCCGATTCTCAAGCGGAGTACCTTAAACGATTTCTAGATCGATTCCTCATCATTCTGCATCAAAATCCTGAGACAAAATATTTTTTTGATTTTTTGTCCATTTTTCGAGATGGGATCCCTTGAAAATGGTGTTTTCCCCTATAGGGCCCACAGGGATGGCTATATCTTCCCCAATTCTCATCCGATTCTCAAGCGGTGTACCTTAAACGATTTCTAGATTAAATCTCCACCATTCTGCATCTAAATCCTGAGAAAAAATATTTTTTAGATTTTTTGTCCATTTTTCGTGATGGGATCCCTTGAAAATGGGCTTTTCCCCTATAGGGCCCACAGTGATGGCTGTATCTCCTCCAATTCTCTTCCGATTCTCAAGCGGAGTACCTTAAACGATTTCTAGATCGATTCGCCATCATTCTGCATCAAAATCCTGATGCGAAATATTTTTTAGATTTTTTGTCCATTTTTCGTGATGGGACCCCTTGAAAATGGGGTTTTCCCCTATGGGTCCACAGGGATGGCTGTATCTTCCCCAATTGTGATCCGATTCTCAAGCGGAGTACCTTAAACGATTTCTACATCGATTCGCCATCATTCTGCATCAAAATCCTGATGCGAAATATTTTTTAGATTTTTTGTCTATTTTTGTGATGGGATCCCTTGAAAATGGGCTTTTCCCCTATAGGGCCCACAGTGATGGCTGTATCTCCTCCAATTCTCATCCGATTCTCAAGCGGAGTACCTTAACCATACCTAACCGCCACCATTCTGCATCAAAATCCTGATGCGAAATATTTTTTCGATTTTTTGTCCATTTTTGTGATGGGATCCCTTGAAAATGGGCTTTTCCCCTATAGGGCCCACAGTGATGGCTGTATCTCCTCCAATTCTCATCCGATTCTCAAGCGGAGTACCTTAACCATACCTAACGCCACCATTCTGCATCAAAATCCTGATGCGAAATATTTTTTCGATTTTTTGTCTATTTTTGTGATGGGATCCCTTGAAAATGGGCTTTTCCCTTATAGGGCCCACAGTGATGGCTGTATCTCCTCCAATTCTCATCCGATTCTCAAGCGGAGTACCTTAAACGATTTCTAGATCGATTCGCCATCATTCTGCATCAAAATCCTGATGCGAAATATTTTTTAGATTTTTTGTCCATTTTTCGTGATGGGATCCCTTGAAAATGGGCTTTTCCCCTATAGGGCCCACAGTGATGGCTGTATCTCCTCCAATTCTCATCCGATTCTCAAGCGGAGTACCTTAAACGATTTCTAGATCGATTCGCCATCATTCTGCATCAAAATCCTGATGCGAAATATTTTTTAGATTTTTTGTCCATTTTTCGTGATGGGACCCCTTGAAAATGGGGTTTTCCCCTATGGGTCCACAGGGATGGCTGTATCTTCCCCAATTGTAATCCGATTCTCAAGCGGAGTACCTTAAACGATTTCTAGATCGATTCCTCATCATTCTGCATCAAAATCCTGAGACAAAATATTTTTTTGATTTTTTGTCCATTTTTCGAGATGGGATCCCTTGAAAATGGTGTTTTCCCCTATAGGGCCCACAGGGATGGCTATATCTTCCCCAATTCTCATCCGATTCTTAAGCGGAGTACCTTAAACGATTTCTAGATCGATTCGCCATCATTCTGCATCAAAATACTGATGCGAAATTTTTTTTAAATTTTTTGTCCATTTTTGTGATGGGATCCCTTGAAAATTAGGGTTTTCCCCATAGGGTCCACAGTGATGGCTATATCTCCACTAATTCTCATCCGATTCTTAAGCGGAGTACCTTAAACGATTTCTCCACCATTTTGTATCAAAATCTCGAGTCAAAATATTTTTTAGATTTTTTGTCCATTTTTTGTGATGGGATCCCTTGAAAATGGGGTTTTTCCTATATGGTCTAAACATATACATATACTTCATTGGGTTTGAGATGTCTCCCTTACTGCGTTGCACACCTTTGAAAAAAACTATAATACCCTCTGCAAGGGTATAAAAAACGGGTTTAGGCAATCAAAGTATTGCCTCCAAGAAATTATGGCCTCCTTGGCCTGAAGATGATTGTAGTTATTTGGATCGTTTTTATAAACTTGAGTATTTACGTTAGTTTAAAATTGCTTTAATTAGTTGATAAGTATCCGTATTTAAAAAAATAAGACTGACAAACCTTTCTAAGCCAAACAAGTCATATAAAGACAAAATTTTCAGTGATTCAAAGCGAAATAAAGAGAAATATTGAGCAAAAAGATAAAAAATCGTATTTTAAGATGACCAAAAAAGTTAAGAAGCCAAACGAGGGACTGACCAGGATACAGAAGGAGTTGAGTCAGCTCCGGGGGGCTGTCATTGAAATGCGGAAGACTGCCAAGCTATCGTCAAAGTCCTCCAGCCCAAAGTCGAGCCTAACGTTGGTGAAAGCGAAAAAGAAGGCCCAAACCAAGCGTCCCTCGGAGCAAGGCCAGAAACCACTAGCGACCAAGGACCTTTCCGTTCAACCAAGTCAACCAAAGCCAAGCCCCAACGTAGAACATGATACCCTTGCCGGGATAATCCTGCAGCAGGCGCAAATCATCGAAGAACTGAGACAGGAGCTGCAACAGCTGAAGCTTCACTACGAGCGCCAGGTGTCCACCATTAAGAATAACGCCAAGATGCTAGAGCTACAGCTGCAAAAGCTCCTTGCCAGGGCTCGGAAGGATCGGTGGGAGAAACCCAAGTACTCCCACTGGATAGGTGCCCACTACAACAACATAACCGAGGCTGTGGATGAGTTGCATTATTCCAGCTCCTGCATTAAGGAAACAAAAAAGAAACTGAGCAGGATACTGCTGTCCAAAACATCCTCAGAATCTGATCAGAAAACCTAAAAAAAAAGGATATACTTATTTTTAGGATTTCTGATCAGATTTCAAGGAGTTATGTTGTCATTAGCCAATAAATAATTTTACTATTACGAAAACTTATAAATTTTTAATGGAATTGATGGGTTTTTGAAAAGGTTCTTAAAAATGAATTGTTCATACATAAATTAATCTTAATCTGAAAAAAATTTTTAATTTACAAAGCTGGCTTATTCTTAAACTTCAATCGAAACCCAGTTCACTCCATTTTTTCAAACTATGTCACATTCTAGAATTACAAAACAGCCAGACTTTCTATGTCTGACTGTAGGTGTTCGATAGAAATTCATTTTCCGAATACAAATTTATTTACACACTCCGGTAAAGAACCCTGCGAAATTTTCTCTTTTTACGTAAGCTGATCCAAACATTGCCGAAGATGCCCCCTCACGATCGCACCAAGGCACGACTGGAACACGAGATAACCATTCTACGCCGCGAGGTGGCCAGGCTGCGCGCCAAACAGGACCAGCGACGACGAGAAAGGCTGGAACAGGACGTTCTAAAGGCGCGACTAGAGCAGGAGGTGCAGGTACTGCACCAAGAACTGGCTGTCGTGAGGAGTGATCGGGACGAGTTGAGTCGCAAGCATGCGACATACATGCGGGAATGTGGTGGCGAAGAGGAGCAGTCTGGAGCAGTTAACGCCCAACTCGTTAAGCTCGACCGACACGTAATCAAGCAGGACAAATATATAGCTTTCCTCGAGGAGCAGATCAACCATACCCGGACCAAGTACCATCAGCGGATGACGGATGTCAAGCAGGGCACAGAGCTAATAGAGAACGAGCTGAAAAAGGTCAGAGACGAAATGCGAACCGTAGCTCAGCATGCTGGCGAGGTGGATAAGATGAAGAAGAAAATCTCCTCCCTCGAGGGCAAGTTGCAGCGCCGGAACTCCATAATCGCCAAGTACGAGATCAAGCACGCCGAACTCATGACGGTCGTTCAGGGCTTCCAAACGGAGGCAACCACAAAAGGAGAAACCCCAATTGAGGTTATTGCCGCTCCCCGACTCTCCGGGGGTAGTCCTCATCGTTCTAATGCTGGCTATTTCATGTGCACCCACACCAGCGATACTGATGTCGCAGAGGGTGAAGAAAATTTCGCCAATCCACTCGATATGCAACCAAGCAACTTTAGCTGCCTGACCTCGGCACTCAAAAAGCGGCTCGGTTATTCGGATACCACTCAACCCGATCCTCCAGTATTTATCGCAACAGAAGTGATTCCTCCGGGCGTTCAGGTCGTTTGATCTTTTTACAAGAATGTATTTATTTAACTTGCGTAGAGGATTTATCCGCTGACTAGAACTCAAAATTAATTTTGTATTTGGATAGTTTAATAAAAAAAGAAAATGGTTTAACATACTTCGTGTTCACCTGGTTTAATCACCTTTGGTCTTCTGTTATTTGTAACAAACCTTTCCACGAAACCCAGCCTAAAAATGCTTCTTCAATAAATATGTTTCCTAAATTTTTATATAAGCTCTCACGGGAGACCCAAACGGAACTTCAGTCAGCAGTTCGGCCTGCAGCGGAGTTCTTAGAATCCCGCACCTAAGTTCATTGACAATTTATCGAGCCATCCATTCAGCATTAAAAGAGTGCTTTGGGTTGTTGCACTACCCTTTGGCCGGCCGTTGTGTAATCGAATGGATTTTAAAATGGTTGTTGGTATATTTGCTTTTCAGTTTTCCTTGGAGCCGTGGTCAAAGTAAGCAGGTCACGTTTGCTAGTACCAGCCTGGTCCGGGTAGATTCTAATGCAGTATATCTGCATAAAAGCACGTACCATAAATTGTAATGAGTCAATGGATTGCAGAACCGGGCAGAAGTCAGGCGTCTATTGAATTCTAATGCCGATTCTAATGCTAGTACTATTGCTGCACCAGGAAGTGCGTGCAGACACTGGGGGACTTCAACCATCAATTGAAATCATTTGTGGCCAGGCGGCAATTGAGATTGATTGGCTGCGTTCTGGCCAATTGGGCCAAAAGTTCACCCTGGTTTGGTACTTCAAACTGCTGAATCGGCGCTTATTTGGAGTATATGTCTAAAAAGTCTTATCTGATAAACAAATGCATGAATCACAGCAACTTATGATGAAATTATCTACTTGTAGGGTGGATTTCGGCACGTCCAATAGAAGTTTTGGCTGTCTAACCCGTTTCCATGGCCTTCAAACACAATTATAATGCGTATCCAACCCGAATCCGATGACCCTGAGACGTATAAGTACACAAAGCACAAAACCACACAAATAGCGCGCGTGACGTCACATAGTAGGTGCTGCTGAAACGTTGAACTGAAACAGAAGTCGATATTTCACTTCAAGTAATTAGAATTATTATTAGTCCTTAGCTAGGCGGCGTACATTACATTATTACATAAACTAAATACTAAAACGGGAACAATCAGCTGCAAACTCGTGCGCCTACGTGCCGGAAAAGCTGCGAAAATTGTTTTTCAGTAGCAGCACTACGAAGAAAATTCCCACGGCAATCGACAGGAGCTGCACGTTGATTACTTTTGAGTCCACCAGGGCCTGCAGCATGTTGTAGATACTCTCGCTGCGTACTTCGCCGCCGCAGCAGTCCATTTAATAACTAATATTCAGTAGGTCTAAGTTAATTATTTAATGTTTACAAAAAATCCATTGGTCTAGTGGTGGGCCAAATTTGTGTATGTTCTATTCATTTTGGTATCGATATTTATGCGACTATCGTAACAACGACCAGCCACTAGCGAACAGCTGTTCGTGTGCTTTTAAAACTGTTTCAGATAATAATTTCGAATAATAATTTAAAGTTTATAACTTGCGTTTCAAAAATTTGTTTTAACGGGGAAAAGTGGGGAATGAACGACATTAATTTCGTTTTTAAAATTATGTATTTTTTCTTCTCTATTATAAAGTTTTTTCCTTGCATTCCATCGTAGAGAACCGATTTGGTTCATACTTTTGCAGAAATAAAGTTTTATGTATATAAAATTCTATATTTACTTGCAGAAAACTTCAAACCACCTCTAAAAACAATTGGAGAATCATTTGTTCCAACTATAATAAGAATTTTTCGCTTCATCGCCACTGAAACACACAACTCTTTTGAACTGTGGGTCTAGTTTTATTAATTAGTTTAACATAACTATTTGCTAGTGGGACGACAATCGCTTATTCGTCATTCTCGTAGTCAGCGGGGTTTTTGCGCAGGAGGGCGGCGTGCTTGCGCTCGGTCAGATCGTAGATCAGGTAACCCAGGATGAAGGCTGCAATGCCAAAATTGAATAACAAGTTGATGCATTATAATAAATTATTACAACTTACGGGGGGCAACGATGAAGACGTTGGAGCGGAAACGGCGGATCATGTTAGGAACTCCCTTACTGATCGCTCCGGCAAAGGCGCGCTGCTCGAAAGGCGACAGCTTGTAGGTAACGATGCCGTGCACCTTGGCCAGGTTGCCGAAGTGGGCTCCATTCAGGATTGAGGTCAGACGCATGATTTAGGCTGATGGGAAGGAAGGGAAAACGTAGTTACAAATTGCAAAGAAAGTGGACTAATACTTGGATGAAGACACAAATAGTTATTATAAACATTATGGCACTGGGAGGTGCACCCGTAGGTTATGTAATTTTCGCACTGCTTTGATCCGCGGACGAAGGCGGCTAAGAACGTCTGCCGTTGGGCGCGATCGATGCACTTTTGGCAGCCCATAATTGTGCATATTTTTAGAGCCCAGCCCCTGTCATTCGGGGAATTATGATGCCAAAAATTACCTTGAAATCGAATTTTATGATGCAAATTCGTCTCCTTCGTCGTTAGAGCTGACAAAACAAACGATAGAACTTTGTATGTAGTGATGGCATTTGCATCGATTGCTTGGATTATTCGATAAGGTCCAAATATATTATATTTTTTAAACATTAACTGAATTATGCACTAATTTCCAAATTTTCAAAATACATTTTAGCCCAACATTATTGATAATTAGTTATTTGTTTAAATTTAAAAAAAATTTTTTGAAGTCCATGGTATTTAAAGTTAGTATTTTTTGCATCTGTATATATCGCCTTCATCGCGGTACCATCACTAACTATTTATTTCTTTCGAAAGAACCCGAAAATCAAAACATGCCGAGTCTTTGTTTTTATTTGGGGCTTTTTCTAACCCTCAGCTGTCAGGTTAACCTGTTGCTGGCGGCTAAGAACAAAAGCTGCTCCACAATGGTAAAAGAATTGGGTGATGCCCAAAGCAAGTTTATCTACTGCGCCACGGTAAAGTCAGTGCCCGTGAATCTTTGTGTCGGATGCAAGGATCTCTACGGTAATCTTCAGGAAGAATTTGGAGCTTTAACGGCGGATGCCAATTGTTCTCAGCTGTACCTGAACTCGGATCGCATTAAAATCGTAGCTACTACACAAGGAATCCTCACTGGACTATGGGATAAGGCTAATTGTCATGGTTTGTAAATGGATTTTAGTTTTAAATTAAAGAATTAAAATATTATTTATATTTTAGACTGCTTCGTAAGAAACAATTCGATAAAGTACGACATGCTTTCCACAACTTTGAGTGGGTGCCTGAAAAATTCAAACGAGAATAATGTTTGCACCGAATGCAAGCTAGCCTATTTGGATTTAAACAATTTCTACATGGACATGGAAAAGGCAAGCAAGGGCCAAGTCTGTTTCGATCTCCAGGACAATGTGCGTCAAAAATACCTATATTTAATAATAATTTCATTTGCCTCCAGTTAGTAGAATATAAAACCTTTAAGTTTTGCTTAGTCATTTTTTCAGGGGATTCCCCTATTTCATATACTCATATCCTACTCCACCCATGATAAAATGAATTTAAATTAATTTGTTTTAATTTCCAGATGAATCGCACTCGTCTACACTGGTCAAAGGAGCTCAAGTGCTGCCAGCGTGAAGTCAAGCTGATTAATTTTCTGATTGCCGTGGGTGTGGTTGTACTACTGCCCATAGTCACGTTCTATGTTACAGCGATTGTCGTAACGAAACGGCGTGAAGCAAACCACGAACTGCTGAACGAGCTGGGTAAGTAAGCTTACAATAAAATTTATGCCAAAGCTAAATAATGTTTTTGCAGAACCCGAATTGGATGCCCCATCCACATCGGCTCTTATTACCGCCGCTGTTTTGTCTACAAGAACTGAACCTTCCAATGAAATCTCCGCAAGAAATGAGAAAATAGCCGAAGTGTTGCACCAACCCGCAGATCATGATTCAGACTCGGATGAGGCGCGTTTGAAACCAAAAGTAGCAAGAAGAAGTCATCCTGATTCCGAAACAGATGCTTCAAGCGATGATGAGCCACACTCAAGGGCGAAACATCTAAATGCCCAGAGGTCTGATTACTCCAGTGATGACGAGCCTATTGTGAAACCAAAGAGGGCGTAATAGGAACATACCCGAAGGTACTATATACTTCTCACACAATAATTTATGGAGATATTTAAGTCTCTAAATGCCAGACGAGTACTTGGTCACATCTATGGCTGGTACCAAAAAAAATATTATATTTTTCTATAACTAATATTTACATATATATGCCATGTGCCCATGCGTGATATCATATTAAAGATTAATGTATTTATAATTTTCCCAAGTATTTGGAAATTAATGTTCAGCATTGAATCAAAGTTGGATTTTTATATGCACTTTATTAATGGCAAGTAAATCTGCACTTAGTTCTAAATTTAACGCAAGAGAAGATCAGGGTCAGCATGGAAAGGGCCCTTCCACCGAATTTGGGTTCTAGCTTAGGCTCTATCTAAAATCAATTAGAAATAACATAACAAATAGCAATTAATTAACAATGAAAATGCATTGGTCGTATTCGTTGGCCGTTAGAGCTCGGAGGCAACCCAGATTCCATTCTATCCGTATGGAGCATAGAGATTGCCATGGGTGGATGTGGTTTGGTAGTGAACCAGACTCCCGTGAGTGTGCTGGGCCGGTTGGTAGTAGGCCTGATGGTACAGCGAGGGCGGCGCCGGTTCATTCACCTGGATCTGGTGGTAGTTGGTGATTGGTTCATGCTCAACCACCTCTCGCACGGTTTGGAATGGATGATTCACTACGATGCGTCGTTTGTGGAAGGTTTCACTGGTGGCCGCCGCGTCTGTGGGAGCAGCAGTGGCAGCAATAACTCGCTCGTTGGGCTTCAAGTGACCGGCTGCTCCGTTAAGGGCCACATCTACATCAGGCTGCGCCTGGGACTGCGTGGGAGTGGGCTGGGTGGCGGTCACTTCGGATTTCGGTACCTCAACCAGACGCTGAGATTTCTCCAAACGCTGCTGACCCTTGTCGCAATCTGGGACTGCGGTGGTGGCCACCATTAGAGGCTTTTCCGGTTCGCTGCCTATTTGGATTTGGATGTGTGTGTTCTGGGACTCCTTCTCCTTCTTGACCTCCTCTTTTGGGGCTTCCACCAATCTGGAAGATTGGTTCTCTGGGCTGAAGCGCATTTGGGAATAGGGAGCGCTGTACTCCAAGTCCTCGGCCAAAGGACTCCTCGATCGCGACGACTGAGAGTAGAAGGCCCTGTTGGCAGGTACCTTGGCATACACAACTGTGGGTCCTTCGTGGTTCCTAAGATACGGTTTTATTTCGCTCACCTGAGCGGGTACCTCCTGGATTCTTCTTTCTTTCAGAGGAGTCTGACGGTTGCGTCCCAGGTAAATGTTGTGCTGCGACGGGGGCAGATGGATCTTGTGCTCGTGCTTAATGATTTGAGTGGCTCGTTCCTCCTTCTCGGCCAGTTCCAGACGCGCTGGCTTGGCATCCACACTGCCGGCATTCACATTAGGCAGGTACTCCCCGGAGAAGTAGTCATCGTCCTCGTTGTATGGCTGGCGATTAAAATTGTTCCTCTGTTGATAGACCCTCTGGCCACCCTGTCTGGGGTAATCCTGTTCCGGCTCCGCTCGCTGGATCATGTTGGGGGTCAGGTGCTTGGCGTTGATTTTGATGGAGTTTCCATTTCCATCCACTGCCGAAACCGAGGAGGTGGAGGATGAGGAGGAGCTGCTCGGGCGACCGTCAGTGACATCGCCCCCAGGCTTCTGCTGCTGCAGTCGGGCCTCTACGAAGTCATCCTTGGGCGCCTGGTCGTAGGAAGGCATGGTGGTCACGCTGGATCCAATAGTAGTTGCCTGCTGGTCCTTGACAGCTGGTGGAGCCTCATAGGAGGGCCTGTACTCCGGGACATTGTTGTTGTAACTCTGGGTCTGGATCTGACCATTGTTGTTGCTATAGGCAGAAGCCACCGCCGGATGGGGATGTCCTAGGGGCAGCAGAGTCTCACCCTTGGGAATCTTGGCAACAGGGTGCTCCAGCTCCACCACCAGGGTACCGGCTGGCTTGATTACCACCCGCTCTTCGATGTCGTAGAACTCCTTCTGGATGGCCGGATGACGGACTTCGTACTTCTTGGCCTTCAGAGCAGGCTGAACAATCTGGATCGTTTTGGTGACCAGCGGGCGCTGCGGAGGAGTGTAACTCCTCGGGGGAGCCGGCGGCAAGTAGCCAGAACCTCCTTGGTAGCCCGACTGCTCGCCATAGTCCTCGTATCCCTGGTCATCACTGACCTCTGGGGGATACTGATCCTGATAGTCCACCTCCTGAGCGTCTTCGTAGTTGTAGCCACTGGGATCATAGCTAGGACGATTGTAACTGGTGGCAGGATTAAACAGAGATGAGGTATCGTAGCCCGAAGCCGGCTCAGAGGGCTGGGAGGTGGGTGCTGGAACCGGGGAACTAGGAGCTGCCGACGAGGAGGAGGAGGATGAGGATGAGGCACTGGAACTCACGGGCGGGGCAATACTAGCCGTTTGAACGGGAGCTGGCTGAGGCTCGTAAATGGGCTTACTGTCCTGGACCACCTCCACATTGGCACCAGCCTGAACCTTGGCAGGAACGGGAGCAGCCACCTGGCGCTCAAACATGCGGAGCTGCTGGGAGCGGCTGCCTCCGATGGAAACCACCTTTTGCGGAGCAGAATCATCCACCGAGGAGGTCACACCAGAACTGGACTGGGTGTAGCGCTGAGGAGCAGGATTGGAGGATTCGTAGACCTGAAATCACAAAGTACAGAAGCAATATTTAGAAATTCAAGTGTCCTGTGCTGATTCTACTCTACTGACCGTCTCAACAGTCGGTCCATGGCTGTGATAGGATTGGATGTAGCGCTCGAACTCCTGGTTCTGGCGGAGCTGCTGGTTCCTTTGCCGGAACTGGCCACTGTGAGGACTGGGCGGCTGCTGAACGATGGAGGGACGTCTTCCATGGCCACGGCGACGGGGCAGGCGTCCGTTCTTGGTGACTGGGGGCTGGAGAACCCCTTGATTTGGAGGCTGGAGGCCCAATCCTTGGCGGGGAGTCAGTTGCTGCTGCGGTTGCTGTTGTTGCTGCTGCGTTTGCACCACCTGTTGCTGCTGATGTTGCTGCTGTTGCTGGGGTTGCAATTGCTGCTGCAGCTGGAGCTGTGGTCGCTCCTGAATGCGTTGGAATGACTGCTCCCCATCCCTTTCAGGACCAGCTCTCAGTTCCGCCGGCGCCCGACCCTCTACATATTTGACATCCGCCGGATTAGTGGCCGGTTGCTGGGCAATCGAGATGTTCACATGGGTGGCTGCTTCAATTCGCCTGCAGGCCACCAAAAGGAGCACCAGCAGCACTCCTCGCTCCATGATCCAAGTCCTTATCCTTGTCAAAATTCACTCCACTAATCGTATCGCTGCTGACCAACGCCAACTCAAAACACTGTCTGATCGATCGATGGAGTGTGCTCCGCATATTTATACAGATTTTGGATTTCGGGTGGAATTGGGGGAGCGATCGCAATCGCGATCAGTGTCAAAGTCAAGCGACAAAAGCTAGAGAAGCTAGCCCCCCGATAGCTACTCCGTTGACCTGGACAAACTGTTTAGGGATGAGTCTCAGATGCTTGGCCCAGTTCTACAATTAAAGGCATTCCGACCGGCCGATATTGCGATTGCAGTTGATCGATGATGCATTCAACAAATTGCTGTCAAAGCTTCACACTTGTGTGGCACGTTCCAGCACTGAGAAAAAAAAAATATCCAATAAAGAAATCTTTATAAAAAAGGCTCTCAATTTTTATAGATTTAAAACTTGTAGTTAAGATTTATCTGATTTATTAGATTTTAAAAATGAAAGCCTAGTATCATAAATATTTGTATAATAATCTATTCTCGACTAGTGCCAAGGTCTATGTGTTTTTAATTTAATTTTAAAGAAACCTGTAACACAGTAGTTTTACTAAAAATTTTATGATACTATATTATATAATCTTAAAACCTTTTTAAGAATATCAGGACATATCTTCGATATATTCAAGACATAAACTTCTAAAGACTTTTAAGCTTAACCTTTAAAGCTGAGACTCTTTAGTTTTCTAAGAGTCCTTAGATTCCTGGTTAAAACTTGATCTTTGTATTAAAGATCATTAACTAAATTTTCCATAAACATGTTTCTTTAACTCAAAACTTCAAATAAGCATTATCCTTATAAATTTTTCCAACTGATCTATCGTCTGAACTCCGAATTTCGATGCATCCGTAATTGGGCAGTACTGCATTTTAATGTAATTGTCGGAAGGTCGAAGTCGGAGCTTCGCTGGCAACTAGTTTGAACTTGAAATCTGATCCGAGACGTTGAACTGCCGCTGGAGAGGATCGGAGATCGGTGTACATATACTACATAGGTTTAAGCCATGGAAATTGGACGGATTTTTTTGGGGGTGCTGCTCAGGCAAATTTGCGCAACCGAAATCCAAATTTTGGCGAACATTTTGCAAATGCGAGCATTCGAATTCGGAAAGAAGGTAAAGGTTAATGTGAAGTTTTTCGGTTTTCTGTATTTTTTTTTTAAGTTTATAAATCCAAAGCCAAATGTGGGCGAGCATACCAAGTGAGTGTAAAAAATGGAGAAAGGTGCGATCCTATTGTTTTGGAAATGCACTGAAAACTAAGGACAACCTGAATATGGTAACAAAAACTGAACATATATGGTAGAGAAAAATATTTTTTGTCTAATACTATCATTAGCTTTTAATAATAATTAGCACTAATGGTTTCAATTTATTCAGATATTGTTTTTGAAACAAGTTTAATTTTTGTATCCCCCTCTCACTATCAAGATAGCCCAGAAAAATACTCCAACAATACAAACTCAAATCCTAAACAACAAAACAAGCTCCAAACACCCAACTTGAAGCCAAGACCTTGTAGACTTGTTACGACTGATCCAGCCCTGGCGCTGACTCTCTAGGACCAAATGGATGCAGCCCGATCGCAGACCAAAAAAGAATATAACGGGGGGGATACCCAGCGACGACGCTTGTATGTTGCGTCGGTAAGTGTACTCTGGGACAGATTGTGCCCTGAATCATTAAGTAAGACAGTGAGGCAAGTGTGGTAACCACAATTCGCGTTTATTATGTTTGTGAGTGGGAATCAAAAACCAGTAAAAAGAGTAGACAATATATAGGTATATATATATATGCAGACATTTGGTGCATATGGCCAGCCACAAGACAACTACCATCCGTGGCCGAGCAATTACAAGCTAATGCTACGCGATAAACACAGTCCAAGGCATGAGACAGCCAACAGCTACAGCTAAACGGATTATCAGCTCGTCGAGATCTACAGGAGCTTCTCGATGTCCTTGGCTATGTCCATGGGATCGGTGGTGGGGGCATAACGGTTGACGGGAATGCCCTCCTTGTTGACCAGGAACTTGGTAAAGTTCCACTTGATACCGCTGCCCAGAGTGCCTGTCTGCTTGGCCTTCAGATACTTGTAGAGTGGGGCGGCATTATCGCCATTCACGTCCACCTGGCCGATTAGAAAGTCATCGTTTTAATCATAAATCTGGAATTCTTTCTGGATGAGTAAACAATGTTTACCTTTGCGAAAACCTCCCCAATATCGGCCTTTGAGTCGCGCAGGTGACAGACCATGGCCTCGCCATCAGCCTCCGGCATCTGGGAACCAAACTGGTTGCAGGGGAAGTTTAGAATAACCAGGCCCTGTTCACCGTACTTCTCCTTCAGATCGGTCAGCTTCTGGTAGTTGTTCTTGGTCAGGCCACACTTGGAGGCGATGTTCACTACCAGAACCACCTTGCCCTTGTATTTGTCCAGGGAGACATCGTTTCCATGAGTGTCCTTTACGGTGAACTCGTAGATGGAGGCGGCGTTCTTGTAATCTCCGTTAGACATGTCGAACTGAAAGGAAGGAGACATATGAGTTTGGGAAGGGACTCTTGATTGCTTAAAGCAGGATATATCACAAAAAAAAAACAAAGGATAGACAGGCAAAAGGCAACAACTTTTAGTTCGGCATAAAGATTAGGCAACTGAGTTAGTCAACGATTAAGAAAACATCTAATAGAACTACTGGCGCGACTCACGGCAGCTGCTGTGGAGTACTGGGCTGCCGAGCAGGGGGATGTGGGTGTGGATGCTGTAACGGCATTGGCCGCACAACTGACTGGCAACAGAACGGAGCAAAAGCGAAGGGGCAGGCGCTGTAATTGCCCCTGGCCCAGGTCCACTAGAGAACGCCTTGAGTAGCACCGGAAGGCCTGTCGGGAAATGGTCTGAAATTGCCTGATACTCATGGTTCAAAAGCTGCAAATAACCAGTGATATTATTGATTAATTTAGAAAGTGTTACTAAGATCTCTGGTGTTTAAATTTAGACAGTCAAAATAATTGAGAAATTCGAAAACAAATTGGAGGGAAATGGAAGGATATCCTAATTCGTTGATAGATAGGTTAGTTGGTTAAAAAGTGTCCAAGATTTAGAGAATGGTTCATAAATAGCATTGGTTAGGAGGTTGTATGTCCTATTTCTAGAACCTTGATACACTCTTGACCTTGGGTTAGTCATCAAAAATCTGGATGCATATATAATGGAGGGGTCAAAGTCAAACTATTAGTCGGATGAGTCACCCTTCTTGTCCTGCCACACAAAGGTCATTATTAGTGCCCTGTCGTGATTGGCCCACGCAAGTAGCGTTCTTCATTAAACATGCAAGCAGAATTGGATTGTTTCGATTAGTATTATTCTGTAGGTTATTGTGGGTAATTACTTGCATGGTGAAGTAGATGTACGAGCCCAGGGCAATAGCTACGGACCCAAACAGAAAATGCAGGATGGAACGACCGGACATGGCTACTATATCTTCGATTTCACCACCGATTGAAGGAATGCACATATAGGACTGGCTATGTTGCGGCAGATTTTCTGCAACTCACGCTGATGTGCGATTGATATGTACAGGAAACCGGGGCAAAGTACAAAAGGCTGTGGGACAGATTGTTTTCGCTTTTCTCTTATTCTGACAGCTGGTCGAAAAGGAGCTAAAATTATAGCTTCATGATAGGCTTTATCACCGAAAAAAACACTTGTAGGCTAGGTGTCTGGATCGGTTATTGTTTTGGCTTACTTATGTGTCGTAATGCTGAGAGAGAGTAAATAACTATGACCGGCGCTTGGAGGGCTCTTTTATTTATATGTGTCTGTACATATATTTGTATATATATTTATGTACGGCCCCATCAGGTCTGGCCATGCCCCACAAGTTCAGAGTTGCCAGATAGTCGCCCGGAGAAAACCGATAATTTCAGCTTTATTCCACCCACGCACTATACGGTCACACTGCAAAATTTTCTTCTTTCCATTGTGCGTGTGCTTGTGTTTTTGTTATTAGCAATTGTAGATTTGCAATCAAAATTATAAAGTGGAAATGCTGGCTAGTCATCAGCGGGAAATGCCTGCGTGCTAGACACAGAGTGAGACTCAGAGACGGGAGTGCAGCGAGCAGACACGCCCAGCCAGGCGCACTGCCCCCAGCCGCAGGATACACATACACACACCAATACAACAAACGAGCACCCTATATAGCGTTCGAACTATCTCCTTTGGCAGAGTAACCGCCTCCAGATGATGCTCTCATCGATAAACAACTCGTTCGAGCAGGACACTCACGATGCGGACGCCAACTGCGATGGCCCCGATCTGGACTTCATGTACGCGGATGTGGACGGCTACCAGAACGAGATCGCAGAGCTCTACAGCTACACGGAGTTCGTCGAGTTCCAAATGAACGTGAAAGCCTTTGAGGATCAGATGGAGCTGTACGACCTACCGCCCAACTGGCAGAAACAGGACGCCGCGTCCCAGAGGGGCATCATTATGAAGCTGGTGGACCAACTTGAGGTCTCCGATCGCAGATTTCGGATGCAGGCGGCCAGGTGTATCCTGTATTTGGCCCAGGGCTGCTGGGCGGAAGTGCAATCGGACGAGGAGCAGCACCAGATCACCAGAGACAATGTGCTGGTGCTCCACCAGCTGGGCGTCTTCGCCTCATTCATAGATCTGCTTAACATGGAGATAGAGAGCGCCTGCTCGCCGGACATAGTAGCGATTAAGATCACCAATGTCACTCTGGTCGACTCCACGGACATTCGGGTAATCCTGTCCGTTCTCTACATCATCACGGAAACGATACGCGACGAACGGGATCGCGGCAGTGAAGACTACAAGGAGCTGGCCGAGTCGTTTGTTCAGGAGATCAATGCACCGCTGCCCGATGGTGAACTGCTAGCCGTCAAGCTGCTGGGGATGATTACGCGATTCTGTAGCGGAGCCGCGCCTCAGTTTCCAATGAAGAAAGTGGTCCTGCTGCTGTGGAAGGTTTCCCTACTGGGCTTGGGCGGCATGGATGTGCTCAAGAATCTCAAGAACGAGTACCGGCTTAAGGTTGGCCTGGAGCCGATCACCGAGGACACGCTGGAGGTAACCAAGTGCATGCGGGCCAGCTCGCCACCAGCCACAGCCACCGATATACTGGAGAACCAGTATCCAAGAAAGAACTTCAAGTGAGTTTTCGCGCCTTTTTAGTTGGAATAATATCTTAACCTTAGATTCTTGCATTTTTCAGGCGCTCCTTGATGAAACAGCGATTCCTTGACGAACCCGAACAAATCGACATGGAGATCACTGGAAACGAGGGCCAGGCGAACGCCAATAATGGCGCTGGTAACGGGGGAAATGGCAGCAATGGAGAGGAGGAGCTCTCGCAATACTACCGCCCCTACGACGATCCCTCTTCATCTGCCAACTCCACCACTTCAACGGCCAATCCGAACAACCAACCGAGCTTGACCCAACCACCCGCCGCTGTGCCGCCAGTACAGATAACAGCTCGACTTCCCTGGACGCCCAAGGTCCGGCAAAAGGATATCGACCAGTTTCTGGACATATCGCGGAACAAGTTCATTGGTTATTCCTTAATCGGTGATCACGAAAGCCTGGCTGGATTGCCGCAGCCCATACACGAGGGCTTCAAGACCCTTCAGCGGCACATGTACTTGAGCCTGGCGGATGTGCAGATTAAGAAGGAGGAGGACATCGCCAGAAACCCCATCTCGACGCACGAGGACGAGATCAAGCTAACCCCCGCAGAGGTGCTTTACCAGGCCATTCTGCCAAACCTCCCGCAGTATATGATTGCGCTGCTCAAAGTCCTCCTGGCGGCCTCGCCCACATCCAAATCGAAAACGGAGAGTATCAACATAATGGCTGATGTGCTGCCCAAAAAGATGCCCCTGACGGCTACGCAATCCACAAAGCTGACAGTCGACATGGGCCGGCACAAGGAGATCATTGTTAAGGCAGTGTCTGCCATCATCCTTCTGTATCTGAAGCACTTTAAGATCAACCATGTCTACCAGTTCGAGTTCATGTCCCAGCACTTGGTCTTTGCCAATTGCATTCCCCTGGTGCTGAAATTCTTCAACCAGACAATCACCGAGTATGTCAACACAAAGAACTCCATACCGCTGCTCGACTTCCCTTCGTGCGTGATCGGTGAGCAGCCGGATCTGAGTGGCGATAGCTTTGTGTATGGCGGCGAGATGTCCGACAAGCCGTACTCCTGGCGGAACGTGTTCTCCTGCATCAACCTGTTGCGGATATTGAACAAGCTGATCAAGTGGAAGCACTCGCGAGTCATGATGCTGGTGGTGTTCAAGTCGGCGCCGATTCTCAAGAAAACTCTGAAAGTGAGGCATGCAATGATGCAACTGTATGTTCTGAAACTGCTCAAGATGCAGACCAAGTACTTGGGTCGGCAGTGGCGGAAGTCCAACATGAAGACCATGAGCGCCATTTACTCCAAGGTAAGAGCTTCCTAAGATTTGGTTTCCCCACATTTAATCATCTTGTGTTTCTTCAAAGGTTCGTCATCGTCTCAATGACGACTGGGCATTTGGCAACGATCTGGAGTCGCGTCCTTGGGACTTCCAAGCCGAGGAGTGCACGCTGCGGGCATGCGTGGATCGCTTTAATCTACGACGCTATCCGGAGGCGACGCAAAAATGTGGCAATAATGGTACGGCGGCCCAAAATGCCGAAAACGCCCAGCAGTCGAACATGATGGCCGGGAATAATGGATGCGGCAATAATGGATCCGATGCGAACGGCTACGGGAACAATGGTAGTGGCAATGGCGGCAACAATCAGCACCAGCAACAGCAGCAGCTGAACGACTATGGCGTGGAGGGCGGTTTCCCCAGCGACGAGATCCTCACCCACTCGGACTTTGCCTTCTTCGGCCACTCGGGGTGGTGGGATCGCAAGGTCGAGCTGACAGACTACTTCAAGGCCAACTATGCGGTGTGGCTGGAGGAGGAGGTCTACAACAGTCAGACCGACTGGGATGCCCTCTAGGCTACTGGCTACTCAGGTAAGTGTTTGGATATCAGTACTTTATAATCCTGATCTTAAGAATGTCTATTTTTTTTGTAGCAGAAGCTGGATCAATATAAGCATCATATAAGCAAAAAGTTATTACCATAATTGTAAGCATAAAGAAGTACATTGATATAATCCATGTAGCCGACCACGATTGGAACACCAACCAACCCATCAAACTACTCACTGAATTGGCAATAAATTGGCACGCCACGGGCCTCCGCTCCGCCCCGCCCTGCCCCACCCTTCTTCACTAACTCTAGCATACGGAATGATATACGAGTATACCCCGATAGCGATGACAAGCCTGTATATTTAATGATTTGTATTTTTAATTTATATATATATTTATTATTTGTCCTGTTCCACGAGCCCTTGAAAACGGATCGCGGCAGTCGGCTTCTGTAGCGGAATAAACAAATTAACTAGTTTGAAAACGATCATGCCCAGCTATGATGCATTGCCTTTCCATTTTGCGGTTAAATAATTATTTATTTGTTTTCGTGTCGTGTGTGTGTTTTGTTTCGCACAAGAAAAAAAAAACATAAGAGTTCTAATAGGTCCTTAGTCTTAGTGATAGTTTTAAATTTCGGTAAATATACACTACGGTATTTACAAGGTGCATATATATATAAATATCCATTATATTCCATTCCGTAAAAAAAAAAACACCCAACACCATATAGAATGTCGGACTTTTTTGCGAATTTCGTAATGACGTAATGGTTTAAAAACAATACAAGTTAATAGTTAGCACAGCTAAATACGAATTCCTGAACCGGGTTTCTTCATTTCACAATCTGGTTACAACAGCATTCTCCACAAGAGAGACCATGTCACCCATAATAACTACTATCTTAAGACGAAATAAAGTCTAACTAATGAAAATTGTACAATCTACAAGTATGTATTTAGCCTAGGGTGGGTCGATTTTTGGATAACAAATGTAAGGAATACTTTATAGGGTTCTAAGCCACAAATCGAACCACCCATGGCTTCACTTAAGACTACTCCTTAATGTAAAATGCCAACTTTGAGGCAACCTTATCCTAACAATTCCCAACCGTTTTGGAATCCATGATTATTATACATACAATATTTCAATTGTACAAAAGAGGAAATCTTACTGCTCCATCGGGCAGATCGTGGGCATGATGTTGTTATTGGTGGGGCCAACGTAGAGCATTCCGAAGCGTTTCTGTTGCGGCGGGCAGGCGGCGGGGGCTGCTGCCGGGACGTCGCAACGCTCCTCGAAGTAGTGGACTATGCGCTGCAGGACAAACTTGAAGATCTTGTCCTTGGCTATCTCACCGTTGAGGAACGTGATGTCCTTGCAGTCTCGGTACTCGCGGAAGTTCTTCTCGTAGTGCGGCCACACGCACAGCTCAAAGTATCCAGTGACGTCCGGCGGGTCGTAGGTCCGCTTGCTGCGCCGCTCGAAGCACTTCTCGTAGGGCAGATGGAAGTGGTACTTGAGGTTGCACAGCGCCAGCAGCTCCGGCTGGTTGAATATCATGAAACCCTCGACCAGGAGGAAGTTGATCTTCTTGTCCCGCAGCTGGGCGGCTATCTGGGCGTTGATGCGCATGAGATGCTGCTGTTGCTGCAACTGCTGCTGGTGGAGCTGCTGGGAATGGTGGTTGTGGTGGTGGTGGCGCTGTTGCTGGTGCTGGGGTGGATAGTGGTAGGGGCCTACGGCTGGATTACCTTGTTTGTAGTAGTTGGGTAGTGGTAGAGTGGAGTGGTACTGCTGCTGGAACTGGTGGGCGTAGTGCTCGAAGACCGCTGCAGTCACCAGCTGCTCGGGTGGCTCCGGTGCCAACTGTCTGCCCTTGATGATGTGCCCAATGTCATTCAGCATCTTGGGCATGTCCAGCGAGGTGATCAGCTCAAAGTTGATCGCGTTCAGAGCTTCGTTTCGCTGATGCCGCTTATCATCCACGGGCAGGAAGTAATCATCCTGCGACAGTAGCTGCACTTCTCCAATGGTGTAGGGCGAGTTCCATAGTGGAGCTCCGCTGAGTCCCTTGAAGTAGTCGTGCAGGCTGTGGGCCAGCGTTGTCTTGCCGCCACAGGTGACGCCCGAGATTCCAATGACCAGCCACTGCGGCATCTTGTTGGCGAATGGTTCGATGATTCCCTATCGATGCTCTTCCCTGTTTTCCAGCAAAATCGTGTGTCGGTGCGATAACCTCTGTCTTTAATCGCGCTTCACCTTCAGGCTCCAGATGTGGTAGAAGGAGAACGCGGCGATGCCGCCGAGGAAAATCACCCCAAATACAGTGGGCACTATGAAAGCGTACTTCAGCGGCGGGAAAAACAACCGGATGGGATTCGCTGTGAATACCGGAAGTCATAGTTATAGTAATTTTGGATTTCAATGGCGATAACATATATTTTCTAACAAAAAAAATATGAGTTATACTGTGATTAAAAAAAATTAAATACAGTACAGTTTTTGAGTTAAAATTAAGCTTTAAGGTTTATTAGAAAAAAACATTTAAGAGAGTAATGTTTTTAGACACTTAACACCTTTAAATGTACTTGTTAACACATAACCAATAACCACTGTAGTTACAGTTAGTCTGTGACCTTGAACTGAGCTCAGAATTAGGAGCGGCATTCCAGGTAGTAACCCCCTTCCGGCATGCCGCCTCTGGGCGATCGTTTTCCACCTACACAGTTAGCAGATCATAACGTGAGCAATTTAATCTGCGGCGTCACTCTAATTACCGCACAAAAGGCCGCCAGATTATTCAATAAAAACTTCTGTGACCCTCCTTCCCTTTTGGGACTCATAAACTCACCTTCATCGATCAGCATAAACGGAAGAACTGCCACCCAAAAGAAGTAGTATGAAAACGCGAAAATTGCGGCGGACAAGATGATCTTTCCAAGCTGAGCATTCGAAGCCATAAATAGAGAATTCCTGAGAATTTTAGCACAGGTCTCTGATGCAAGGTAAGAAAATTCTACCCGGCGGTTAATTCAGGGGAAGACTGCTCCTAAGCCGTGTTCCGTGGCCAGCTGCTCTCCAATCCTCAATGCAATCTGGACACGTGCGTTTCGCCAGTGAATATATATCCGTGATTGGTTGGCCTTTTAATTGTAAACAAAACAAACAAGTGCTCCACTACAAAAATCTTAGGTTGTGATTAATCAGTATGGCCAGATTTTGATTTGGATTTTCCCCTAAATCAGTCGATTAAGCATTAAAAATAGGATAAAAAATACAGATTTTCCCCCAAAATTTGAAAATGGGCGGCAGAAACGATAAGCTTCAACATAAGCCATTGAAACTTTTCTTGTTAAACGGTCTCCAGTCCTTGGAACTCAAATGGTTTTAAAAATCAGAATCTTAACAGTTTGTTTTTGTTTTTAGGGACCCGGAGTCAAGATTAAGCAGATCCGTTCAATCTTGGTTCCTAATCTTTAGCATTTCCTTTTTTTAGCAGTTTTATATATAAATTATATGACTATATTCTTTGCGATGGTCAATATATTTTTTTAAATTTAATTTAAAAAAAATTCTACTTATGAGAACCAACAAGTTCTTGGTGGACTTAACAACACTGTTATGTGATATTTTACATTCTACATGTGTAAAATGTAAAATGACATACATTTTCGAAGTTCCTCCAGATGGTCACACGAATTGCGAAATTGCCGCGTGCGGGGTTTGTTTACAAATACAATTGGACCTACTGGTGAAATTCCAGTTAAAATTCCATTGACAGTTGGAAGGAACATACCACACCGGTAGAAAACAGGATGCCCGTCGTTGAGGGCAGCGATCTGGTCCAGCTGCAGCGTCGCCAGCAGCAGGTGAGGAACATCTGCATTCTGGCCCATGTGGATCATGGCAAGACCACTCTGGCGGATTCGCTGGTGGCCAGCAACGGCATCATATCCCAGCGGATGGCTGGTAAACTCCGGTACCTGGACAACAGGCAGGACGAACAGGAGCGAGGAATCACCATGAAGAGCAGCAGCATATCCCTATACTATCAGGAGACTCAACAAGTTGATGGGGAGCCGGACTTCCTCATAAACCTGATTGATTCCCCCGGGCATGTGGACTTCTCAAGCGAGGTCTCGACGGCAGTGAGGTTATGCGATGGTGCCATTGTCGTGGTGGATGTTGTAGAGGGCGTGGGTCCCCAGACACGTGCCTGTCTAAAGCAGATCTACGAGGAGCAACTGAAGCCGGTCCTGGTTCTGAATAAACTGGATCGTTTGATACTGGAGAAGCAGTTGGATCCCCTGGATGCCTACTTCCACTTAATGCAGATCCTGGAGCAAGTCAACGCCGTCTTGGGAAGCATTTTCGCCTCGGATGTTCTAGCCCGCGAGGACATAACCAAGAAGGACAACTACGAGTCGGCCCTGGAGGAAGTAGATGACTCGGAGCTGTACTTCACGCCTGCCTCCGGAAACGTTGTGTTCTGCTCCGCCTACGACGGATGGGCTTTCTCCGTAAAGGACTTTGCTGCCATGTACGCGAAGAGATTGGAAATAAAGAGCCAGGATTTGGAGCAAGTGCTGTGGGGTGACTTCTACTATAACTCTAAGAAAAAAGAAGCCCTTCCGGGCGCTCAGGAAAAGGCGAAGAAGCCCATGTTTGTTCAGTTTGTTTTGGAGAATATATGGAGTTTGTACGATATTATAGCCATCCGGAAGGATAAGGATAAGCTGCCGGGCATAGCTGAGAAACTGGGCCTGAAACTGGCTGCTCGGGATCTGCGGCTCACTGATCCCAAGCTTCAGATCAAGGCTGTTCTCGGGCAGTGGCTGCCTATTGATAAATGTGTACTGCACATGGTCGTGCAACATGTTCCGCCGCCGCACAAAATCAGCGAGGAGCGAGCTCAGAGATTACTATATCCGGCCAACGTGGAGCTGAGCTCACTGCCTGAGGAGACTCTGAAACTGAAGGAGAGTTTCACCAGCTGCGATTCCAGTAGCTCCAATGTCATCGCCTTCGTGTCCAAGATGACGCCCGTCCATGTCAGCCAGCTGCCGCAAAATCGTCCCAAAAGACTAACCGACCAGGAACTGCAGCACCGCCGCGATGAAGTGCGTCGACGGATAGAAGAGCGCAAGCAGCAGACCGAGCAATCGGAGCTGGAGAAGATTAGCCAGGGCGTGGAGAAGCTCAGTACGCAGGTGGAGGAAGAGAAGAAGGCTGAGGAAACTAAACCGGACGGAGAGCCAAACGAATACGTCTTCATAGCCTTCGCCAGGGTGTTCAGTGGCACCTTGAAACGCGGCATGGAGCTGTTTAACTTGTCGCCCAAGCACGATCCCCGCCAGCCAGCGCATCGCAAGGAGGGCGAAGCCCCCTACGCCAGCAGGGTTACCATCGGGGATCTGTACATGTTCATGGGTGGGGAACTGCAACTCTTGGATGAGGTTCCTGCCGGAAACATAGTTGGAATTGGTGGCCTCGAGAGTCACATCGTCAAAACAGCCACTCTTAGCAGCAGCTTGGATTGCACATCCTTCAGTGAACTGAGCATCATGGCCACTCCCATTCTCCGGGTGGCCATTGAGCCGGTGCAGCCGCAGGACATGCCCAAGCTGGTCAAGGGCTTGAAGCTGCTCAACCAGGCGGATGCCTGCGTTCAAGTATCGGTGGCCCCAACGGGCGAGCATGTGATCACCACCTTGGGCGAGGTGCACGTGGAAAAGTGTGTCCACGATCTCGAGCAGAGCTATGCAAAGATTAAGGTGAATGTCTCCAAGCCGATTGTGTCCTTTAGGGAAACCATTGTGCCAGCTGCCACGGTGGATATGGTGAACGAAGCTATTGTGAAGACGGCGGAGGACAAGGATATCAGCAAGAAGATTGCCACCCACCAGACGCTCAACAAACTGGGAACTCTGAAGGTGATAGCTGTGCCTCTGCCCGCGGAGGCTGTGGAGCTGTTGGAGAAGCATGGAGAGTTCTTCAAGGTGGGATAACTAACACATATATCCTTTTGGTAAATAATGTATCATTTTCCATCAGGAACTGGCTGCTCTTCCGCGCAATCAAGTGCTCTCTGAGAAGTGGACCACTCTGCTGGCGTCCATTAAACTGAAACTAGTAGCTGCTCTCCAGGACCTCCAGTTGTTTGGATTGAGCTCGCTCTCCCCAGAGGAGCTGGTCAGCCGGGTGTGGGCCTTGGGCCCCAGGAACTGTGGCACCAACATCCTTCTCAATCTCAGCGATTACGAACAACCCGACTTCTGGTCAGGTCCTAGCAAGTCCTCAGACACGGATATACGCTCCGCCACCGATCCGAGGAAGGATTTCAATAGCTCGCTGGTGAATGGCTTTCAGCTGACCTCCGGAGCGGGTCCTTTGTGCGAGGAGCCCATGCAGGGTGTTTGTTTTGCAATGCTCGAGTGGTCCATCCAGCCAGATAGCGAGGACTTGAATGCAAGAGGTCCTTTTTCGGGTAAGAAGCTTTGTTTTTTTTTGGAAAATATTTTAAATAATTTGTATAATTTTAGGACAAGTACTGACTGCCGCCAAGGAGGTGTGTCGACAGGCTTTCCAAAACCAGCCCCAACGCCTGGTCACTCCCATGTATAGTTGCAGCATAGTCGTGAATGCGGAAATGTTAGGTGAGTGTCCCCACTTCCGGTATTGAAATATTTTTTAAAATAGTATTTTATTTAACTACTAGTAAATGCAGCTTAGGTCTAAACATAAATAAGCTTCTAAATTTAGGTTTTTTTTTTTTTTAATAATTTGGGAGTGTGTTTCATTCTATCTTCTTGTCTTTTTGTTTTAATTTCTTTAAATTATTTAATGTTCCTTTTAAAACAGATTCCAGTTTTGCACCTAAACTATTCGATAATTGTTTAAATATTATTTTAAAAAGTTGAGGCCTTGTTTACGCTTAAATGCAAAACAAATTAATTAAACAATTAGTGCGATGGTGCCCGGGCACGTGTAATTGTTTAATTAATTCGTAAATTGTTTTTGTAAATAAATACATGTATGTTTAAATATATAAATTAAGGGGGGAGTGTGGTTGGTGGATGGTCGTGTGATATGCTGCTACAAATGCCAAGGAAAATGCCTAAAAACTTCTTTAAATTAAAAGAAAAGCTTAGCTCCTAATTACGTTACGTTACGCTACGCTAGACGTTGCGTTACGTGACGTGAACTTCTCTTGAAGACCACCTCTGGAAGACCTCCTCTTGAAGACCTTCTCTAGAAGACCTCCTCTGGAAGAACTCCCCTTGGAGACCTCCTCTGGAAGAACTCCTCTAGAAGACCTCCTTCTGAAGACCTCCTCTGGAAGACCTCCTCCGGAAGACCTCCTCTAAAAGACCTCCTCCTGAAGACCTCCTCTGGAAGACCTCCTCTCCAGAAGCCATTTTCCGTATTTTTCATCCAAACTTCTTCAGTCACAGTTTTTGTTTTTCTTTCTTTTTTTTTTTTGCACTTTTCGGCCCGAGTTGTCTTTGAAAATCGCCAAGTGCCTTTCAAATTGTATCTACTAGGATGGTTTTTTTTTGTTTTTAATTTTTTAGTATTTAGGGCTCTTTTTTCCATAACTTAGTCCCAAATGATAGTCTTCTGGAACTCAAGGACACGATCCCAGGGGAATTCCGGCTCGTAGTCGTCTGTTTCTAGGAGGGATCGCTTGGCACGGCTCTCGGGCGCCGCCTCCTCCGCAATAGTGGTGAGCTCCGCTGCTGCCGGTGAGTTACCCGCCGCCGCCGGATCCGCTTCTTGTTCCGCCTGCAAGGTGGTTCTGGCCTCCTCATCGCCCGCTGGAGTACTGCTGCCCGGCTGCTCCTCAGTACCGGTTCCCGATCCACTGGCAATGGCCTCGATGGGCGGCAAGTCCCCGCGCCTCTCGTTGTTGCGTCCATAGTTGCTGCCCGGGAAGTTGTTGATGGAGAACTGGTCGGGCCGGAAGTTGGCGGAGCTGTGGGAGCTGCTGCTCTCCGGTCGGTTCAGATACTGGTACGAGCTGCTGCCGCCGTTCTGGAAGCTCTGGTCCTGCGGCTGGTAGTTGGCGCTGATGGCCGAACTGCCGGCAGTGCTGCCGCCTCCATAGATGGGTCTGCCGTAGCTGTCCTTCTGGCCGCCCAGGCCGCCACTGCTGCTGCTCAAACCGGGACGGTAGAAGGGTTTCTGGAGCTGGTATCTCTTGGGTGGCTGGTTGCTGGGCTTTCGCACCGAATAGCCCGGTTTCACGCACATCATTCCAAAGACACGGATTCCGGGCACACTGGCGTACGTGGGCTGGTCATGGGCCATGGGTCCCTCTTTAGGAATTAAAAAGAATAAGCATTAGGACTAGGAATATGTATTAGTATTTTGTTAGAACTCACCCATCTTAAAGTGATCGGGACAGCGGCAAATGACCAGGTAGTGGGACTTTCCAGTTCGTGTATTCTGCAGAGCTAGGAGGGACCAGTCCTTGGGGGAACGACATTCGCGCATCTCCGTAGTTGCCTCGCAGGTCTTTGCCAGGGTGATGGCCTTAATGGGTAGTGAAGTATTTGGAAATTACTTAGGGAAGTATTGTAGAAGATAGAGGTAGCCAAAGGTATAGTATCAAGGCTTAAATTCTAGGGGTATGAGATCTATAATACTGACTTTGCATATAAATAAAAATAAGAGGAATACCTCAAGGAACAAAGGATCGTAAGGGAACCTCAAGGAAGTTGTCGGAAATATAGACACCGTTTCGAGATATATGGGTTACCCAATTCTGCAATTTTAGGAGGACTCTTCTAACCTGTTCCACCCTTTAAGAGACATATTCCCTTAAATCTTAAGATACTCCCTTAGTTTACTAAAGAAAACATCAGATATCTAAAATTAAAACTAAAATATGACTGAAACCCTAAACTGTTTTTCTTTTAAGTGTAGACCGTCTAGACGTGGTTTATTAGCCAGACTCCTCCTTGGCAGCGATTAGACATTCACTTTGGCCCACAGGGCAGCAAAGAAAGTTACCCCCCGTACTTGGAGCAGACCATACTAGTCCCGACCCAATCCCGATTTCGATTGGGATCATGATCATGGCTGGCATGGCACCCAAATTGAAAGGTGGCATGCTAAACGGTATGGACACATAGCTGTCACTTAACACGAGGCGGGCAATGGAAACAGGAGCACTTCTCGCCAAGAGGAGAGATTTGGAAGCCAAGGGGGCTCTGGCTTGGCCAAAAACACTTGGCTGGCTGGATGGCTGGCCGAAAAAAAAAAAAACTAAATTGCCAGGGGCGTCAAGCCGTTTTGCCACGCTTTCAATTGGCCGACATGATTGTCCTTTAACTGATTTACAGCTCGGCGGGGCACCAGCTTCAGCTCCATCTCCATCTCCAGCTCCAGTTCCAGGTCTAGCTACTGGAAGCTGAAAGTAATTTGATTGACTCTTGCGGCGCTAGTTTGCATGTGAGCTTGATTCTTTCTCCACTTTATTTTTTTTTTTCTCGATTGCCTGGCAATGGCAATTGGCGCTCGATCCGAGCCAACGATGGCATTCAGGTTAATGTGGTCCGCCCGGCTGTTCCAGTTTTTCCTACTGCCCCGCTCTTGTTTTCCAGCTAAACGCATTTTCATAATTTGCTGTACAGTTCCGGCAAAACAATAAAAAAAAAAATAGAAGGAGCTGGTGATGGTGGTGGTGCTGTGCCACAGTGGCAGCCACAAGTGTTGCATTTAACGGTAAAGTGAAGTGTAATTATGACAGTGTCTGGCACGGCCCACACTCCGCATCTTCACTCTCGGACCAGAGCACTCTCGGACCATAGCTCGGGTCCATTAAGCTATTATAAATGCTTTTTATTATTTAATTTATTTAAACATTTTTCCAAGGCCCCATCTTGCAACATTTATAACTCAATTAAACGTACTGAGAATAGTGCCAAAGGAGCAGATCATGGTCAAGCCATAAATCCATACAACATGTGGCATACATCATTGGCATTGGTGGTGGTGGGAGGAGTAGGCAAACCGCAGGTGATCTTCCAACTGACCCACGGATCGTGAATTGGCCGATGGGTGGGAATCGATCCAACATGCTTGGAGGCTTGAAAATCAATTTTATGACTCGGTGATCCAACAAATGAGGCGCAATTTCTGGACATTGGCGGGACGAGATCATCAATTGATTAAATGATACACCTGGCGTCTCGATTCCCTCATTAATTGAATGCCAGACTGGCAGACTGCGAATTAGCAATGGGTTTGGGGAGTGGTTCTCCTAAAACGCACTGATTTTCACAAAGTGAGGTAATTGTGGACAATCTCAAGGATATTTGTGGTCTATTTGAATTGGAAAGAGTATCTAATTTTATATCCAGTCTGTGAAAGTGAGCCTAGTCTGTGAGAAAATGAAATTCGTGTCCATCTTCGAATTCATTTTAAAAGCGATCAGATCATATTTTTGTGGTTAGCTGGTATTGATTCAAAATCGTGCTAGACACATCTACCAAGAACGAACTAATGATCCACCGAGAGTGATCTTCTGCAGTTCCACTTTCAGTTCCCAAGTCGTGGCCCAGAATTCAGAATCAAATCATGGCTGAGGCAATTATTTAAGTAACTCAGTTGCTGGGAACTGGTCTACCGGTCTACAGATCTACAAATCAGCTTACCTTCTTCTTATTATCGCCAACCAATTTTGTGGTATGCTGATCATCTTCGTTCAGGCTGGCCGAGCAGGGATCACGGTATCTGGAATCGGATTAGATTTGTTGGATTAATTAGAAGGTCCTCCATGGGAAGTGGTCTGGAGTGGTAGAGTGACAACCTCCAGGTCTCATTCCTCCAGCTGGAACTCACCTTGATGGACAGGCGCACAATGGCTGGGTGTAGTTGAGTCTCACGTAGACCGCATTGCAGACCTGCTGGATGGCGCACTCGGGCAGCAGATAGATGTGCTGATTGTGGGGATAATAATGATATTTTGTTGGTTTCGCTGTCGCCGTTTTCTGCAATAAAGAATTATAACATTAATCTGAGGCATAAAGGTGAGGAATTGAGCGAACTGCTTTGCTGTTGATTGATGTGACCAAAAGGGTTTTCCAGCCCCATCTTCTATTTGGCTAGCAATTAAAGTTGGCCAAAGCTAAGACCCATCTGCAACCTTGTTGTTGGCCAAATGTTTGCTCCCCCGAGAAGAGAAGATCTTCTGCGGCTGTCGTGTCGAGGCGTTGCAGAGTGTTGTTTGTCTTCTGCCACCTCGGCCACGTCTGGCGGAGATGAAGTGCGAAATTGACGCTCCCCCTGGGTCTCATCCTGGGACTTGTAGTCTCCTTCCACTCTAGTTTGCACTCTAGTATTCTTGTGTATTCTTTTCTGGCTTTGGTTAGGGTATTAAATGGGTCTGTATCTCACTTTATAATAACTGAACAAGAAGCGAAAACTGTTAAAGTGTAATAAAGCAGAAGCAGAGGCAAAGATGAGTGCTCCGAGACAGACTCCTCGCTTCTATGCATTCAAAGCAGTGCTGGCGGAGTCGACTCGCAGAGACCGAGACTCGAGTTGTTGTGGCAAGTTGCCTTGGCCAAAGCAGGTTAATGGCAAGCGAGACCCTCACATAATGCCACACAAAATTGCTTGGCTCGCCTTTTCCGCCGAACCGAAGGGGGAACTAAGTTATTAAGAAATTGATGCAACTCGGGGAGGGGTTCTCCATCTTCCCCCCCATTCAATATATGTACATACGTATGATATGTTGTTCTGGGTAACCCTGGGTAACCGGGTAAACTGCCAAACGCACTTTTACTTGTAATTTCAAGCCATCTCTTCCCCCAGCAGCCCATCAGGCCATCAGCCACTTCCTTCCTGCGACCATTTCCCCGAGTTGTTTTCCATTTCATGAAACTTTTTACACCAGTCCCGGGGTACTCAGGATACTGCGACCTGCGACCCTTGCCCTGCCCTCTTCCCTCTTCAGTTTCCCTTTCGTCTGGTTTTTTTTGTTGGACTATTAAAAAGTTTCTTAGTTGAATATTTTAAAAACTCGCCTGATAGGTTTTCCCTCTTTCCGGGCATTTATGGCAGCTAGTTTTCAGAGAACTTTTCCTTTTCAGGTATTTGTTTAATTATTTTGTAATTCTGTAACAGAGTGATTGTGCGTGTGAATCGATGCGTGGAAATGGAGAGGTCTTTCAGAAGAGAAAGGGAACTTGATTGTTTAATTAGAGCTTCCTACCAGAGGGGCTTTTAATATTAAATATTTATAGACACCAAGTAGGGGTTTTCGGTTAGAAACCTGAACTAGTTTAGAACCGGCACCCTTTCCAGATCAAAAGCCAAACCATTCCCTTTCCTACTTAGCCCATAATTGAGCCAAAATTGCCGGGCCATGATCTGGCTTTAAGAAACGGTACTTCCCATGTCAGTCACTGACCATTCCAGCCACCTACTGTCATGCCTTTTCCAGAGACTGATTTACACTGACCCTGACCATTATTATTGAATTTTTCACTCCCCTTTGGACTGAAGCCCGTCTCCCGATTTGGCGTCAGCTGGTTGTCCAAGTGTCCGGAATGTCCGAAAAGGCATTGGGCCTTTTGTTTCCACTGCTGCTGCTGCTGCTGATGCTGCCTGTCTCTTTCACTTTGGCTAAGTACATTTTTAAATATTTACCATGTTGGTCGGACAACCGAATAGCCCAAGGAGAGGGGGGGTTTCCTAACTAGGCCCTCGGCTAAAAGAATTTTCCACGAATTGCAAATTAAAGCGTTTTTTTTGTTATGTCCGCAGTACGGAGCCAGGTTAAAGTTCAGCCAGTGGCAGTTAGCATGGCTCTTCCCTCTGCCCTCTGCCGCCTGCCCACCCAAGTGCCACTTGAAAATCGTGTTCTCCACTGCCAGCTTCCTGCAATTTGGCACTGCAGTTCGGAGTTGGAATCCCGACCTTTCACGGGCTTCCATACCATGCCCCATACCATTCCATCTATCCATCCCATTGAGGTTGTTCGTGTTGTTTGGCTTTTTTTTTGTTCCCTCTATTTTTGGAGTGGCATGAATTGCGTTTTGATTGAAAAGAAAGTGACATTTCCGCTGATTTTCCTTTAGAAGAGAAGAGTTTTCCTTTTATGCAACTCTTTCTTTCGCCTTCACTCTGGCTGCTAATTTCCCAACATTTGCCTTTTGGTTAGTGACGCTGAAAATTTTCTGTTTGCACCAAAACAACCTCTAACAATCTAACATCTAACAATCTAACTGGCAAACAACAAATAGTAAATTGCAGTGGCAGTGGCAGTGGCCGTTGCAGTGGCAACATGACGTATGCGTGATGTGTGTGTACTCATGAATGCCTGGCTTATTGACTTGTTTCGATGGCCATGATTGCCATTTGATTAGCTGTCGCCTGATGAGCCATTGATGGGTGAAATTTCGGGTTGAATAATGATGGCAAATATGACTTTAGATTGCCGGGGGAAAACTTGAAGAGATTGTGAGGTAATTTGCGAAGAATTGCTTTTGGGGGAAAGTGCTTTCAAGATTTAAGTAATCCTGGCAATTAAGAGTCAACCAATCCTCATAATAAATTGCAACATTTTTCTTAACTGGCTAACAAGCTCGGCAGCCATCAGCACTTCTCGGATTTCAAGTCCTCCGGCCATGTGAGGGTATCCTCTACCTCTATTTGTTTGTCTGCTGGGATGTATCTCGCAGGCTTGTTGATTTATGCCAGCAGCTCGAAATTTACTTTTAATGAGAGACGGCAGTAGCAGTAGCCGAGGCAAAAAGCCAAAGCTAAAGCTAAACGCATGTAACTGACAGCAGCTTGTATCTATATATCTTGCAGATGCAAAAACAGCGCCACTTGTTATTCAAATCAGCTTGAAGATACTCGAGACCGGAGAGCACCCAGAGACATGAAATTTCACCGCTTAAGCTTAGCTACTTCTCAAGCTCTGTTTTCAATGGAAATTTGCATACCACCTCCACTGTCACTGTGTGCCTACAATTAATAAATAATTTTCATTTCATTTTCATTTGAAAATTTGATTTAATTACGTGAAAGTCTCACACCTCCAATCTCGCCACAGAACAGAAAATTAGTTGCCATTATTTAAGATTTACTTTCTCAGTTTGTAAATGTTATTTAATTTTATGCTTGAAGTGAAAATGAAATCTTTTGTGTGTTTTTTTTTTGAGAAGTACTTTCGTTCTTCATGTTGGTATCTATAAAGCGTGAAGCTTCAAGTAGTTTGTCTACTCACGGATGTATCTTTCTTTTCGGCTGCCTTTTTCTTTCATTTGACACGACAAGCTACCGAAAATCCAACACTCCAGCTACACAGTCACTTGTAAGATACTTCTGTTTCTTTGTTCGTTTTGCCTCTCAACTGTTAACTGTGGTTTCTCATGCAAATCCCCATATACATAGCTATACCCCCTTCCCCAATACATAGTGTTTGTTTGTTTACCATTATTTATTTGTTTGGCCAACGCTTTTTCCGCTTTACACCGACCGGGCAATTGATAATTATCATCATCATCGCCATTGCCGAGCATCCCAGAGCTTGGACTGAATCTCCAGCTGGGTCTTTTCCTCTTCCTCGATTTTTTATGGTTTTTTTCGGTGGGTTTTTTTTGGAGTGGCCCGGCATTCTCAAGATGTTTATGTCCGCGGGTCGTAATTAAAATGTTCAATAAATCGTAAAGTTTTGATTGTCCAACATCCGAAGAGAGGCCAACGGATGTGATGCATTCAGAGGTTAACAAATGCATAGTATAGGTTGTCCTACAAGTCTTAATATAAACTAAAATAAATGTTACAAGTCCTATTTAAACCTGTCTAGATTCAGGCCTTCTTTTTATTGCTCCTTTGAGCCTCGTTGCCAAGTCTGGCCCAGACATTCAGGCCAAAAGCGGCGGCCTTCTGAGCTGCGCATGCGTAACTGATATCCATCTAAGGCGGTGTTACAATTTTTTTTTCCTTACAATTTATTTTTTATTCACCGCATAACTTGTCAAACGGCAAACAAAGGTGGAGCCGCACAGCCGGCAATGGTGATGGCGATGAAGATACAGATACAGAGATACTTTTTTTGCAAAGAGAAAAAGATGCATACAAGGCAATTACATGATTCGGCTGGCAAAGGCAAAGAAAATATTAAATAATCCAGCAGCAGCATTCCATAACCAATTCGAGATGCTGTGCTCCAAGACTACGTGTTCATAATTGTCATCGTGATTCCAGATCGAAGTCAGAGCTTTAAAAAATCGTTCCAATTCGATTCTAATGCCGGACAAAGGGCATTTTGTGTCTGGTCATCTCACCTGGCCGGGCATTACGCATTTGGCTTTAATGCCCAGTGCCGTAATAATAATATTTTTTACTCGCCAGTACTTGCCAGTACTTGGATGGCCGAGTTTATTGTTCTAGTTTCGTGGCCACTGGGGAGATCTCGGCTTGGCTTGGGTCTCAGAGCCTTAACAGTTCTTTGGCTTGGTGGCTCTGTGGCTCGTTGGTTAAGGTTTGTTGAACCCTTAATGAGTTTAAATGCCAGCTATGATATGCTCTTTAATGCACGTTTATGAGTTACATTTGCTGCTCCGACTACGGCTCCGGCTCCAACATTTTTTGGGACATTTTGTGGGACAGATTTAATGTGGCTGCCATTACGGTACCGATTCGGTCATGATACCAAAGGGAAGTTGGACATTAGTCGGTGATACGATAATACCAGGCCAGCCGGATGCTTTAACTTGTTTTTTGGATACCTTTTTAAAAGCGGAAAAAGTAAACCTTTTTCTTGTGGCATGTTTTGGGTTAAATGTTGAAAAATGTTTCTTTCTTTTTTTTGAATGAGAGAGAGAATCTATTAAGAGTCTCAAAAACTTCAAAAAAACCTTGCTTCTTCCAAAAAAACTAAACAGAAACTATAAATCTCCAGATTGATAAAAATTGATGGAGAATCGATCTACAAATCGTTTAAGGTATTCCGCTTAAGAATCGGATAAAGATT